GAAGAACGCAAAGCTTGGCGAAGAGACCATCCATATGGTTTCTATGCTCGTCCCGAATCCAAGGGAGATGGTTCCAGTAACATCATGAAGTGGACTGCTGGAATTCCTGGAAAGGAAAGCACTGATTGGGAAGGAGGAGTCTTTCAGGTTTCGATGGAGTTTTCGGAAGATTATCCCTCCAAACCTCCCAAATGTAGGTGACATGAAAGCAAGCTTTGTTTGTTCGTTTGATTGTTTGATTGTCTGAATGGAATGTCCGATGGATACTTGTATTACTGGGATTATTCCTCACCATTATCATTTACCATCACCCTTCTCTTTCAATTGCAAAAAGGCAAATTTGTTCCTCCCCTCTTTCATCCCAACGTTTATCCCTCGGGCACCATTTGTCTTTCCATTCTGAATGAAGAAGAAGGCTGGCGCCCCGCTATTACCCTCAAACAAGTCTTGATTGGAATCCAAGATTTGCTAGATGATCCCAACCCAAACTCTCCAGCTCAATCGGAAGCCTATAATTTGTACATGAACAACAAGACGGAATATCGACGAAGGGTGCGACAGGAGGCGGCCAAGAATACTCCGCAAGACTAGTAGACGAAACCATGTGCGCTACTATTGGAGTTTGCTGGTTGGTTGGTTGGTTGGTTGGTTTCGTCACCGTGTAGTGACAATCCATCAATTGTGGTGTCCTTTTTGGAATTGATTTGGTAGGACATTTTTCTCAGGGAAGAGGAGGAGTAACAATATACTGTAAATTCTGTTGATACCAGAACCTGTTGCTCTACTATAGTGTGAAACGAAAGAATTGACTGCAGTTTAATTCAATGTTCTATTTTTGTTTCGTGGCGATGCTTTTGCTTGTTTCATATTATGCTGAATTCTAAACTCGCTGTGAAAAAGAACATGGAATAATAGAAAACTTGGTCTTCGCTTTTGCAAATATGCCCACTTCCTCAATATCAGTATTCAAACACCAGCACAGACATGACCAATATTTTTTAAAAAAAAATATGAGGCCATGTTCACCTTCAATACAGTACTTTCTACTCCTATAGTCAAAAGAGTGACGACGATATTCATATTATTTACTTCATGGGTGGCAATCCCATGGCTTCTAACATGGTGGCACCAAGCTGGGCAGGAGATCTGGAAATATGAACTCCGGCACTTTCCAAAGCGGCAAACTTCTCTGCCGCTCCTCCTTTTCCTCCTGCCACAATGGCACCGGCATGTCCCATTCGACGTCCCGGTGGTGCAGTGGTTCCAGCAATGAACCCAACCACGGGCTTGTTGGGATCACCATATTCCTTGAGCCATTCGGCGGCTTCTTCCTCGGCTGATCCGCCAATCTCTCCAATCATAATGATACCTTCGGTTTGAGGATCGTTGGTGAATCGTTCCAAAACGTCAATAAAGTTGGTCCCGCAAAAGGGATCTCCTCCAATACCTACACAAGTCGATTGTCCCAAACCAGCAGTAGTAGTTTGATGGACAGCTTCATAAGTCAAAGTTCCACTTCTCGAGACAACACCAATCTTTCCAGGCATGTGAATATAACCAGGCATGATTCCTAGTTTGGATTCACCTGGCTTGATGATTCCTGGACAATTTGGTCCGATCAAACGAGTCTTTGTGGTGGTTTTCATGGCCGCCTTGACGCGTGCCATGTCCTGTTGGGGAATTCCTTCGGTAATGGCCACTACAAGTCCAATTTCGGCTTCGATGGCATCCATAATGGCGGCCGCACAAAAGGGTGGGGGGACGTAAATCATAGTAGCATCGGGCTTGACCTCATCGACAGCCTCTTGGACCGAGTTAAACACTGGAAGACCCAAATGGAGTTGTCCACCCTTTCCGGGAGTGACACCACCGACCATGTTGGTTCCATATTCAATGGCTTGCGTCGAGTGGAAGGTTCCCTAATGAACATTGATGATGGAGGAGGAGCAGGTCAGAAATTATTCGCATTCGTGAGAGAAATGAACATGAATTAATATTTTGTCATCACAATGAATGAATGAATGAATGATTGAATGATTGAATGATTGAATGAACGATCCACGAAATGGCATGCCAGATGCTCAACCCAATGGAAAACACCCGTCGTAGAGATGATTGCAGATGTATCGGGGTGTATCTTAACGTACCTGCTTTCCAGTGAATCCTTGACAGATGGCCCTTGTATTCTTGTCAATCCAGACATTGGCAGTCGATGACATGGATCTAGTACCTGGCTTGACCACAACGGCCGCAATTTTGGAAGCGATTCGACTATTGGAAGGATTCATTCTATCTTTGATGTGTCTTGGTCTACGTTGGTTGTCTTTTGAACAAACTACAGAGAAGAGGAGATGTTTGGAACTGTCACGACGATAGGACAGCGCTAATGGGTGTCGTCGATTTCGCCTTTGAAAATCTAGCGGCACCACGGCGAAGATAGAAGATATTCTTCGGGAAGACATTCTCCCCGTAGGCTCTACGGGGATTCCCTACTGCACAGATTCCAAAGATGTATAGAATGGAGAATCGGAGTATGGAAAAATTTCAAGGAGAAGAATGATGGCAAATCATCCAGTCGAGTTTGTCAAAGCACCGGAATCTTTTGAGAGTAGTCTAATGGGTCGTGAATGTCGTCACTTTCTAGAGTCTGTACGCCACCGGATAGACAAAACAAAACAGCAACAACGTCAACCTTGTTGTTGTTGGAATTTGCATTCAGCACTTGTGGTATCTGCAATCGACGATCTCTCTAGAAAACTACACAGTTTGTTGGAGATTTTATAGCTCGATTGATTGATTGATATATCGATTCAAAAGCAGTTGCATCAAGAGTAATTTTAGTGATCTACAAACACTTCCACCATTCCATTGAATATAGCATCATAATGTCTCTTCCATCGCGCATCCTTCGGGCAGCCATCTCTCGGCCATCCCTTCTTGGCCGGCGACCAATTGCCAACGCTGCTTCCCGTGTTTTCCTTTCCACCACTTCTGGAGGTTCCACCCTAGCTCAATTGGCCAAGGAAAATCCCTACAAGGAGGTGGTCCGGTTCGAACACAAGAACCGAAAATGGAACTTGCAGCACGTCGATTATTACTCGGACGCATTGGCCGTAGGACTTTTGGAGAATGGGCTGCAACCGGGTGATGTTGTTCTATCTTGGTTGCCAACGCACTTTTCAGAGTCGGTAAGTTTTGGCGTACATTTGGGTTATGGATGGATACATGGATTCATTTTGGATGACGTGATTGGTCTCACAATATCTTGCGTTTTTTTCTTTCCCTTCCGTTTCAGATGGTCTTGCAATTTGCTTGCAGCAAATCCGGTTTGGTCTTGTACAACTTGGACCCTGCACTGGCCACTGCGGATCCCGAAGCCGCCAAGGAGGCCTTGTCCGCTGCTTTGGAATTGACCAAGGCCAATGTCTTGATTTCCCAAGAGGCTGGATCCGATGTCAACTACGTCCGACTATGCGAACAAGTCATTCCCGAATTGAGAATCTTTGACTTTGCCGAGGGCAAACCATTCGTCACACCAAGATTCCCACACTTGCGATTCCCAATCCACACTGGATTTGATCAAGATGACAAGTGGGGTATGTTGCTCTTTAAGCATATGGTTGTCCCTTCGGATAATTTGGAAGAGCATTTGGATGGGTTCACAGTGGATGGATCTACACCATTGTTGGGAGAGCTAAAGTTGGACTCCAAGGGTATCCCTACTGGACTTGGAAAGGTCGCTACCAACGATCAAGTTACCAAGAGCGGTGTTTTGGAAACTTACTCCAAAATATTGAAGAGAGAATACCACGAAGTGGAAGGAGTTGGTGTCGTTTGGTAATTAGAAAAAGCAGACTGGACTGTAATATCGTGCTAAGCTTAAGTTTTCGTTTCAGCATTAGAGCTTACCCCACAATTAAGCTTATGGATCTTCCACGCCGCGTTTTGGCACCGTTCATCACAGTAAAAGCATTCCGAACAGTTTGAACATTCCGACATTCCCTCTGGGAACATCCGACAACACCAATTACATTGTGCAAAGCTAGTGCTTGCTTTCACTGAAATGGTCGCAATATGGCGATCTGCCGTCCCCATGAAGGGATCAAAGGTGATCAAGGGAAGGTCTGCCATCTTGCCATCATGTGAGTAGAATCGAAAGGATTCTCTAGAAACCTGCGAGAGGATTGTCCACGAGTCCTCCCCGACTACTCGAAAATAATTTCCCCCCTCTTCTTCATCGCCAACTTCCATGTCACCTTCAACGTCAACGACGCTAAGGAGTCCAGAACGGAGAAAGTCTAGACCAAGCTGTACTGTCAACATGAAGTCTGATGGGCTTGGAGAAACTTCAATGGCATTACGAAGTGTCACTGCAATCCCCTGGAGGCATATTTTCACAGGCTCGAGACATGTAAAAGTCTTGTTTTTCAACTTCTTCGTGTCAAAGCCAACAAACTTCTTGGATTTGAGTTTATGAATGCGTTTGAGGCCTAATTGATCAACTATTGCCCTTGAAAACATCGTGTAAAGGCTTTGGTTGGAGATCCGGGCAACGAGAGGTACGTCGTTAATGGACACTTCAATGTTCTTCATCCCGAATTTCGGACACATTGATAAAGCAGAGGGAGGACTGCCGGTCAACATAGTAGTATTGCTGGCGAGTTCCAGCTTGATTCTTCCTCGACCCTCCAACCTTCCGTGCGGTCCTTCACCGGCAGAAAAGCCCAGTGGTACCATCTGCTGAGAGCTCTGGATGCCCTTTGATAGCCAGGTTTCCAACTGCTCCCGAAGGGACTCAGAAGATGAAGACAGGTTGTAAATTCCTTGCGCTTTGGCCTCTGCGATCACTTGTTCATTAGTAAAGAATCTTGGGCCTCGTCTTTTACTAGCCATTTCATCGATCCCGAGGAGATTGTGGTAAAGGCCGCGTCTGCTATTTGGGGACACTTCGGTACAAAGTTGTGCTTGACACAAAGGACACGCAATGTTGACCTTTCCGTACTCCAAAATACATTCCTTGCAGAATCTATGATCACAGTATAGAGTGACACCCCTTTTGACACCTTTGAGACAGATCGGGCATGTATCGTTCTCCGATTCCGCTTCCAGCGAAAGTATTTCGATCAAATTGGCATCCTCCTGCTTGAACTTGTACCCTTTCGGAACGTGCAATCCCACTAGATCTTCGGCCAGCTTTTGCAACATTATAGGATCTCGAATATCAGGATGTGTCGGGTTGCCAATGGACACTGAGAGTGTTGTCGTCGAAAAACTACCTGCAAGACGAACGCCTTTCTGTCGTAGCAGCATGAAGGTTTCTCTGACATCATCAATCGTAGGTGGTCCCAAGCCCACCCAAGATATGGGTAGATCTATTGAAGTAATGAAACCGAGCAATACATCGACCATCGAGATTCGAAACCCATCAGACGACGTAATCATTTCAGTTGCAGGGAGATATTCCAACAAACGACGGACCACCTGGGGTTTCGGATGCTCCATGGCATTGTAGAGACAAGTCCGACCAAAATGATCGAGTTGGTTGATGTTTGCACCAGCTTGGAGCAACAAATTCACAGACTTCAGGGAGGTATACTTGACAGCAAAAAAGAGTGCATTTGTCTGATTGGAAAGAACCTCCCGCGTTCAACACCAGTTCCACCATACCATCAGAAAAGTAGCATCCATACTGAGCATTCAAGAATTCAAATTGACAAACCCAATGCAGGAGTGGCATAATGTTGCCAATTGCTAGCGAAAGCTGAGTTGATCTGTTGATAAGTGGTGGCCCTTTCTCAAGGCCTTCGGCGAGAGCTTGAAGAAAAGGTAAAAGGTCGACAGGAGCGGTGAAAATTTGCTTGAGATATCCTTGGAGTGCTTCGAAGGAGTTGAGGTTCTCAGGAACCCCACCCCTTTCGAGAACAGTTCCGACGAGAGAATCTGTGACGAACGGCAGAAGCACAGGTTCGACTCTCGGTACTCTGTATTCCTGCGCCTGAGAGGCTGGCGATCTTCCTACTTGCTGCTCATTTTGTTGGCGCGCTGGTGCTTTCTGCTTTGTACGACGGCTCTTTTTGCCCATCTTCGAGTTTCAAGGTCTGAATGCGTGTCTCGAGATACAGTACTGTAGGTTTTTGATTTGTTGGATGCAGAATTAAAAGCAAGTTGTTTCATCTAGTCATATTGGTCGGAATTGATTTGGGAGTTTATTTTTGAAGTTTGTGTGAAGTAGATTTGGCACCGATTTCTTTGGCTATTACTACTTGCATATAGCATCTAACTCCATATTTCTCAAATTGTCACTACCTCATGTTAAAATGAATCTGAACTGTCATGGAGATGGTAGACGAAGCTTGGAATGTAGCGGTCGTCCAGGCAATTCTCTGGCGAAGACAATGATTGATTCATTCAGCTGCTTGGACAACTCCTTTCCAAGAAGTCGTGGAGCATGATATTCCACCATGGATATTTGCGACTCTTGCAGTCTCGCTTCCTCTACTGGGCAATTTCCCCCCCAAACTCAATTGTGTGGGATGAAGTGAATTCAAATGATTCAACTTCGATCCATTGTCACTGCCGAAATTCCAGGACAAGTAGTAGCAGGATCATCCAACTTGGCGCTACCAGCATACTTTTCGATTGCACTTAGGACACGCTTCAAGTTCAGCGGTTTCGTCAAATAGGTGGTCATTCCGGCTTCGATGCCGCGCTCCTCGTCGCCCTTCATTGCGGCGGCAGAAAGAGCCAAGATTGGTATCGGATGCTTTCCATTCTTGGATCCATGTTCCATTGCTCGGATCTTTTTCGTCGCATTTATACCGTCAAGCTTCGGCATTTGAACATCCATCAATATCAGCGCAATATCATCGTGTGATTTGCAACACGAGACAGCTTCTTCGCCATCCTTGGCAAGTACAACTTCGTAACCATTTCTTGTGAGCATACGCTGCGCTAGTTTCCGGCTCACTGGATCATCTTCAGCTACCAGAATCTTGCCATTGATGAGATGGGGAGAACTTTCTTGTGGCATCATGGAAGGTCGATTGGAACCATCAACCTTGGAATTGGAGCATGGGCGATAGGGGAACAAAAAGCTGAAGTTGGAACCGCTGTTCTCGCCAACCGTTGACTTGACAGACAAGCTTCCTCCCATCAACTCCACTAGGTGACGACAGATTGTGAGGCCGAGCCCGGTTCCTCCGTGCTGGCGAACGTCACCTATCTCAACTTGTCGGAAGGGTGCGAATATAGATTCCAAGTGACTCGGTGGGATTCCCTTCCCAGTATCCGACACACTGAATTGAAGCATGTTACCATCAACCTTTTGTACCTTCAGCTCAATCCTTCCAGCACTTGTAAACTTGGAAGCATTAGAACATAGATTATTGATGACCTGTTGCAGACGGAACTCGTCTCCCTTAAGACAATTGCTAATGCCTTCATCCACGGTAGTGATGAAATCAATCTTCTCCTTCTTCTTCTGCTTCAGAAGCGAAGATGCAAGACCCTTTGTCTGAGCAATAACTGAAGGTAGTGAGAAGTCTTCATCATTATTAATGTCCATCTGCCCAGCTTCAATCTTGGATACATCTAGAATATCTTGAATGATCATAATCAAGTGCTTCCCACTATTTCTTGCAATTTTGAGCCCTTCGTAGTTTTCTTCTCGATGCTCAACGTCCAGGCCGTTGGACAGAGCAAGATCAATATGTCCAATGACTCCGTTCAGTGGTGTTCGGATCTCATGACTCATGTTCGCAAGAAATGAGGACTTGAGTCGATCAGATTCCACAGCTTTGTCCTTTGTAATGCGCAGCTGCTGTTCGTTGAGCTTGGCGTCATGGATATCATAGCAAGAACCAATGTATCCAAGAAACGTTCCATCAAGGTCATAGAATGGCCGGCCATGGTCACCAATCCAACGGTACTCGCCATGCTTGTCGAGCAAGCGGTATTCCATGTAGAAAGCTTCCCTTTTGTCAAATGATTTGACATATGTTTCAAGACATGAATCAAACTCGTCCTTGTGGACTCCCTTGGTCCATCCGTTGCCGTACTCTTGTTCCATGGTTTTGCCAGTCCACTCCAACCATGTCTTGTTGAAGTAGTCACATTCCTTGTCCAACCCTGATCTCCAGATCAGAGCTGGAAAGTCTTCAAAGATTTTCAAGTACAGTTCCTTGGCGGTATTGACCTGAACCTGTTGCTTCTTGAGACGAGCATTCTCAAGTTCCAACTCTTCGATACGAGCCTTGTATTGGTGTAACAAATCCTCTACTGGGGGTGTGACCTCCATCGAGGAGATGGAATACTGATTCAGAGACATGCCTTCGTCTCCTCGTTGCCGCTTGCAGCTCATGGATTCTATTTTTTGCGTTTCTTCTTGCAAGAGGTGATTTTAATACTATCTGCGGTAAAGTAAGGAAGCGAAACGCCGGTTTTGTTGTGATGGATGATTTTCCCTTTGGATTTTTTTGCCCGCGTCCACGTGGTGTCAGTCACGACACTGCACAGCGCCACTACTGAAAAGAAGACCGTACTAAAAGTTCTTGATAAAATACTGTAGGACTATGGTCTGCGAGTCGTATTCCTTCGATATAAAAACATTTAGAGAAGGTGGAAGGTCTTTCAGACATATATAAAAGAGGGGGTTGCGAACTTTGAGGAATACTGTTCGTGAAGCGGTACCGGCGGTGCGGTGCCTTTTTTTTAAACAGGAGGAAGACCGAATTTTGTGAAGAATCTTTGGATGGCGGCACCTTTTCAACAATATATAAGTGTAATAATACCTATTAATAATGTGCAAGGTACAGTACCTGGTAAGTTTTACAGAAGTATCGGTATATATTACAGTACCGGTTTTCTGTTGGTTCTATTTTAGCGTCGAAATGCCCCAATCAATCAATCAATCGATCGGAAACATGCATCCATCGAGCAACCCAAAGGAAATATATATCCCTACGATCTTTCTAAAATTGGAGTGAAGAACGGGACCTTATTACACACCTTTGAATGCCACCAATTGTATCGCCAAACCAAAGTTTTTTGTAGTACTAAGCAACGAGGAATCCTCTACCTATCCTTGATGCACCCCCTTCAGAAAAGTTGAAAAAAATCTTTACCAGTGTGAACATGGCATATCGGACCGTTTCTTTTGTTTAAACATACTTTGTTTACTATCTTTTATTCAGCCTCTTGCTTTGCCTTGCTGGATGCTTGTGTCATTTCAACAATGACGTTCTTAACATCCTTTCTGTCTGTGGCTGGTCTTGGGAATGGAAGACGAAGTTTGAACTGCTGAGGTTGCCCTGGCAATCTTTCATCATTCTCAGGATCTCTAGTGACCTTCACGTACATACCCAATGAGTCAACAGAAGTGATTTCTGCAGCCTTTACGTAGTCATCTCCGACCAATCCAGGGATGTAATGCTCTACCATGGCAATTGTCGAGTCCATATGATCGTCATTCATGTGCTGGGCAACGTGTCCTCCGAACGCCATGATTGGATCAGGTTTGGCAGCTGTGTATTCTTCGGCAGTGATGCTTCCGGCTCGTGCAAACCCTCCAACAAATCGAATGTGTTCGACATCCATGGTGAACCAGTTGAAATCTCCAAAGTCAATCCAAAAGGCACCAGGGTGCTTGGCACGGTAAATCTCCTTCGCCTTAGCAATTTCCTCGTGATTGCGAATACGGCGACAGGTTCCCATTAGGTTGACGCGGCCATCTGCGGCTCCCTTGAATTCCTTGGCGGCAATAGTTAAACTGGCCTTGGGGTTGGCCAAAATATCTTGTGTGTGAGACGACATGCCAGAAAAGACAAAGAGTGGGCGACCTTCTTCATCCGGTGCAAATCCAACCACACTGCCACCAGGGTATCCTTCGTTGCTGAAACAGTATCCAAACAAGAAGAAGATTGCAAAAAGAGCAGAAACAATCAGATTGTCATCAGGTGAGATATTATAATTCCATCTCATCATTTCGTCATCAATCTCAGCATGATCTTACGTTTTGGAGAAGGTAGACATGACAGCAAATCCATGATTGTATTGGACCAAAGATCGAACATCAACTGGGAATCCTGGCTTGGGGACGCTGTTTTGGTGCTCCATGAAGGCCCCAACTCGCTCCTTTTGTTCAGGAGAAAGACTGTCAAAGGCATCGGCTCCTTGGACATCATGTTTGGGTGCATTCTTTGGGGCATGGAAGAGAGCTTCGCCACGGTGAATCTTATTGGAGGCACGGTTGGTGAAGGCTGCGGCAGATGCCACTAGCGACAAAAGTCCAAGCGATACGAATTTCATGGTTGCGGGTATCTGTTGTTCCTGTGTCTTGTTTTCTTAATGCGATGGTTGATGGGAACAGGATTATCAAGCAGCTGTTGTCGATGATGATGATGATGATGATGTTGATCGAAAAAGATGAGAACAGATCGATGTGATGAGTTGGCAGGCAGAACGCAGCACGGACGATGCGTCAGCGTATCTTTCTCACACGATTGGTGGCAAAAATACGAACAATCCAATCACAACAACGTGGTCAGCATGCCACTTGCCAAACCACTTCTTGTCACGGACTTGACATCATTAAAAAGACAGCCTAATCAGATAATGACGATCTCTATGCATTTTTGGCTGATGACAGCTTTTTTGCTAACGGCATTAGTTGGTGTTGTGGATGGCTTGACTCTGAATCGTCGATCAATATTACTCGGCAGTGCCTCGGCCATACTACCCTCCATTCATCCAAGTTTGGTACAGGAGGCTAATGCAATTCCACTACCATTTGAAAAGAAAGATCGGCGACAACTGGAACTCTGTTTGGTGAACGTCCTTCGGGTCCAATATTGGGCAATGAAGGTTGCCGACATTCTGAAAAATGCACCGACCGACGACCAAAAGAAAAAGGCATATCTAGAGGTGAGGTTGGGAGCCAAGGCCATGGTGGCCGACAAAAAGATCAAGATTGGTGGTGGATCGTTACTCTCTGTTATTACCTTACGAGGCTTGCAAATCAAGGATTGTTTGGATGATTTGAAGTACTATGCCAAAAACAAGAAAATGGATCAATATCGAGACGATTTAATTGAATCTCTAGCTTCCTTGGTTGAATTTGATGGGCTAGAAACTACCCAGGATCCATCACCAAGGTCAACCTTGACTCTAGGAATGTACAATGAGAGCAAAAACATTTATGTCCAAAGAATGTTGACGGAACGAATCATTCCTTTGACGGACCAAACAGTCAACTATTTTGGCAAGGACCAACGGATCAAATGTGAAGGTTATGTGGAACAATTCTATCCAAGGGAATTGCCGGCAAAAAAGATAATACAGGAGCAAGTCAAGCCAACAGAGGGTGAAGAAATAAATAAGCAAGTGGAGCAATAGCATGATATATATTTACAGATGCCGAATTAAAAGGTTACCGTCCAAAACGCTTTCGCAACCTTCTTCTTCCGTGCATTATGTCATTGAGGTCTTTCAATTTTTTCTGTTGTTCTGGTTCTTTCATATAGCTTCTAGTGATTCGCTTGATTTGATCCAGCTTTGCCGGTTCGGTAACGTCAATGGGAAACTCGTCTGGTAGCCCCAAGATTGGGTTAAATCTAGCATAAAAGGTATTGGACACTCTGGATTGCCCAAGTTGGGTTGTCCCCCCATCTCCAAGGATATCTTCCAGGACGTGATGGACTTGTTCGGTGTCGGTCGCACTATTTACAATTTGATTGATGATTCCGTCCCAACCAATTCGTGGTGCACTCTTTTGCTCCACAAATCCTCCCGTTCCTAGGGACACAACGCATTCAATGGGAATGTCCGGAAAGAGACTTCGTGCCTCGTGAATGGCAATAGCCGTAGGATTACTGGCAACAATGCCTCCATCGCAGTACATTTCGCCGCCCTGTTGCCAAAGTGTTCGGTTAGTGCCGTGACGGGTAACGAGAAGAAAGAACGAGACCAGACGGGTATGGACTTACCATCATGAGTGGTTTGAAAACCGTTGGGGCTGCTGTTGATGCTCGAAGCGCATATCGTTGCAAAACACGAAATGATCCTAATAGTAATCAAAGTTGCAGTGAGGTCAGGGTATTGGGGCAACACGCAAATCAAACTCTACACTACGATGAATCTCACCTGGATGTCTGGACGCATCTCTCTTCTTGGAGTTTGGATCTTTCGTTTGGTACTTGTTCAATCGAATTCTCTCATCTTCCATCTCCAGTCTCAATCCCAATGCTTCTCTCGCATCGGCTGGCTTGACCATGAATGGATCTGGATACTCACCACCATTATAGTTGTAGTTTCGCAGCAATGCCACATGTGTGGGATTCGATGACATTTTGGATGTCACGGCAAATACAAATGGAACGGAAGGATCAGCTCGGCTGTCTAGCATGGTTTCTTCCTTTAGAATTTCACTTAGAACATTCATAATGTAAGATTCGTCGTAGGTGGCTGTTGTGAAGAGCAAAAGGGGTGTGCTCATGACAGTCTTGACAAAGATTTTCTTGATCAACTCATCGTATCGATCAATGGCCATCTTACTCGATTCCCGTCGCAGTCCAATCAGAAAAGAAATGATGGCACCAGTACTTGTTCCAATGATAAAATCAAAGCAATCAGCAACTTCCATGCCATCCAGTGCTTCTACAAGACAATCCACCGCTGTGACAGCAGTCATGCCTCGAGAACCGCCACCATCCAAGCAGAGTATTCGTAATCCCTTTTGTCCTGGTTGCTTTGGCACCCATTGGTTGTAACCCATTGCAGCTAGAATTTGATTGGACGTTCCTAGTATCTTTCCATTCAAATCGTCCTTCAAGGACGTGGCTTCGATGAACGGCGGCCGTCGGCGTTCTGACTCCGAAGTACTTTTTTTGGATATCCAGCTCTTGACCATTTCAATGGGATACCGCAACCACCGCCGAGTCTGTTCCGGCCTTGTATAGGATGAACAAGCCAAGACGGTATCTTGGAGGCCATCGGTACTCCGAAAGGCATCAACAGCACTATCACTTGTACATGCCATGGCCAAGAGCAATTGAGTTACATATAATTTGCAGCGTTGTCGAGCTACTTTGCGACTCCTCCTTGGAACCTTTTGTCGTCGTTTTCCCAAGAATGGTCCCATCAATCGTTGTCGCTTCGAGAGGATGGGCATTTCTCCGTTGGGGCCGCTATTGTCATGTGCATCTCGGAGTAGAGTGACCAAATCTTGTAGGAGAGACGACGATCCTTCCTTGATCAGGCCAGCATTGGCCCGCAAGAGTCCATCCGTAATGACTGACGCCAACTCCGAGTCGAGAGCACACAAATCTCGAAGTGCTCGACAAGCTGTGGACGCTGCAGCAAAGGCTTCTTCTTCCACTTGGGGATCCACGCCTCTGGTCCGAGACCGCACCATGCTGGCCCCTTCCACAATGCAATCCACTAGGATTGCCAAACCTCCATGGGGTTGCATTTCTCGACAGACTTTGACCCAATCTTCTACACTGCTGACACTTGTGGCAATGGAGACCGCCACTTGCCTTATATCCCGACCAATCCGATCTTGATAGTGTTCCGGTTTGCTGAGTGGGGGCAAGTCCACAAAGGTTGTTGTATTCTTTTTTGCCATCATGTTATCAACATTATCCACCACTTGGTCATCATCTTCTTGCATTAAAATTTTGTACATGGGTGGAAGATTTAGAATTTCCACATCTTTCCCCACGGTTGGAGTGAGGCGTATCTTGACGGCATCGTCCAGTTCCTTGGCCATTTCGCGTTGTTTTTTGTTCATTTCTTGTTGCTTGGCCTTTTCCTCTTTTTCTCGTTTGCCTTGAAGGAGAATGGTGTCGTCGCCATTGTTGTTGTTGTTGTTGTTGTTGTTGTTAAACAAGTCGACAATCTGATCTTGATAGAGAGTGCTGGTTTGATTGAGTTTGATCAATTCTTCCTCCTTTTTTTGCATTTGCAACAATAGAGCTCCAATCGATCCAGACGCCGAAATGTTCCAGTCCAACAGGGATGTGATGCTGCTGCTTGGGGCTGTAGAATTGTTCTCGTCAGTGGGTGATTCTAATGTTGCTGTGGATGACTTTTCCGGAGAATCCTCTACAGGCGCCATCGGAATAAAACTTGTTGTGGTTGTTTTGGATAATATTCTGCCACGATTGGGCTGTGACGGTGAGAATGCATGGGAGTGATGGCATAGTAATGATACTATGAATACTACCAGTGTGAATAACTGTGACGCATCCCGAGAATGCAATGCTATTGGATGTGACATCACCGGCGTTTGCTGCATTGATTGATTGATTGATTGATTGATTGAATCTTGTTTGTTTAAGAATTTTTAACCCAGCAGCATATCAGCTCAATGATGAGAAACAGAGAAGCGTCTTGGGTCAAGTGCGTTAGAGAATGGCACCAATTGAATTGAAATCAAAGGCTGAGTTGGATTTGGTTCTATTGCTTCCTGATCCTGCACCCTGTGTACCCTGTGTACCAAAAGAATAATGCAGAAGGAACGAATGAAATCAAACCGCATCAATCAAAATCAAAATCAAAATCAATCACCAATAATCTCAAATCTTCAAGAAGTTTGAGTCTTCTGTGTCAAATCTAAAAAATGTTGTGACGTCACACCCTTTCCATGATCGGCATTTCGGACGATGACAGACTGCACTCGTATTTTTTCAGTTGACGCATGTACGAGCAGTACTAAAAAATAACGGTCCAAACGTACACAGTGCCTTTTTCCAAGTCAAGAGAATGTTATGATGACACACGAGCGGGGTCTGTTCCAACTAACGACTACAGTAGACTTTATTTCAGACTCCATTGCACAGCTGTACTGTATAATATCAAAAGCCAACAGCACCCATACATACACACGCACAAGACGACACTTTCATCCATCAATTCCTTGTGGCTTCTTTAGCATTTGGTTGAAAAAATTAGGCGTCGTTGGAGTGCGATTTTTTGGTTTGAAATTCTTGCCTGGAAGGAGAATTCAAACTGGAATCAACCGTTCAATCAATCATCTTATATCACATATTCTAGAGCAGAAGCTACCAAGTTCAAGCAGGAAATACACGACAAACAGTGTTGGTCCACTTGCATTATCCATCTACGCAGCTCGCTCATCCATCTGAATTCATAGTCAATCAAGCAAGCAATCAAGCAATCAAGCAGTCATTCATTCATTCACTATTGAAAGAAGAACCATCACAAATATTTTATAGAGGGTAAACAATGTCAAGCAGCAGCAACAACAGCAACAATAACAGAGATTCCAGCAATCAGAAGAAGCGTAAAATGTGGCGAACTGTCAATGTCACTGCTGGAGGAGGGCCATCTCAAAGTATGACACCCGAAGCTGCCGCTAAATACATTCAACAAGCGGCGAATCAATCCTCAGGCAATTCGTCGTCTTCGTCTCGGAATGGAAATTCCAATAATGGCGGTCGCGAAGTCAAGATCAGTTTTGGTCCCTCCCGTCCACCGAGTACTTCCAGCAATGGCAATGGCAACAACAATAACAACAATAACAACAATCGATCCTTCAATCTTGGAAATATCGATTTGCAAGCACTCAAGGAAACCGCCGCCGCCGCGGCCGCCGCCAGCAAACCAAGCAAGGGTGGTGGCAAAAATATCAACAACAACAACAACAACAACAACAACAGTAATAACGGATTGCCCTGTACCGAGGCTGAAATGAAAGCACTCATGAGCATGTTTGTAGAAATCATGGGCATGTCCATGGACTCGGAAAAGATGATGAAAGCCACCAAAAATATGCTCAACAACAACAACAGCAACAACAAGAAAGGTCCGGTATTCATGTTTGGTAATTCCAATGGTGGCGGTGGAATTCCCATGCCACCAGGTGGTTGGTCGGATGCTTCGGCGGAAGCCATGGCAGCAGCGACCGCAGGATTCTTTGCGGATGGGGCTTCGTGGGAGGCAATTCGGCGGACTTATGGTGGTATGATGAACGGGGATATGATGATGGACGACGACGACGACGGCTCGGAAGAAGATGGTGACGATGACGACGATGATGATGATGATGATTCCTTGCCCAATTTGGACGATATGCGACAACTCTTTCAAGCACAACAAAAGTCACATTTTGAAGCCATGGCGAGAAGTCGAATGAATATGAACATGAATTCGAGTTCAAGTAGTAGTAATAACTTCAATCAGGAGATTCCTCCTAGTGATTGGGAGTCCCTGGAACAAGTGGCCATGGACGATGCACTGGAGGCGGAAGACCGGGCTAGAAAGGCAGCCAAGAAGCGCGAAAAGAAGCAACGGAGAAAGCAAAAACAAAAAGAAGAAGCTGCCCAAAAGGCGGCGGAAGCAGCTATGAAAAAGAAAGAAAAAACAATACTTTCCTGGCGGAGTCGAGTAGTGTCAGCGTGTCAGTCTGGTGAAGTCAGCAAACTTGACGCACTGTTACACGAGTCTCCCTTGCGCAAGGCTCCCGATGAGGAATCGCCCTTGACGCGGTCACATATTCTGCCCCATTTGGAATTTCTACTGCCCAATTCCGTTGCCAAGAATCGTTCCTTGCTGAATCGAGGAGAGGAAGCCCGCAAAAAACTGGCCGAATATATATTGTGCCAGGATATTCCAATAGTCTTTCAACCCTTGCGAAGTGGGCGCACAGCATTGCATTCGGCGTGTTTTCATGGAGACTTGCAATTTTTAAAATTGGTCTTGGAACGAGTCCGAAACTATGACGACACGGAGGACCGGATACCTTCCAACTACCTGGATCAAACGTGTGCGGAATCAGGCTGGAGTCTACTGCATTATGCGTCCGTCGCAGGGTCCAAGGAATTTTTGGAGATTTTGTTGCAAGAAGGTTGTAAGATTGGCACCATTACGGACGATACGCATACGTGGCGAAAAAGGTACGAATATTGTTGTGACTACGATGGTTGGAACCCATAGAAATCTTGTCTTTTTCACCATTGTGCAATCCCATCTATCGTTTAGTGACGGAAAGGGAGTGACCGCTAGAGAATTGATTCAATATATACATCGCAATGAACACGAAAAAGTATTGGAAACACATGGTGTCGCGCTTCAGGACACGATAAGTGCCCTTTGTTCGAATCAATCGGAACGTCGAGCCTTTCACAACAACATCAGTGGAGTACTCAGGCGACTGATAGATATAGAAACCAATGGATATTCGCCACCCAAACAGAATAATGTAACGTCGAGAGACGAGAATGAAGATTGGAATGATGCGAACCAGCAACAACAACAACAACAACAACAACAGCAAGAGAGTTCGAGCAGCAGTCGCAAACGGAAAAAGAAAAAGAAGAAAAAGCAAGCTCAAAAGGTTACCGAAGATGCTAAGGATGAGACTGCTAAAACGACGACTACCCAAGAGCAGAAGTCGACTGAAAGTAAGGAAGCCAAAGATCCTTTGGTGATGGCATTGCTAGGAATGGGATTTGCAGAACAGCAAATTAATGCGGCGGTTGAAGCATGTGGCGGGACTAATCGTGCGACAGCAGATGATCTGGTGACGTGGATTTTGGGACAGGATGCCGACGGAAACGATAACAGTAATTCTGGGCCATCGATAGTACACGCGGCTGAAATCACGGCAGAGACGACCATCAAGGCTACTTCCTTTGATCAAGCTGTAAAGCTTGATGCTGCAACCCAAGAAAAGGAAGAAGTCGCCAGACGATTGGCCATGAAACGGGAAGAGCAACGGCGTCGGAACCGAGCTTGGAATGATAGTCAGCAGTCGCGTCTAGCGGAGGCGGCTAAGGTCAAGGCTGCCAAGGCCATGATGCCACAGCGTCAAGTGGCGCCAGTGCCTCCGCCACCCGAGTATGCAGCAGCCTATCCTTCCTTGCTGTCGACCGTGTCTAGCGGTTCCACCACTGCTGCTGCACCACCACCAGCACCACCACCTAAATCCGCAGCTGTTCCAAAGCCAACGATTCTGCCCAAAAATATTGGGTCCAAGTCGGTAGCAGCAGCTCCAAAGAAGGCAGTAGTACCTTCGGTCAAACCAACTTCCAAGCCGGCAAAGAATGAGAAACCAGAAGCAGCACCAGTTGTCATTCCCAAAATTCTCAAAAAGCCAGAAGCGGAGATACCACCACCCAAGGCAGTACGAAAGGCAGCGCCAAAGGCTGCGCCACTTGCCAAGCCACATCCCAAAGTGGATTCTCCTCCGGAAATTCGAAATATTGTCAAGGAAAAGCCTGTCGATGCCAAACCGGTGCCAGTCTTGGCTCAGAAAATTGCTACTCCGGTGCCAGGCTTGGCTCCACTATCCAATGGTGGGTATAACTTCCCTTCCGGACTGCCCGTTTCGTCCGCTCCGTTGGTTCCACCACCCCAATCTTCTGCGCCTCCACCAGGTTTCATGGCACCCTCGCCTCCGCCCAACCTGCAGCCCAATATGCCGCCGCCGGGAGTCAACTTTCCTCCGTTGGATAATTCCATTTTGAATCCCGCCAACGGAATTGGTTTGCACTTAGATCAGGGCCAAATGGGAGAGATTCGCGCAACGGCCAAGGCGTTTGTTCCAACATCCTTTGGGCCCAGCATTCCTGGAGGAGACTTGGGTATGCCTCCTTTGTCTAGTGCCTTTGCCAATCCACAACCCTCTTCTGGCATGCCGGCAATCGGTGGTGCTCCTGAGAGCAAATCAATGATTCAATCGGCGTTTGCGCCTGGAATTCTGTCAGGTGGATTGGGCGGAGCTCCTGGTGTCATGGGTGGGGACAACCTCAATGGACAAGATAGGATGCCCTCAATGACTCCAGTTTCAACGGATTCGACAACAAATACCACCACTTCTCTTTCAGGATTCGAGGAATCTGGCTTGGCCGGTATTCCGCTTGGATTTGGTATGGGCATTCCACAACATGGCACTAGCTCGCTATTGGATTCCATTGCCACAGGTCCAGCACCAATTGAAGCTTCGTCTATTTGGGGAGGGCCACAAGGAGGGCCAGCCTTGGACGCATTCTCGTCGCTGGGTCTTGGCGATGTTGGAGGAGGTAATAACCAGTACGATGACAAGAATATTGCCGATGCAAATCTTTGGGGAAGTGTCGCAAGTAACAATCCTGCTAATAGCAATCAAGGGTCAATATGGTAATTCCAACACAGTAACCATCACCTATAGATTTTCTTTACTTCTTTTCAATAATAAACCGTTCAGTACTGTAGCTCACTAGCGAATTATGAATGGATATTTCTAAAGTTAGGACCAATCTGCCTTGCCCATAGCGCATCACCTACTGTTTCGGGGGTGTTGGTGGTATTCTGATTTGAGAGACAACAATGGCGATGTCATCCCGATACCGCCCGCCCTTTGATTGTTGCCACCCTTGCGCGGACATAAATATCAGCTGTTCCAAGGCAGTTAGCAGGTGCGGTCCTTCCTCACCATACAGACTAACGGCCACAGTTTGTGCTACTATTTCGGGTGTGGCAAAGTCCATCATGCCATCCGTTGCTGAAACAGCAAAGACATACACATCATCTTTGGCATCGCAATCAATGTCTACGAACATTTCTCCGTCCCCTTCGATTTGTTGACAACTCATTTGACCTTCCACCAACGAAGGAATATCAATGACATCGACCAAAGGGTCGGGAATTACGCCCAACTTTCCCGCCTCCCAGTCGCCAATACTTCGAGACATGGCCAATCCACTTTGCAATCCCGTTTCGGGGTCAGTATAAAGCACGCGAGAGGTGCCTCGAGCAGGAATATACACTTCACCTCCCATTTTTTCGACGCGAGCCTTTTCGTCGGGAAGGGAGGGCTTGTCTTCACGAGTCACGTAGACGACTTCGGCTTGTTTACTTTGGGCCCTGTATACCACCAAGAAGGATGTACTGTCACCAGCGTTGGCAAAATATAGTTTTTGACCATGTTGCAGTATAACTGATGCTGTGCATCCTCCAGAGATTTCAGCCGGGGCTGTTTTATCAATTTCGACAAATGTTTCAATCAAAGCCGTCTTTACTTGATCTTCTTCCCCATCAATTTTCTTTAATTTGCTGGCCAGCAGTTTTGGAAGTTCTGTGACAGTGTATTGAGATACTTTTTCTCCAAGGCTGGCATGACCATCAAATACACCCAGAATTTTTCCTTCTGCGTTGCCTTTAGCCCCAGTTTTGTACGGTGATACACAAAAAGATCGATCTTGATTAATTTGTGTCTCCAACGGACCTCCCTTGTATCCAATCAAAGTTAATGTTGCCATATCTTTTCCTCCTGAACTTTCTAACCCCTTCAGATCTTCAGCGCTGACATCATCTCGTTTCTTCTCACGCAAATCCGTCAAGGTATCTTTGATAGATTCATCATAATATACGTCTTGTGGAAGAATGGGGCAACCATACGAAGGACACGCCTTTGGCTTTTTGGCTTCCATCACCGTTGTGGAAACCGGACGAATGTAAGCTGCCGAAATGGCAAAGGCCAGCGCGGGGACCTTTCTGCAGAATTGAGATCGAGCGCTAGGGTAATGATTCATGACGGCCTTTCTCAACATTAGTGGTGAAGATAGAGATTGAAACGTCGAAGCAATCGGAAGGAATTGAAGCTGTGACACAATTGCTGATTGCTGATGACGATGACGACGACTGATTGATTATTCTCAATTCGATGGGTCCTTGTACCTCGAACGATGGACGTACCAATCAGTCGAATAAGTTGATTCATTTCACATTCATCTGACATTGCTCATCTGTCTCACAGAAGTTGGTACCGGTACAAACCATTTCATTTCGACTGCGTGGCGAACAAGAAATGTGGATTGGCTGGAAAGCATACAAGAATGTTCTCGGGATATCCTCATCTAATGCAAGAATCTGTAGCAACATGACCATGAATTGCGTTTGAATATTTCAGATGGCGAACAAATGTTGATTGGATTGAACCATTTCATGACCATATATATAGTGTACATCGGATGGCGAACAGGTAATTTTGATTGGCTGGAAACCACCCGAGAATGTTGTCGTATATCCTCAACTAGCTAGCTACTAGGAATGCAATAATCAATAGTAACATGACCACGAATTGTGTGGGGTGCTCGGGTGGCGAAAGAATGCCGGTTGGCAAGTAACAACCGCCCAGCACTGTTCTCGTCTATCCGCAGATACTGCAAAAATCAATAGCAAACCAGCCACCAAATGTCGACATTTCACGCCCAACCCGCCCATCGCAGATACTACAATCTAACCTATTGGCGGCGGGTGATATCCAGTACCGGTGCCAGCGGTAGCTCCGAACCATGCAGCACTTTGGTGTGGAGGTATCGCACATGGTATCTACTACCTGGTACTACCTGGTACTACCGTGCAGGATGAGAATTGGTGCCAACTACCGGTACATCCATGTCCATTGCGAACGATGGACGTACCATCAATTACGACTTGAGGCGCCAACGGTCATCTCAATCGTCATTAACCTGTATTGCACTCGATATGTTACCCTGGCGCCAGTTGATCAGATGGCGAACAAGAATTGGGGTATGCCGGGTAGTGTTCTCGGATATCCTCGATTACTGCACTAATCCGTACCTAGGAAACCATGAACATGAAAACATGCGTGAGTTCTTGGTTCGTGGCATGGTACCCGTGTACCAAAATCGGATGGCGAACAAGCAAATGTCGATTGGCTTGTAACAAAACTGTTCTAGTCTATCCGCAAATACTGCAAAAATCAATGTATTGTAGCAATTCAAAAGTCGATATTTACAACCATGGCCAACGCAGAGGATACAGTGCGATTACAGTACCTGCTGGTACCGGTACCAGCTACCATCGTTCTCTTACCCTATTGTCGGAGGTTATTCTGAAGTAATCTGGATCAAGGTTTTTAAACTGGTAGTTTGTGCTTGTACGGTACCAATCGTTCCAGCTACCATTACTGATTGTTAGAGCAAGGATAGAGTACCTGTTGTGAACTTTCGTAAAAGGTAAAAAAACCCGTGGTCCTTGGTGCCCGGTATAAATCCAGCACGACTCCATTCATAATCGAATCTGTACCTAGTACGTGTACCATATATAAATATCACGAATACCGCAGAAGTGTTCTGCAGGACCCCCCGCAACTCGTCTATCGACCGACCGTTTCCGAATTTCACATCTCCGACTTCTAAATAGTTTTCAATACACCCCTGGGCCGGGGCATTGTTGTAGCAAAATATTGTTTTTGATCGGTTTCGTGTTGTAGTGACGTGTTTCGATTTCTTTGATCGGTTTCAAAATCGTTTGATCGGTTTCGTGTCGCAGTGACTTGTTTCGATTTCTTTGATCGGTTTCAAAATCATTTGATCGGTTTTGTGTCGCAGTGACTTGTTTCGATTTCTTTGATCGGTTTCGCTTGATCTGTTTCGATTTCTTTGATCGGTTTCAAAATTTCGTGACATCATTTTTAATTTTAAAAACTGCGACGTACGATAGCCACGCATCATACTCGGATGGAGCCTTACAAGTCTCCGCATATTATCATCAAATCAGTCTCTTTCATGGACGAGCCGCCCATCAACCATCTCGTTACTCCATCGGAGATGATGGAATCTGGCCTTGCTCTGAAGGGCTACAGCGAAAGGCGAATCAAGCGTGCCAAGTTTCAAACACCACTTCAGAGTTTCTCCCTGCACTGCTGTTTGGGTGTACACCGACACGCAAATCACCAACATTGCAGGCTCAAGGATCAAGGGAGGAGTACTTGACCCTAATATTTCTTGATTGGACAACTGTACTATCTACGAAAGTTCCTATCCAAAGATGAGCTGACGTCCCAGTTCGACTCCAACTATTGGGTAAGAGAGAAAGATTGTGGAACTGCCCTCGGAGATCAAGGCTACAACAGAGAGCCAAAGCACATGAGCACCTACAACACACATGACAATGCTGGTGTCAGGCCCTTCAAGAGTCGAGCTCTCAAGAGACACGATAATTTCTACAGTCTGTTGAAGCAAAACAAGATCTTGGAGACGCGATTTCGACACAACGGAGATAGATTTGCTTCAGCTTTCGAGGCTTGTTGCGTCTTGGCTCATTATCTGATCACAAGAGAGATGTCATTATACGATATTATGATCGAGGATGCTGTAGAAACTTATGAAGGGGATAAATAGAAACTGTCTTGAGTAGGGCCCCTAATTGTATTTACTTTGCATCTCATTCTAGTAGTCATCTTTACCCTCTTCATCTCTTGGTTCAGCATATTGAGGTAGTTCGTCTTCATCCTCATTATTGTGATTGTCGTCTTTATCCTCTTCTTCAAGAACTATGCCATGCTGCGTTGTTGGAGGTTCTTGATTAATCTCGCATGATCTCAGCTATGGCACCTTTCCTTGGTCGAAGGTTTTTCTTCCTTGCCATTTTTCAAGGTCTGAAACTCGTATTTGTGAGGTTTGCAGTGGTCCATACGTTCAATCCTACTGTACGCTGTAACATTTGTCATCTTGAAGGATTTTGCTTTGATTGACATGATTTTCAATTTATTTCGTGACTCATTTTTTTGACTTGATTCGATTTCTTTGATCGGTTTCAAAATCGTTTGATCGGTTTCTTGTCGCATTGACTTGTTTCGATTTCTTTGATCGGTTTCAAAATCGTTTGATCGGTTTCTTGTCGCATTGACTTGTTTCGATTTCTTTGATCGGTTTCAAAATCGTTTGATCGGTTTCTTGTCACAGTGACTGGTTTCGATTTCTTTGATCGGTTTCAAAAAGTCGTTTTAATTTTTGAGGGGCTCCCTGCTGGCGGGGGGGGAAGACCTGTGCGTAGTAATCGCGCCCGACGCTCAAAAATCGGTGGATGGACAGACGAGTTGCGGGGAGTCCTGTGGGACTGCGACAGGAGGCGACAATTATATAAAAGTGGAAGGCGGGGAGAAAACCGACTTTCTGTGCTCCCCGTGAACACATGTTTTTGCTACCGCAATCAGTTGTCAAAAAGAGAAGTTCGTTCAAGCTCGAGCTTTCCAGCGAGCCGTCGTTGTTTCTGATTCGCTACGATTCGCTCTCATTTGTTAAAAGTATCGGAGAAAACCCCATTGGCGGTCTTTATTGGACATAATGCGGTATAATTCTGCTTGGACACAGAAATAAATAGGCCACAATCATTTAGCCGGATCAAACAAGAGTCAGCAGCAACAACAGCAACAGCACGAATTGCCAAAGCAATTTGCACGAACAAACCACAACAGATCATCAATATCAGTAACAATGATGGGAACAGAAACTGGAATCATTGGGCATCTGAGAGCTGGAGGTTCTCGAAGTGGCGATGCCAGACCGCCAAGAGCCTCATCGCTGACAGCCCACCCAACACCAATTAGTTCTTTTCTTCGACAACGATCCTCAGCACAACCGAAGATGCCAATAGGGAAGCCAGCAAATCATCTCAAAATATGCTTGAAAGCTCCCTCTTTGCAGAGTCTTGGATTGAAATCTCCGTTGCTAGGAACGCAATCGCCACTGGGGCTCACTTCCGCAAAATCAAAATTTGCATGGATGGACGAGTCGTTCCTCGGCAACCTGCGGAGATTGTTGGAAGACTCCGAGGCAATAGGCGGAGTGATGAAAGACACTGTATCATGGAAATCTAACGGTGATGCATTCACGGTTCGAGACAAGGCTATCTTTGCAACTCATGTGGCCCCCAAGTACTTTAGTATCATGAGCATCTCCACTTTTCGAATGGTGGCTCTATCATGGGGTTTCACAATCCAAGTGGATCCTTCCACTGGCAGCGAAACTTACCAACATTGTAGATTCTTACGAAGCAGCCCATCAAAATGCCAAAATGCGACCATGCAAGAGATGAAAGATTCTACCGCTCGTCCAAGCCAAGTTGAGTCGAAAGATTCCTCAAAACAAGAAGACCCGCTACTACTTCTTGCTGCTACTGCCTCGGCTTCCAACATGACTGGTAAGCAAGAAGAAACGTCGCCCCCCAATACTGTCAGGGCAACCGAGAAAACCAAGACTAGCCCAAAGAAACAAGTTGACTCTTCGAAGCCATCGGTAGTAAAGGCACGAAGAAGCTCAATCAGCAGTGTACTCTCTGCCAGTGCTGGTCGCAGAAGCTCTCTTGGTCTCAAGCTGCCTCCTGGAAATCCTCTTCGTAGATCTTTAGATCAACAGTTGAGTCCGTCCGAGGCCAGCTCTGCTACTCTTAAACTTCTCCAATCAAGTCGCAAGACCTTTGATAGGGTGGTAATCCCTCCCTTTTCCAGAATTCGAATGCCCTCTCAAGGTGTTGGACCACACAATCCGTTTGCAGGAGCTCCCAAGATTGGAAGCTCTTCCCTTGGAAACTCGTCTCTTGGACAGTTCGAGAAACGAGTCCGGCTTCTCAAGGCTCAAGCTAGTCTAACATCCAGTCTTCAACTGTTGATGGAAGATCCCATTGCACCTACTCCAGACCGTTCCTTTTTGTCAAACCTCCGAGGTATTCTGGAACATGCAGAAAAAGACCGGTTCACCCACATTGTCTCGTGGATGAAACATGGTCGTTCCTTCCGCATATACCATGAAAATGAATTCACCCAAGTGGTCTATCCAAGATTGACCAATGGTAGCCCCCTGGCCAACGTGGAAGAGACCTTGAAGGAGTATGGATTCATCAAGCTATCCAAAGGCCGCGAAAAAGAAGCCTACTTTCATCCACTCTTTGTTCGTGATTTGCCTATGTTGGGGCGTGGGAAAGCGATACAACAGTGGAAGACAGCGGGGTGGAAGGGAGACTCCACACCCGAATTCTTTTTGTAGAAGATTCAATGCAAGGGAATGCTAGCTGAATACATATTCTAATTTTGATACATGGGATAAATCCCCGTTGGACTACTACTGTACATGTAGGTAGTGGGTGTGTTGTATTTTCATCAAAAACTAATTTATCCCCAGGGAACAGAATAGTTAGTTACACTGCTGTACACTATAATTCTCTATACAGTATCGTCTAAATTTCCACCATATCCCTTCGTCTTCTGCCAATTCCGTGTAACGATGATCGTACTGGCTGTGGTGAGAGAGTTCCTGATCTCAACGGTGGCGAAAGCGCATTTAGTCCCATGGATTCCCCTCGTCGAAGTGCAGGTCTTCCCTCTCGCTTGCGGTTGGTGAAAGAATCCATTTGATTTAAAAGCTGCCTAGGTGACTTGCGACCATGGGCTGTGTGCTTAGGACTGGTGCATGCAGTGGAAATATTGTTGTTGATGTAACAGTCATCATCATGATCATAATCGTCTCCGTAAAAATCTCCCACATTGGAAGAATCTGGCAAGAACTTGTTTGCCTTTTTGATGAGCGGCATATTGCTGGCCGAGATTGTAAGGTCTTCTTCATCTTCTTCCGAAAACATAATAAAGGAAATGAAATGGGGGATTCCTTCTGAAAGCTCGGTGATTTGCGATTGGACACAGCTGCTCGAGGCAGCCTCCAATTCCTCAATCGTGGTTATTGTGGAAAAGCTGTCTCGACGAAGGGGAGGACTTGGACCGTGACAGAAAGGAGTACTGGGTAGAGTCGCAACCTTTTCTTTGGGCTTGGAAGGGACTGGTGGCTTTCCAACATGGATCTCAAGTGGACAATGCTCGTATGGCACAAAATCCAGCTTTTTCTTGTCCGGCGTCTTCCAAGGGGCTGTTGCTCTTGTTGTTGTCGCCCTTGCTTTGTCTTCCTTGGGCCCGCGGTGATTCCGAAATAGGTTGTACATGCTGTATCATTCAGTATGTGCTTTTTGTTTGTCAAGCAAGGAAGAAAAAGCGCAAATGTTGACCGTATACCAATGCAAGGGATTTTCGGGCGTAATGCGGTTTGGTTTGGGTTTGGATGAAGTTTCCTTCGCGTTACTAGCGAAGCAATGAAAAAAGGTGGCATTCGATTGCTTCGACTGCTACGGTATGAATAGCTTCAAAAGAACTTCAACCGTGAGCAATAGAGGATTAGCAACTTCCGTCCTTTTCTGTTCTGTTCTAAAGCGTCGGCAAAAGTGGTCTTGTACGATCAGAAATGAAAATGGAGGGACGAAGAAATGAGAAAACGAATCATATTGCTGTACCGTAGATACACGTACCTGCTCTACCCTAAGATAATGTCTCACTCAGACATCAGAAGAACGAAGAAGACCCTCTACCGGTACCGGTAGGCACACATGTAATCTGAAATCAATCAGTCTTACCCTAGTCTGTCCGCACGTCGGATCCGCCCGTCCGTCCAGAGCTCGGCTAATGCATGGAACCTGGTGTCATGTTCAGTTATCAAACATCATGAAGTGGTTTCCAAGGATACGTACAAGCGTAGGGCATTATTTTCTGTTAGTTTGTTTGCTACTTTGCCAAGCATCAACTTTAGCCCAGGAATGTCCTTCCTACGGTTGTTCATTGACACCATTGGACGTTTATTATTCGACAGAACATTATGATGCGCTTGCCATTCTCCGATCGGAGACGGCTTCTGCGGAAGAACAAAAACAAGCCTTGCACACGCTGTCACCAGCTGGAGATGATCACAAGACAACACTGACACTCAAGAGTTACAAAGGCGGAGAACCCGAGGAACAAGTCAATCAAGATGCCGCCATGGTCCACTCTCCGTTTCTTCTCGAAGGATACGAGGAACCCTCGCAATTGCTGGGAGTCTTTGATGGGCATGGAGATGGGGGTGAAATTACATCTCTGTATGCAGCCAAGACTATTCCGAAATTGTTGGCTTCCAAACTAGCCAGCATAGATTTGGAAGACTCCGATGCCATTCAAACAGCCATTACAGAGACCTTTGTCCAAGTGGACCAAGAGGATCCAACAGAAGGGGAAGGAGGATGCACGGCCACCATGATTCTGCAATTGAATGATTTGCTGTACATTGCCAATGCTGGCGATAGTCAGTCGTTTGTGACTGTTTTCATCAAGGACGAAGCCGTTGTAGTCTACGAGAGCCGAGAAGACAAACCCGAGTTGGAAGAAGAAAAGGCACGCATTACTGAAGCTGGAGGCTATGTACACATTACTGCAGACGACTCGGATGTTCCTCGAGCATATGCTGTTCATCCAGATGGGACCATCGGGACTGGTTTGGCGATGTCTCGTTGTTTGGGAGACTGGGAAAATCAAGGGGTGATTGCCGAGCCCATTATTGATATACTGAACATTACAGAGGTTATTAATTCCGCCTTGGAGTATCACGAAGATGCTTGCAAGGAGAAGGATCCATCAGACCCTATGTGCCAGACGAAACTGACCCGAGACGATGTTCATATTATGGGAGCATCCGTTTCAGATGGAATCATTGACTTTATGGAGACTGGTGAGGTGGCTGATATCATGGCACCCGCTTTTTTCACAGGGGGTTCCCGCCATCCGCACCTTGCAGCTGAGGAAGTAGTGTATACTGCTGGAATGATGTGGGATAAAGTCTACAACAACAGCTATCGCGATGACGTAACGATAGCTGCCACCAAGGTATTCGTGGGCGGCAAGACGTCTCATGAATATTCCGGTGGCGAACTGTAGTAAATAGTCTGACTTTTTCCAAAATCTTTTGCAAACTCCTATGTACTGCTATATTATCAACCTATGCACAGCAATGGAAATATCATCCCTGTACAATTCCATTCCAGGAGAAGTAAACCATTTGTTGGAGGATTTCCGGATCAATTCCTCTAGGCATTCTGGAAGGCTACCAGCTCTCAGCACAGTGAGACTCTTGGCAACGCGATCTGCGACTTCTTGTGGCTTTATTTCATCAAATATTCCATCTGTAGCGGCAACAACAAAGTACTGTCGATCTTTGGGCAATGCTTTCAAGTCCACGACTTCGGTTGTAGGTTCGCCACTGACACCAATCTTTTTGGCTTCAAAGTCACCAAGGGCCCGACTCATAGCTAAGGCCATTGCATTCATAGCATCAATTGGCACCAAAACTCTTGCCGAAAAGCCAGGAAAAGGAGAGTCTTCCACCATTCCTCCTGCCGCAATGATACGCTTCCTTTCTTCGGGTAAATCTGGCTTGTGTGGCTTGGTTATGTAGATGATCTTGACATCCTTTCCGTTCTTGTCATAGCTAGCAAGAAAGGCTTGAGAGTCTCCCAAATTGGATACGTATAAGGATTTTCCATGCTTCCATATGCTAATCGCTGTACTTCCTCCAGCATTCAAGTTTCTCGGCAGAGATTTATCAACATGCAAGAAGATTTCTCTCAGACGCTTCTTGGTGTCCTCCTCGCTGAGAGTGATAGAAGATGTCAACGAATCGAGTTCCGAGAGTTTGGCTGGGAATTCCAAGCTAGCAGAGTGCGATGTGACATGCCCCAGTTCCCCGTGTCCATCAAACAAGCCTATCCAAAAATCGTTCTTCTTCTCTGGAAATGACATCATGACCAAACGATCTTGGTTGACACTATTGTCGGTATCCATCCCGACGGCTGGTTTGAATCCTTTGCGTGTCAGGACAAAGCACATTGTCGGGTCAACGAACTTAAAATCAAGGCCCTTCATTACTATGGAAGGTGGATATTCGTTTGGTTCAAGCATTATAGTTTCTTCGTGCATCAGTGATTTGTAGGAAGGGTTCAACTCTGTGTACGGGAAATGAAGGATGGCGGCGGATTGGGAATACTGGTAGGTTCCAAGAGGTTGTTTTGTTGCCCAGATATGCCACCTCGCTTCATCTCCATCGAATGGTTTTGGAAAATCAGGAAGCAATGGTATCGTTTTGGAAGACTGTGACCTTAGAACTGCTCGCTCTTTAGTCTTTTGTACATGTATGTCTTGTCCTTTATTGGCTGTCGAATTGAAAATTGTAAGAGGACACAAAGCGATTACAATCACTATCAGCGTAACCCTTCTGGCGTCCATTCGTTTCTTTGTCTCATGTGTATCGTGAAATAGTTGAGGATGTGCTTGTTGTGGCAATTTCTTTCGCATTCTGTCTCACAACTGAACAGACACTGAAGAGATAGATATAGATTGTTTGTTGACTGATGAGGCGGGTTTGCGGTTTGTTGTCGGTCTCCGACCACTCTGATTCAAAGACTTGGAGAACAAGATGATACCGCCTTGCAAGAAGGAAGGTTTTAGTATCATCGTTTGGAAAGAAGCATTCATCATATGTTTTCTAGAACTAACATTATTAAAATAAAAAATATCTACCATTTACATTGCTTCCCACTCGGAGGTTATGATCATTGCCGTAGAATTGCGCGAAAATGCCAGATTATTAGAATACTGCTAAATCCGCGCTCACTGGTTTGTCATCTGGAAAGTAAGTTTGCATGATTTTCCCTCCAATCATTCCCCCTAGCATGGAACTCATTATTCTCATTTCCGGTGCGCCATAACCCATCAATCCAAACGTCAAGAGGATATTTGGGCAAAAGGCGCTGCCCATTCCCTTCGAGTCTACAGAAAAATTAAAGATGGGGAAGAAGAGCCAAACCACACACCATCTAGGCACTCGATTGAGTTGAAACAAAACTGGCAGGACTTGAAGTGCGACAGTGTACGCCGCTGTGATTAACATCTCACTAAAAAAGTCCTGCGAGTATAGAACGACATGCGAGTATGAGATTTGTCACCCTTCTTCGTTTGACCATTCAGCCTGTGCCGTACTGTCCTTACCACAATCCATGGGTTCCCTCCCTCTGCATATTGAATGGTCCCAAGTGCAATTTCTATCATGTCGTTTGCAAGCACCCGCCGTAGAGACATGCTCAGCAAAAATGTAACGAGGACATGGACTGGGAGCAGTGACAAGAACTCCCAAAGTCTTTATCGTTTGCAGCACATGACAGCATAGGTCAGCTAAATTCTCAGGAAAACATCGCATCTAAATTCTCTTTGTAACACTCACCGTATCCTTCCCAGAACATAGTCACTAGCCCTAGTAGGTATGTTTGGGATCATTTGGGTCTTGTCCCGAATCCACAACAATAATCTGCATATAGTAGATGAAATAAGTGAGCAAAAAGTTGACATGAGCTACGTTTTTCGAGTCAAACTTACATGGGGTTTGCAAAAATAAACCCGGGAGCTTGGAGTGTCAGAACTTTGGAGGGCATTAACGACAAGGCCCAACTTGAGACGATGGATGAGATTTTCAGCAGTTCTAGTTTGATTCCTGTCATCTCCCGGCTGCTTCCTGCGGTATAGTGCCAGAAATATTCCGGCATTGTATTATTATCTCTATACGCAGCAAGATCGTATAGAAAACGGATCAATACTCGGGCAGCAAAGGCCATACAGAGCCATAGATAAACGCCTCGAATTTCCTGAATCCATAACGATACCATTTTTTTCTTCCATCCTGGCTTTTCTGCATTGGATTTTTCCTTAACCCTGACCTTCTTCTTCTTTACAAAGCTCTTGTTGAATATCATGGTGATTGTGACAATAACAATGTCATTAACTGGAGTAAACAAACTACAGTACGGCACAGTATTCTGTTTGCACCTGTTTGATTTTCGAAATTCGATCTGAAATCATCTGCAACGGTTCTTGCAATCGACCAAGTCGATTGATTCATTCGTTTCGAAACATGTAAGATCAGCGAATCGAATGTGGGTTATTTCTATCACGCGACATCTGAAGCATCAACCTGGAACTGAATGCTCCATTCATTATTCAACACGTAAACTATTAACTCACGACACCAAGCTTACAACAAGTTGACGAGTCAATCATACCAAAATGTTCCGAAAGCCAAAGAAGTCAAAGAAAACAAAGATTCGCAAACGCAGTTCATCCGAGGACGACAATAATGCAGGAGTGGAATCCAATCATGCGGCGTCTAATTCTGATGACGACGATAACGACAACGATCTTGGTGAAGTACGAAAGCAATCTGCATTCAAGGCTCGAAAGAAACTAAAAACAATTGGAAAAGCGAATGCAGGGGATGATAAGGGATCCGCATTGCACCAGTTCCAGCCATCCGCCAATCAAATATCGCAGAAAGACTTGGTTACGTCCACAAGCCAACATCATCCTACAAAGACAAAAGTTTATGCGAATAAGTTATTGGCAGGCCCTATCCGAGCCGCTGCGAATATTAGGACGACATGCCGATTCGACTACCAGCCTGATATTTGCAAAGACTACAAGGATACTGGCTTTTGTGGTTTCGGTGATGGCTGCATCTATCTTCACGATAGGGGGGATCAGTTAAGTGGATGGCAACTAGATCAAAAGTGGGAAGAGGAACAAAAGAAAAAAAAGGATGCTCAGCAGAATCAAGTAGAGCAGTTTTTGAAGCAGAGCGAGGGTGGGGGAAAGCAACAAGACAGTCAAGAGACCCACGACGGGTTGCCTTTTGCATGCCATATCTGCCGGGATGCTTTTAAGAATCCTGTCAGAACAAACTGTAACCACTTTTTCTGCGAGAAATGCATACTTGAACACATGAAGACAAACGGAACGATGTGTCCCATTTGTTCAAAGGATACAAATGGCGTGTATCATGAACCAACAAAACTATTGAGTAAGAAACGGCGACTTGTGGGACGAGCTGCATCCTGGAAGGAGTTTATGCTTAAATGTCAAGGTGAAGCGGAACCTGAGGACTCCTAACACCAACAAGTTCTTAAAACAGTTGGATGCTCGCCAAGTTGAATAGGCTTCAGTTCCCATTTTTACCCATTCTAATTATGGTCGATCTACAACAGTACAGTAGTGGCTCAAGATCCTTCTCATTTGTAACCATTTTAATTATGGTCGATCAACTACAGTAGTAGTGGCCAAATATTCTTATCATCAGATAGTAGGTGACAGAGTTAAAATTATGCCAAACTATTAAAGGTATTATCGATGATCTACTAGTGTTACAAGATTCTCATCATCCGACTGATGATAGAATAGTATCAATATCATCGTGACAGTACACCGGAATTATGTATAAACATAAGATGCAAGTGATAAAGTATGCCCTGTCACAAATACATGAACAGGAAAGCGACTTTTAACGCCACTGTTGCTGCTTGGCGTAATGGCCGTTACTCGACAAGCGTTGTTGCAAATGCGCAACTACGGAACTGGGCGCTGGTGCCGACAATTCTGGCTGGATCAGGTTGGGCATGGGGACACGATTGGGGACACTGGCTGATCCAACAAAGGTACCGCTACCTTGTATCAAATCAAGATAGCTCTTGGGCAAACCTATGCTGGCAGCATTGCGAGTTTGCGACAGATTGGATTGGGATTGCCGGAGAGCATCAGGAATGGTGATTCTCTGCTGCGCTCCAGCTTGTTTGGAAGCACCCATTTGCCGAAGCGCTTGGAGTCTTGCACCAACGTCAAAGGACATGGATGGTTGCATGGGTGATTGAGCAGCCATCGAGGATTGGGACATTGCCTTGAGGTAATTGACTTGGGCTTGAAGTTGAGTGTTATCGCTGAGGCCCAAGAACTTGTTTTGTACGGGTGGAGGCATGAGAGAGTGCGACTTGGCCTTTAGAATGGCATCAAATCCACTCGGAGTAGAGTTTTGTTGTCCAAGACCAGGGGTCTGGAAAGAAGTTCGTGGCATTGTATTGGCTTGCTTGGTAGCAGAAGTATTCGAGCCACCAAGCAGTCTTTCTAGATGAGCTTGTACAAGGCTTTGGGACTTTAGCTCCTCGCTTTTATTCGTCTCTCCTAGCAGAGCACCAAGAGCACTCTGAGTAGAGTTTTGTACCAGACTAGGAGTCTGGATAGGAGGACTTTGTGGCTTTGCAGTCGCTGGCTTGGCAGGATTGTAAGAGCCACCCAACAACCGTTCTAGATGCACTTGTACGAGGTTCTGTGGCTTGAGCTCTTCGGTGGGACTGAACCTCTCCAGGTTTATTGTGTTCTCAACCTTTTGAGTTGGAGCCGCTGGGGCAGGAATAAAGACAGGTGATGGCTTTTGGGTTGCATCCTTGTCCTTGTTCTTCTTTGCCTTCTTCTTGCTAGTGAGAGCGGTGATAGCTCTTCTGGTTCCAGCGGCAGTGACACTTCTCATTTCAGTCATCAGAGACTTGTTATCCCGCTGAAAGTCTTCGTGTCCAAACATCAGGTCTCGGTCCTTCTTTGTGCCTCCTTTGGGGATGCATATCTGTCGAAAGCCCCAGCGATAGAGCTTGCGGGTGAAGGAAGAGAACTTTCCTTCTCTGAAGAAAAGAGGTAAAAGACTGTCAACAAGCTCTTGTCTGTCCTTGATTACGAATGCATGGCCATCGCGGACCCACGAGATGCAGGTAATGTGATTTCCCCTGTCTCGTTCGTTATCAACATACGACAATAGAAGCATAAGCTATAAGCGAGAGCATACAAAATGAGCTTATGACACGAAGTAGGCAATCAGCACTGTTTACAGTAATCCTCTTACCTTTTGTGGGAAATTCAATGTTGCGTTATTCTCTTTCACGAATGCAAGAAGGCTGGCACTGGATGCCATTTGGCTTGGCTGTAAGAATTGAAGCATATTGACCGGTGTATTCGAATCGATTGACGACATTTGAGGACGCATTGCTTCTCTTCTTTGTAGGGTATCAGAGTTGCTGTATGCAGCGTATTGGTTTGGAAAGAAAACCATCGTTTTCGTTTTATGTTTCAGGTGATTTTGGGTACCGATAATGCCTTCATGGGATTAGCATCAGCAGGTGCGGGAGAAGGCCGGAGAAAGATGTTAGAAGAAAGTACATCAGTATTCCTCCGTCCCGGTACTTGGGCTCTTCTTTGTTCTTCCTGTATGACCTGACACATTCAAGTAGGACCTGATTTTTCTCATTTAAGAGTTGTGGCACCCCTTTTACCCAACTTCGAAGGCGTTTGAATTAGCGGGCGCCCAGAGTGATATTGCTGACGTCGATCACTTCACAAACAAGACCAAACAGCGAAAACACCACTGAATTTTTCATCCCCTCCACATTTTAAAATCTGGAACATTTAGCCGTTTGATAAATCTGATTTACGAGCAGAAGCAAAGTTGGCGTTTCGCCTTGCACCTTCAATGATACGATAGCAGGCGAGGTCCTAAACTGACAGTTTTTCGCCACCAGCAGCATCAGTGACACATAACACGTACGAACTACCGGTAATGTAGTCTTAATCAATTTTTAAAATTTCATTCTTCATCCTCAACAAGTATGGTACCGGTACCACCACCAGAAGTCCATCACAGTTTCTCAGGGCCACCGGTATTGAAAAGAGCGATCCAGCTCATTGCTTCTTATATATACTGGCTAGAACTAACACAAAGCACATCTGGGGTGGGTTGGTTCAATCTCAATCCATGTCTATCTCTTACAGCAGCGGAGTTGTACCTGAATACACGAGCGTTTCAACTAACATGTCATCCTCCAGAGACACCACGATATTAGCTTCCTTCGCAAACAAGACCATTAGGGACAACAGAATTGGAAAAAGGCCGTGTCATCACGATCAGAAGCATAGCAATGATACACCACGCAATATCAGTGATACGTGACCTATACTTCTGAACGAACTACTGTAGTCCTAAAGTCAAAGGATGGTTTCTCAGCGCCTCTATTGAATAGAGAGTGATCTAACTTATTCTTTCTTAAAAACTAGTAGAGAGAGCAATGGCACTGAAAATCTGGGGTGGAGAGCTGGTTGGTTCGATCTCCTGTCGTTTGGTTTCATTTTGGATTCCACGAGAGTTTGAATTTCCGCGACAGCCAAAGACACAGTATCGCTTTTACTTCGCAAACAACAGTCAACGACGACAGCATTGAAAGCCCCGGTCGGCAGCTGTTTGATATAAATCTCATTACGACCAGAAACATGCAGTAGCAATGATATCGCATACGATATGAGTGATACGTGACCCTTTTTATTTTTGAAAGAACTACAGTAGTCCTAAAATGACTGTCTCAGAAAGTAACGTAGTCCACCATGGTCCAGTCTACCATGGGACCATGGTCTCTCAGTGCTTGTATTGAATAGATAGAAATCTAGATCATTCCTTCCTAAGATCATTGAAAATCTGGGTCGAGAGCTGGTCTCGGTTCGATCTATCTCCTGAAGTATAATGTAGTACTGTAGTACAAGAGTTTGAACTTCCGCGACATCGAAAGACACGCCGGTACCGGTACGAACTGCTTCGTTCGGAAACAAGACCTTAGCGACAACAGAATTGAAAACCGCGGTGTCATCACGACCAGAAGCATGCAATGATATGCCGCATGCAATATCATTGAGGATACGTGACCCCTTTCATACTTCTGAACGAACTACTGTAGTCCTAAACTAATTGCTTCGTCATCAGTTGGTTGGATGCCACCTGAAAGCTGAAAGTATTGGTCCAACATGGTTTCTCGGAGTCTGAGCTGAATGGAGAATGATCTATCGGTAACTCATTCCTTCCCAGGATCCAGCCTAAACTTGCATTGAAATCTGGGGTCGAAAGCTAGGTACAGTAGTTGGTTCGATCTGTCTGATCACGGTCAGACTCTTCGTTTGGAGCATTTCTGGCAATGTCAGTGATACCGGTACGAAGTGGGGACTGGTAATGATACTCGATGTTTTTTATAATATCAGTGATTAAAAATAAAAGAACTTTCTAGTCCTCAACTATCTTTCAAAAGCTTGGTTGGTCCATTGGAACCATCCGTCAAGAAGTAGTCCACCATTGGTTTCTCCGTGTTTGTTATGAATAGAGAGTGATCTTGCTTCTTGTATTTCTTCCATGCTGGGATTTCATCCAAGATCATTTGAAACTTCAAACCATACCCTGGGTCTTGCGTGAGAAGCTTCAATAGTTCCACTGTATGAACCTTACCAGCTGCCGGATCCTTAATGGAGGATAGTGCGGCATTCTCCAGCACTCCCTCTACTAGAAATCTTGGCAACTCGCAAGTCAAAGCCGATTGTAGGAGAGGAAGACGCCCATCTGCTGCCCCAGGAGCGCCTGCTTCGGTCTGCGTCTTTTGTTCAGCAACTTCCTTCGGGTCCACTTCGGTTCGTGCGTCAATTCCAGCGCCTTCTGTTTGAGGTGGTTGCGGCATGGATCCTTGTGGTCCACCCTGAGTATCAGGACCATCGTGCTGGGGAACAACTTGCCCTCCCATGTATCCTTGTTGGAAGTTGGTTGAATTGTCTTGCGGAGACATCGCCTGTGACATATTTTGAGGCGCACCATTCGTCATCGTTTGCGGTGGCTGTCCTTGATTTTGGTTGGTAGCCATTTGTGGTGGTAACTGGGCAAAATTATTCAAATTCTGAGAGTGTGAAGCTGTAGCACTCATTTGTGACTGTGTACCGATATTTGGTTGGTTTTGTTGGTACGTCTGGGGACTATTCGTATTAGAGAAGCCATACGATGCATTGTAGCCTGAAATTGAAGAAGGCATCTGTGCTGGCACTGTGTTTGTACCGGAGGGTTGCTCATACACCGATTGGGACATTGACGAAGTCTGAGTGTTGCCGACTTGATGGTTATAGGAAGTTTGTCTCGAATTGTAGTCATTGGTCTGCACTTGCGTTTGGTGCGGCTGCGTCTGCGGTTTTGGTGCTTGCTGTTGTGAAGCCTGATGCGACCATTGCTGTTGAAAGTTTGATTGTCTAGAGTTGATATTCATGTTTTGTCCTTGGTTGAATTGACTTGAAGGAGCTGATTGCCTCATCGGAGTAGCAGGCTCGGGTGCCGCGTATTGCAAGTTTTGAAGTGGATTGACATAGGGTTGCTGAAACCTTGGCGTCGAGGAAGCTTGGGTTTGCTGGTAGCCATTTCCTCCCATGTAGGAACTCTGCTGATTATATGAATGTGACATTGCGCTCGAAGAACTCGATAGAAACCCAGAATTAGAAGTGTGCGCTGGTGGTGCGGCTTGGTTTCCCATTGCATGTGGCGTTTGCTGGAAACGAGATCCAGTTGTCATGTTTCCATGCACTCCCATTCCACCGGATGATGGATAAGAAAATTGGCTGCTCATGTTTTGCGTTTGGTATTGTCTTCCTTGAGTACCCATCTGGTTACCCACTTGAAAGGATGATTGAGGCATGCTCATATTTGGTGGAGGCGGTGGTGGAGGCGCCGCTGGAGCCATTGCAAACGCAAGAGGATCATCCAAGGGATTCCCTGTGGTTACTCGGTTTCGTTGAACAGGACCCTCTCCGGGTGCTGGTGATGGTGCCATGTAAATTTGCGAAGCACCCATTGGCATATTGCCTGCACCCACCAATGCACTCGTCTGCAAGCCATTAGAGTTCTTTATGTCTCCCAGAGCATCAAGGAACAGCCTTTTCAGCATGTCGATCATGAAGGCGCTGTCTGGGTGGAGACGATTGCTACTGATGGCCAGCTTTGTGAATGCTACAATTCCATTCGTCGCATCGTTCTGGCCAGAAATAATCAGAGCTTCCACATTCTTGCGTCTGCTTACCGAAACGTGGAGAAGCCGCATCACACTGAGAAGAGGTGTTCCGTACAGTTCTTGCATCAGAACTTGATCCAGAAAACTCAAAGAGCGTCCCATGTAACCCCACTGAGAAAGCTTATCGCACAAGTTTACTCTCACTTTACAGAGGTAAACACTGGCATCTGTCACAGATTGCAAAGTACCGTTTCCGCCGACTGTCAGCACAGCCGTAGCAGCAGTCTCTGGACCTGCAGTATTATCGGTGACGAGGTTCAGCTCATGAGACCAGCGTTGGAGCAGCATCTCGAGGAATGCACTAGGATCGCGCACATTGTATGTTGGCTCCTTCAGGAAACGAGAAACATAAACCCCGCCAATGAAGAGTTCGCCATCAAGATTCTTGTATTTCACAAGTATTTCAGGCCCCAGCGCGAATTGATCATCGCCGACACCACTAGCTTGTCGTTTGCTCAAGCATGGATCGAGCTGCTCTGCCAAAACTCGTCTTAATTCTGTGCGCATCGATCCATCCCATATCAATTCCGGGGTATCACTTTCTCCATCAAACAAGTTCAGCATCGTATCAGGGCCCTCCTCCTTCAAGATAACAACAAGTGTCAACGGTAGGAAACGTTGCAAAAGTGGCGCTATGTATTCACCCGTTAAGTTAGTGACGATAATAAGAAACAAATAGGTACTGTACATGGCTTACCTAGTTTCGGGCCTGTCGTCGGATCCCATAGAAGTCGCGACAGTGTTTTTGCACTGCCAGTACGAGCTGTCCATGCCTTGGTGAAACCACCATAGCCAACAAGAATTCCCAACAACTCTAGCCAGGCTGTGGACTCTACAACCTTAAATGCGACAGATGGCGAAGACGACAACGCCTCAAGCAGTGCCCATCCTCGCTGCTTGCGAAGCACGTCAATGTGCTCAGATGTATTCGCACCACCATTTTCGGTAGCATCGCTTCTCTCCAGTACCCACAATAGTCTCCAAAGCGCGCCTTGAGCTGCAATTGCATCCGCAAATTGCTGCTTGGGACTGAGTATTGACAAGATGTCACAGCCAGTTTCAAATACCTGAAAGGAGAAAGTAAGCGGTGTGAGATTTGGAGAGAAAGTTCTACCTGTACGCATGTGAAGCCGACGTACCTCCGTGTCTTGGGGCAACTCCAATAAGGATAGCACAACAGACGCCAGGTTTGTAGTAGCATCACAAAGGACATCGTCAACTAGTCCGTCAACTCTCACTAGAATTCGAAGCGCTGCCACTGTCGCAACAAATCTTCGATCATATATTTGCACAAACTCAAGCTTGGTATCATCCAATTCCGATTCATCCAAATCCGGATCGTCGTTCAGAATCTGCAATTTAACCCAACCTTCAGGAAACCGATCGCTTTCGTTGAGGCACCGAGCGATGAAGTGCGTGAGCCGACGAGCAAATAACCCAGGGTTATTAATGTCCCGCAGCACTCCCTGTTCCAACCCTTTTTGGTTAAAAACACGAATGTAAACACCACCAATGCGGAGCTCATCTTTGAGGACTCTATGGCAAAAACTGTTGACACCTTGAAGTGATTCAGCAGGGGGCATCATTTTCCCATCAGGATGCTTGGTTTCCATGTCTCCGAGGAACTTTAGCAGATCGTTTCGCATCTGAACATTCCATATCCGCGTTGGAGTTTCAACATTTGAATTCAAAATTGTAAGGATGTTGCCCGTCCTTTTGTACCGAAGTAGTGACGCAATTGGACCCGTAAGCATCGAATTTAGTGCGCGATGTAATTCAACATTCTTTGGTGATTCGAACGCTTTGTCTTGCAAGACTCCACACAGCATCCCAAGGGCCCTGACAGCGAGTCTCGCATGAGAATTACTGGCTGCTTGTGAAATACCAATATCATCATCCGCAATCTCTCTAGCCATGGCGTTCTCATCTAGGGTGGGGTCATAGCCGAGTAAATATCGACCAACCGGCCAAACAATTCCAGCACCGATCAGAACGTTCTGCAAATCCACGCTCCGTGCCATGTTTGCAAGTCCCTCCAGAGCATATTTTCGAATAAGGGAATCTCCAACTTGCAGAACTTTTGATCCCAGCGACTTTCCATCCAAGCAACGCCTCCAATTGATACAGAAGCGAGAAGAGCTTTGCAATGAGGCGATTGCAGACCGACCACTCTCGTAATATGCAACTCCAGACAGAGTGTGCACGACGTTCGATAAGATTTCAACAATAACTTGATTTGATGCGTCCGTTGCACCAACAGCGTTTCGACTGTCGGCGCATCGGGATGCTTGGACATAAAAGTCAAGCAATGATTCAAGCACCTCAACTCCTGATTCTGCCACCAACTCTTCGGCGTTCAATGGCGAAACAAGGCAGGTTCGGAAGAGCAACTCAACTGCGTCTCGAACAAATTCGGCTCTCTTTGCCTTCATCAGACACGAGCCAAGTATTGAATCTGAGTCGCCACTGCTTCGAGCTTCTTCGCATGACTGTGGCAACTGAAGACATGTCATAAGTATCTTGTACGCTGGATACTTGTATTGCCCCATCTGCTCTTCGAAACGCCGGCAGACAAGTGACTGAGTTCGGATGAGAAGTTGCATCGATTCCATTTGATCAGAACCGCCAACAAAACCTTCTGCAACATTTGCCGACTCGGCACCAGCAGTGCCTGTCCTAGCTCTTTCCTCATTTGTCCCTTGGATCTTCTGGCCACTCTCAATGTACGGTAAAAGAAGCTCATATGCCCCTTGGATTGCCTCGAACATTTCTCTGCCTGCTGGATTCTGTACAATAAAAAGACGAAATTAGACAACCGTCATTGGCATACAAATTCCATCTCTGATACTGCTCAAACGTACCTTGTCAGGGTGATATTTTCGCGCCAACAAGCGGTAAGCCTTGCGAAGCTCTTTACTGCCGTCCCCACTCTTGAGATTCAATACTGCAGTTGCTTGTTCCAGCGCCTCCTCCTTTTTGGTCTCATCTCGATTCATCTGGACTTTAAACTCTTCCAAACATGCTCTGAAAACTTCAACGGGCTCAGCGATCGGCCAGTCTGGGAATCGAACCTCGTCACATAAGTTTCTGAGATAGTAGTTGTGGCAAAAGATCTCTTTTTCAAGGCGTTTATACGCGACACCAGGCATCGGACAATACTCATATTTTGTGGTTGTGTTCTGCCAGAGACGCTTTGGAAAATCCCCAAGATGCTGAAGAATCATTTCAATCAAATGCTTTCGCATGTCAAAATTCCAGATAACCTCAGGCGTATCAAGGTTGCCAACGAAGACATCTGTGAAACGGTCTGCTCCATAATTGTACAGCATAAAGAGAACACCCTCGGGCAGCATACTGCCTAGAATGCTTCTTTCCTTCAATGATAGCTCGCTTGTGTCTGCAGCTGCAGCAAAGCCAGAGCGGAAGTTCTGATGCAAGTGAGTAGAGTGCAATAAGTTTGCAATAGGCCTGAAGTTGCTTCCAGTGTAGCAAGCTGCAAAGAAGAACACACCAGTCAAGTAAAACTTTGCTGTTGCTTCTTCGTTGTGCTGTGTGAGCTTCAGTAACAACTCTGAAGCATTTTCAACAACTGTAGCATCATTACACAAAATGGACTGAGTAATGATCGACAAAAACGAATCCAAATTGACTTGGCCACCAGCATTGGATGAATGTTCTCTAGCGAGACCACACATGATTCGTTTCGCAATCGGAATGGGATAGTAGGGAAGTCCTTGTGAGTCCAAGCTCTTGTGTAAATCTACGAGTCGCGTCAATGAACGAATAGCTCGAATGGAAACCTCAGCTGCGGAATAGATCCCACTGCCGTCACCATCGGTGCAAAGCTGCCATCGAAGCTGCCAGACTTGATCCAATCGGTTCCACTTTCCAGTATCAATATGAGATTCCTTGACACCAGGCTCGTCTCCGTCTTCTTCATCACCGTCATAGCTTTCGACCTGAGTCGACGTCACCAATGTGAAGGCTGACAGATCGCCGCTATCCATCATTCTCTTCAGCTCTGAAATTCGAAAAGGACCGCGAATACTTTGTGCCGGAGGAGGTACAAGACTTGACGATGAAATGTACCAAAGAGGAGGGCAATGGGCATCGGGGAGTGTAGTATCGCTGTCGACTGTGCTCCTTCCATCTCCTTCCGGTCGCATTGCACCGCCATCCGTGATCATTGCGAGGCCAGAGTGAGTCCGATCGCTTCCAAGGACCCGGGCCATCAGGTTCGCCACTTGCACGCCATTCGTATGTCCCCATGCAACAAAATGACAGAGTTGCTGAATGCTTTCGGAATTTAGTAGTTGCTCCGCGTTTTCGGGGATGTTTGCGCGGTTCTCGTCACCGTTTTCATTTTTCTGAACCCCGAGGATAGTCGCAAGAAGTCCAAGCAACCTATGCTGCGTTTCGATGCTCCTAGTGGACACCATTGACCTGATCAAGATCATGACGTCTGGGAAGGCTCCAATAGTCTTCCCGTGGATGGAATACAGTCTCTCTAGGCAACGGATGCACATGATTGTCACTTTGGAATCTCGATCCATCTCGCAAAGGAAACGGCGGAATAGCAATTCAAAAAGGCAAACCGGCTCATCCCATGTTTTGATGAAGGCTTCTCCTGCTTGTAACCATAGACGCATGTAGATATTTCCAACACATAACTCATTTTTCAATGAAGGATAGTCAATTCCAAATTGTTGGTGGTTCCAAGCAATTTTGTGCATACCACGAGCTTCGGTCTCCCGTTGAATGTATTGAATTTCACTCTCCAAACCAATCCGCAGCTCTCGCCGAGTTTGTTGATTCCAAATCAAATCTGGTAGAGCATGATTTTGCGTCAATACATGAAAAAAGATACGAAAGTTCTCATGTTTCTTTTCGGTTACTTCTTGGTTCCTGGCTGTCCCACGAGCAAGCGCAATTCTGGATCGCAATCTTGAAGTATTGGTACCTGCAGCCCCAGAGGGCATGGCAGTGTTGGCAACTGCTTCTGGCGTTGGCTCTTTGCTATTGCTTTCGGGAATGTTCTCTTCCACTGCGTCTCTCTCAAGCTGATCCAATTGCTCTTCCTCGGCACGGCTTAGAGGAGGCATCTTGAGGTATCCCAAAAATCCGCTGGGGACGATGCGTTTCAGCAATTTCTTTTCGGGACAGTCCACAGGGCCAGACAACCAGAGGCTACACAGAAATCGCGACAGAAAACGTTTTCCTTCCAACGGACTGAAAATGGCGGCATGAAAGTGGTGAAGTAGAATCGCAGTGGACAAGGCAGACTCTCGAATGTGAACAGACACTTCTGGAGCATGTGTCGACAATAGATGTAGTAGCAGCGCCGAGTTCTCAATGACAAAGGGTGTCTGTTGATACAAGGTTCCCAAAAGAGCTTGATAGTTCTCACCAAGCGCTTGAATGAAGCCGGAGAAGACTTCAGAGCTAGTCGTATCTGCGCCAGAACAAAGAACACTTTGCAGGATGTCACTCATTACCATTCGAATTAAATCCGAGGTATCGGTACTCAGTAGCGATGTCACTAGTCCCTTGACCAATTGAATTCCTCCAGTTTTGAAAATCACTGACTTGTTAACATATTCAATCTCTCGATCTCGAGGCTTGTTTCCTGGAATTGCTGACAACAGAACTGAAACGGTCCGAAATGCCCAAAACTTGCAAAAGGGATCGTCTATCGTCCAAAGCAGTGGCAAACAATCCAAAAAGGTGGCCAACTCGATCGAACTCTTGTACCCAGCTGGCGTTTTGGACAATCGGTGCAAGGTCTGGAACATGGGTCCGGCCGTCAATTCGGCCAAATGACGATCCTTCGTCATTTCCAACAAATCGGCAGCCAATCCCCAAAGTGCTCCAATCGATCCCAAGACATGCTTGTCCTTTTCACTTCCGGGTAATCCATCGGCCGTGGGCAAGACGCTGGCATTGAATTCTCGACAAACCTCCATGACATTCCGGCACTCTTCAATAGGATTCATGGGGGCACCTTCTTGGGTGGAGGATTCTGTATGTGTATTGACATAGGAAAAGGCAGCCGTCGACACTGAATTCACTCTCTTCAAACAATGCAGAGGAATAGAAATGGGTTGAAACAAACCTCCACTCTTTTCTGGCTGTGCATTGCTGGCAAAACTGGCAAGACAATACCCACCACATGGAACATCCGATATGTGGACTTGCGGGTTCTTGCCCAAGGTAGCCGCCGCATCAATTAAGGACACCAATAGCGAATCTCGTTGTTGGGACGAATAGGTCCGCGATTGACCATCCGCATATTCCAAAACCAAGGTATCTCCAGCCTCGGATGGTCGGACGAGAGCATATAGTTCCGACAAGGCTCGAGAGGATACGATCATTCCCGCTGCATCCTTTTCCAGAACCATTCCCCTTCCAGTGATGCACAATTTCCGATTGAGCACTCCTCCTGGCCAACCGCCGCTATTCCCCACCACAGCTGCATCATGCCGTTTTGATGCCTTGGTGACCTTCCACTCGGTCGCAATCGCAGATTCCGCTTGCTTTTGAAAGTCTCGCTTCTTTTCCTTCCAGCTGGGAATGGTGCAAGAATCCGTCATGCGCAATTCCAATCCGATACGGTTGTAACTTTGCTTCATGACATTGACAACGTCAGCTCTTGACCTTGAAGTAATGGAAAAGAGTCGCATCTTTTTTGTCGTGAGGTACAAGACCAACCCCGATGGATCATCTGACGTAAAGGAAATGCACAAAATGTCGACAAACTGATAGGTCTGCAAGGTCTTTTGAGATTGTGGATGAACTTCCACCAAAGCATACGAGTTGACTTGCAAGGCCGATGGAACCACGGTTCCATGTCGGGTATACCGCTGACACAAAATGATTGGAACTTGTGGCTTGGGCGCATTTGTTGCTGATCGAATGGCAGCTTCAAAACACTGCAACAAGGCTGTCAGGACCATGGACCGTTCCACATTGTGACATTGAAACTTGAGCTTGTCTGAATTATTGACTTGCAATAATAGTTGATCTTTTTCAATGGCCATGTAATTGGTCAAGGTATCGTAATTCCAAGTGTTGGTAATTTGATGCGTGTCGGGATCAAATGTTGCAAAATGATCGTCGTACAGACACAAGAGTCGAACATAACCCGTCCTCCAACTCCTCAATTTGGTGACTTGAAATTGAAAGAGGGGCCGTTTGCCGGAAACAAAGGCATCTTCATGCTTTCGGGCCATGGAAGCTGTCGGTTGGAAACCAAGTTTGGGACCTTTACTATCGGGTTGAAACAAGGTTTTCAATTTGGAGAAGCCACTCTTTTCTTCTGCACTTCCTCCTCCTTGTGTTGAAAGAGTATCATTCGGATCAGAAGGATCTTGTTGATGTTGCCGCTGTTGTGCTAGTTGTTGCTGTTGTATTTGACCTTGTTGTTCCATCATTCCTCCCAATTGCCCATTATTTTGCTGCGGTTGCATTTGACCTGGTTGTTGCTGCGGTGAATATTGCATCTGACCTTGCCCTTGCATAGTAGGAGAAGCACCCTGCGGTTGTTGCATTGGACCTGGTGTCTGAAGTTGCGGTTGCTGTCTTGTGGGCATTGGCGACTGCATTGGACCTGGTTGCTGCTGCTGCTGCTGCATCATTTGAGGTTGCCCTTGCATCGGTCTTTGCATTTGCTGTGATGTCGGCGATGTCTGCATCGCAGTATTGCTACGCTGAGGAGTTTGTGGCTGTTGCTGTTGGCCTTGATACCCTTGTCCTGGCATTCCCCCTTGTGGGCGATATTGTTGTTGCTGTTGAATCTGTGGTTGTTGGTGTTGGTGTTGCTGATTCATCTGCATTTGTTGGGGCTGTTGACCCATCTGCTGTTGATGATATCCCATTTGCATTTGCATTTGTGGCGTCATTTGACCTTGATTCATTAACTGTTGTTGTTGTTGTTGTTGTTGTTGTTGTTGCATCTGTTGTTTCATTGGTGTCTGAGGCATCGATTGCTGTTGATGCTGCTGTTGCTGTTGCATGTAGGGTTGATGTGGTGGCATGCCGCCTCCAGCGCCAGGTCGTTGCATTTTGTCAATGAATGAGAAAGAATCAATTTCAGATTTCAATTCAACTCTTGTCCCGCGTTCTTTGTCAGTCAAAGATTGCCCTTTCTATCCGGGGGGGCTTTGGGAAATAAAGTCAGACAGAGAGGAGCAGTCGATCCTGTTAGTAATCCCAAGACAGTTTGTTTGTTTGTTTGTCGTCGCCGTGTTGTTGATTGATGGCGGTTTCACAACACTGAACACGAGTGAAGTGGATCTTGTGTGATGTTTCTTCACGGTTCGACCATGAGCACGCGACGAACCTACTCTCTCAACGGATCGCTCGATTAGTCGAAGGAATCACAGAAAAGAAACCCGGAGTTGCAGTGGCGATAATTCTAAATGACGTGGCCACAAAGTTCAAAGTTGACGACGTTGATCATCCTTTTTGGAGGCAAGAATCGGAAGAAAAAACACCATCTGTTCACTAATATTATAATTTGATCAGACAAAAGAGCATTGTATATAGCAACAACAGTAACAGCAAAAGCAGCAAAAGCAAAAGCAAAAGCAGCATGAAGGCTATATTCCTCACCACGTTCTGTATATCTCTCCATGTGGGAAGCATAGAATCTTATCTCCCTCAACACCAAGTTGTGTCTAGACGAAGCAGCAATAGTATGTTGAAGCCATTGAATTCCATGCCTGGTGGTATGCCTGGCGGTGACGGCGGTCCTGGTTTCCAAGAAGGTATGAATAATGGTCCACAAGATTTTCCACAAGGTGTTGGTCCCATGCCTGGATCTCCCATGGTGCCCATGGGCCCAGGTGGTGAACGATCTCAACCCTATGGTCAACCCTATGGTCAATCCTATGGTGGAAACGAAGGGTACCATGGCGGCAACGGCGGTGCCTACTCGAATGGAGACAATTGGTACGATTCTCCTGGTGGCACTGGATGGAACAATCAAAATAACAATGGTGGTGGCCAATGGTGGCAAAATGGTGGTGGTGGTGGTGGTGGTTCGCCCTACAATACCCTCCAAGGAAATTCCCGCAAAACCTGGTCGTCCCAAGATCCTTGGAATCAACGATCCAGTCACATTCACTTGCAATCCGAACGTCCCAATGCTCCCCTGGACGCTAAAATTGATTTCTTGCACGGTCCTGGCAATGTCGCTCGCCAAATGAAGGTCTGGAGCATGGATGGTCATCAGCGACCCGTCCGGGCCAATTTTGCCAATCCTTCCGGTGGGGCCAGTCGGGGCAACTATGGGACCATTGACGTCCGGAACACTGGCCCCATGGAATTTCCCATTTCCGCCGGTGTGGCGCAATCTCCCGAAACCATGGGCTATGGTGGACAGGGATTGATGCCTGGCGGTGGGCCCCAACAAATGATGGCACCAGGTGGAATGAGCGGACCTATGAGAATGGGTGGAGACATGGCTGCGGGCATGAAACAAATGAAGACGATTCAAGGGGAATCTCTCAAGACCTTTTCCTTCAATCCCGCCGTCAATTACGTGCAGATCAATTTGGAAACCGATGGCATGCCTTGTTATGCGGACATTGAAGTGAGCCAGGGTCCTGGCGAAGCTCGACAAGCCTTGCAAGTTTACAGTGATGACGGTACCCCCTGGGAAGGCATTGTGGACATTCCTGGTTATGGTTCTACCATTACCATCAAGAATGTTGGGCCAATGGCCTATCCCATCAAGGCTTCTTGTGAGCCTATTGGATAGATAAAACGAAGAAGAAAAAAGAAGGGTCATGGATCATGGAAAAAGTGCCAACAACCGACAAGACACGAGGGCTTTGGGCATTCTTCTATGGCATGCAACGATCATGATGTGTACACGTACAATGCACGAATGTTATTTTTCAACATTTCCAAGTATCTGTATCATTAGTGTGAAAATCAATACATTTTTATTATCATGCCTGTAGTAGTATTATATATATATATATATAGATAGATATACCTACAACTTTGTTGTTCATGATACCGGTATGACTTTAAAAGCCGAAAAGTCTGCCTGTTGTAATTGAAATTGGGGCACAATGTGCATTAGAATAGTCGTGTTTCGAATCCATCATTTTCTGTATCGTCTAAAATATTAATTTGGACAAGAGTGCCTTCTTCTTTTCCGCCAGCAGCATTGCACTTATTTCTTCTTGCGATGGCACATTGAGATAATCCCCCGACAAGATGACCTCATCATTATAATCATCATCATTACAATCATCGTCGTCGTCATTCATCTTTTGTTTCTTGTGCCGTTGAAAGGATTCTTCTTCCAATTCTAACAAGACCCCGTCTTCTTCGTCCCTCCAACCATAATATGACGGTGTCAAATGCTTCATAATGTCACCCTTCTTCGGTGCCCGTTTCTTGGCGGCTGCCTGTTCAAAGAGTTCCTTGACTCCCGGCAATTCCTTGGCCGCTCCAAAGTATCGGTACCCTCCCGGGCCTTCCAATGACGTCTGGAGATCACCCTCTTCAATTTGACGCTCCCGTTCCATCTTGGCAAAATCCAATCCACCCAATTCCTTGATGCGCTTGTTCCAATGGTGTTTCTCCCGCATCTTGCGATTGATTTCATCGTTCAAATCTCGTAGCGTGTGTTCCCCCAAGGCTGGATTTTGAATCTTGGTAATGTCCTCGGTGATTTCTCGCAAAATTTGATTGCGGTAATATTCGGCATCGGCCAAGTGATGGCATTGGGTGGCCAATCGGGGGCGTTTGCCACGGACCGGACCCAGCTGATTGCCCTCCTCGCGCATCTTGACCCATTTGTTCAGCATGCCTCGGGCTTTTTCAGCGGGACGAGCCATGATTGATTGATTAATTAATTAATTAATTACAGTAGGTGACGTGACGTGACTTCAGTTGACTTGACTTCAGTTGACTTGACTTCTGTTGACTTGACAAACTAATGGCAAGGAGTGGCAAGGACACAGGGGAAGATATGTAAGGCAAGGCAAAGAGTTGGGATTTTTGGTTTGGTTTCGATGGTCAAGGTTGTTGGATTTTATTTTGCTGCGGTATTTCATAATTGACTAACTGGACCCTAAGGCGTCTGACGTCCATCTGACACCACATTTCCACCTTTTTGCAACTTTCAAAAACCACGTTGCATATTGAATATATATTATCATAAAACTTCAGGATGCGGATACGATGAGATTCAGCAGCAGCAGCAGAATTCTTTTCTGCCTCGCCATTGTCATAATCATTGATTATCAGAATGTAAATGTCCATGGCTTTGTTAGTTCTGTGGATCCTCGTTGCAGGAGACCAACGGCAGTTGTGAGATTTGTCGTGCAAGACAACAAGTCTTCTGCTCAAAGAACGACGCACGACAATTCCAATCAGCAGAAGCAAGAGCAGCTTCCACTTGGGCCTCCCAACTATCTATCCTCTCTTCCAGTTGACAAGAATAATGGTGCTAAACTGTTTCGATATGATAACTTTGGTGTCAAGCAGGAGTTTGAAGTCTTTCATCTTTCCAACACACCCGAAATATTTCTGTTGAGAAATTATATTTCCACTCTAGAACGATATACAATCCAATGGAATGGACGAAACCATCCCAAAGAAGCAACCGTGTACGATAGCAATGACGCGACATCCAAGACTAGTGGCCGATCCAGGTCCAACGTCTCGTGGTTGCCCCCCTGGGCCGCCAATGGGATACCCCTGACACTGGCACGCTGTTCGGCACAATTGCTCTTGTCGCCCGAATTGAAGGGATGCAACTCCAGAGGAGCAATGGCGCTTTGCGAACCCATGCAATTGGTGCACTACGATTCCAAAGGGGAATTCATTCTGCATCACGATGCCATGGGACGAGCCGTGACGGTGTTGTCCTACCTGAATGGAGTTGGTGGTACCTGGTTTCCCCTGGCCAACTTGGACAGAAAGTATGGACCTATTCCTCGAAACAAGCTGGATACCTTGCAGATGATCGAAGAACTTGATCTAAAACCTGGAAAAGATGGGTTGCTCTTGGCAACGGCGGGACATCATGATGGTCTAGAGGAGGAATACGATAATGATTGCATTGTACATATACACCCAGGAGATACAGTGGCATTCTACAATTACAATGGACCAAACAACCAAGTCACGAATGACGAATCCAGGGATCTATGCGACGTTGACTGGAGTGCGATTCATGCAGCCTTGCCGGCCAAGGAAGAAAAGTTTATAGCGACGCTCTGGTATCAGGGGGGTCCTCTAATCAGGCGCCCAGAGAGTAGTGACGGATAAAATAATATACAGTAATTCATGTCGCAATTGGTTTTCAATATACTTACCCGGTAGTTACCAACCTTGGCAACTGCCGAAATATTGGTAGGTAGGTACAGTAGGATAGGATAGCCGATGACGGGCAGACGTTGGATACAGATTTGGAACCCGCCATACCGTTATCTTCACAACAAGATCACACATTATCTGGATGGTGCTGTGGCAACCACAGAAGTCATGGCCTTTCGATACAAGGGTCAAAGTCGGGACAAAGTTCCTCATAGCGTCAGTCATGTGATCGTTGATACCATTGTGTGGGAAATTCCCGACAATGCGTTTAGTGGTTGTGATTCGCTGGCTCTATTGGAATTACCGGTGGGTCTGCAAACCATTGGGGAATATGCACTGGCCTATTGCGATTCCTTGTTGAAACTTATACTACCGGCTACAGTCCATACCATATTTGGACATGCTTTTGATAATTGTCGATCACTGAGGGAAGTAGAAATTGCACCCAGCAGTCATTTGAAGCATTTGGGTCCAGAAGTCTTTCGGAGCTGCCATTCGTTGCAGGAAGTGGATCTTCCCGAGGGCATTACGGCGCTTTCGGCTGGGATCTTTTCGGATTGTCGGTCATTGACAAAAATAAGGATTCCATCGACGGTGGAAGTCGTTGATGATGATGCCTTTCGAGAATGTCTAAGCCTATTGCTAGTCACTTTTGGAAATCGATTGGTGCAGATTGGGACGGGCGCCTTTTATTCTTGCACCTCCTTGATGAACGTCAAGATTCCATCTTCGGTAAAGACGATCGATGACGGTGCTTTTGAGGCATGTGGTCACCTTATATCCATTGAAATTGACGACGGTTTGAGTGAGATTGGAAATGGTGTGTTCAATCAATGCCACAGCTTGATGAATGTTGCCATTCCTCAATCTACCAAATGGTCTGCTGATGGGACCCTTCTAGGTTGTGGTCAAATCTCTGACTATTATCCAACAATGGAAATGTTACAACAGAGATACGGCCATGACATGCTCATTCATGAGCTGTGTTACAAACAGGCACATCATCCGGAACGCTCGAGTATGGAACGTCTGAAAAAGCTAAAGGAAGACCAAGGTGGACTATCATCACTATCCAGCCAAACTCATGCCGATACCATGGGAATGAATCCATTCCATATCTTGTCCATCTCCACCAAACCCAATCTTTCTCTCTTTTCGGAACTCTTGCATATTCTACCTAAACGTTTGGTTCAAGCACCCAATGTGAACGGGCAATCTCCGTTACAATTACTCAAAGACAACCATGCCTTTGGGAGTGCTGCTTTGATTCGATTTATACTAGAAGTCACCATCTTAGAACCATCCAGATGGTTTGGGCTGGAAGCTTGGCGAAAGGACCTTTCTTCGGCTGTACAACGAACTTTCAAGACCAACACATTGGAACAAGTATCCAGTCGAGGCCGTCGAATCACTCAAATTCAAACGAAATATTTCAAGTACGAACGACTAGAGACTACTTCTCTTCTGGAACAAGCAGTCTGGAAGAGCACCATGTCTCGTCAGAAGCGATCCTCCAGGACGAGGAAATTACCCAAGGTAAACAGCGATTCTCGGTTAGCTGCACGAATGAGCAGTGGGGCACAAGTGATCATTCCGAATGTCAATTTGTTTCTGGGGAAACCACAATTTTGAAACCAACACATCGTTCCAAAGAGCTAATGTAGCATACAATGTATATTATATTATAGTAGCATTTGCATTATTTTTTAATAATGTTTAGCTTTCCTCAGCAAGCACTTTCTTGTCTCCTCGTAGCATATCTTGCAATTTGCCGGTTTCTTGCAAGGCTGCCAATCCTGGATTCCCGGAAAAGATGCCACCAATGTGTTGTCCATTGATGAAAACGTGCGGCAAGCTACTTTGTCCCGTCAACTCAAGCAATGCAGCGCGAGTGGTGCTGGCCTCTTTGCCCAGCAAGAACCATTCTGGTCCGACTTCAATCTGTTTTACATCATTGGTACTAGTACATCCCGCATCCTTCAGCAACGCCATGGTTTGGCTGGAAAAGGGAGATAGGCCGTAAGTGTACACGGTCACCTTATTTTCGGTAATCGTTGATTGAATTTCTTGTTTGGCAGCTTCCAAGTCGGCACCGTCTGCGCCCAAGGCTTTGGCTTGGAGTTTGTTTTCCAATGCAAAGAGTGGTCCTAATAGGGACATGAATTTGCCAGCAGGTTTGAGGATGCCCCGTCCTTTCGAATTTTGTTTTTTGGCATCACTATAATCCAGTAGCCCCAATGGATTTTTTGCAATATCTTCACCAATGTAGGGTGCCAGAAAAGTCAGCGGCCGAGGCATGGTTTCAGAATACGTCAAGACTCCTCTGTGCTTGTATTCATACAAGACTTCGCCGCTCTCATTGTCCAACAAATAGGTAGCTCCTCGTTGATCAATGGTTGCGGAGTTGGACACATAGGTATCCCACTTTGTAAGGACTTCTACCATATTCTTCAGTCTGACTGTTGCCAACTCTACTGGTCGTTGGTAACCTCGTTCGTCTTGCCACCATTGACTGTATTTTAGAGGACCTAATTTCACTGGTCCCACACCAGGTCCAATCGTGACAAATCCAGCGGTTACGACGTCATCCTCGGCAAAGCGTTCGGGTGCTGAAAAGTCTCCAAAGTATCCTCTCAAGATTTCTGGCAACGTGCCTGGTGCTCCAATTCCCGCACACATGGCCAAGTAATTGAGCCAAGCTCTGGCCGCTGGTCGAAGATTATTACTTTCGTCGGTTGGAGCTCCACCGGGCAATTGATTGAGAGCAAACTTGAGGAAACCATCCGAGACGCCCTCTGGGAGATCCCAATCGGGACCTTTGTTCAATTTTAACTGCTGGTGCAAACTAGCATCGGGATCCACAAAGAGTTGTTCCATGGGAAGGCCCGAAAACTGAGAAAATGCCGATGCGCATTGTTGGTTGCCTATTCCCACTACCGAAAGCCTAATCCCAGCCTTGGTCAAGTCATCTTGCACTGCCACCAATTGCTCGCAAAATTCACTCGAATCGAACTCTCCCAGTTGGGGGAGCAACACCACCAAGGATTTGGACGATTTTCCATCCACACCACCAGGCAATATCGAGCAGGGCTCTCCTGTTTTGGAATTCAAGACTTGGGCATTTTGAATGGTTTCAAAAGTCGGTGACACCAATGCTGAAATTGTGGTCAGTGATACTGTGACGAGAAGAAGTATAGAACGCCACATTCGAAAGATCTTATTTTGAGTGAGGTGATGTGATGATGTGTGATGGATCGAAAAAATAAAACGAATGACGCACACACGCACACATACTGTACATCGCGAAAGTTTCAAAACTTGCTCGCGCGGGCGCATAGAAACCCACGCTGCCAGCGCGGCATGTGTAGTACTGTAGATGCAAGCAACGTCAGCCTCGCTCGCGTTCAGTCATATCAATCGCAAATTTCTCCTCCAATGCGAGAAACGAGAGACTACCACGACAACACCACATGCAGCAACGGTCATATCCATCACGTCAACGTCATCTAACTCTACCATTAGAAGGAATTTGAAGCTTCTAGCTCTACAATAAGACAACAGATACATCTCTTTGCCATTGACAAGCTTTGTGTATTAAATAAATTGGGGAATTGCCAATCATGTTTGGAGGCTTGGAACTCAAAGGAACGGATTCCAAAGACAGCAGTGATGTTGCATCGTCTTCCGCTGCTCCCGCCCCAGCGCCCGCTGCTTCTAGTGGATTTGGATTCATGAATCCTGCAGCTTCTGCTATGGAGGAATCTGCCCCAGCTGCAGTTCAAGCACCACCGGCACCTTCCAGTGCGTTTTCCTTTCTAAATCCCGAACCAATAGCTGCTCCTGAATCAACTCCTGCACCGGCACCTGAACCAGCTCCAGCAGCCTCTTCAGGGTTTGATTTCTTGATGAGTACTACCGCAACAACGCCTGCTCCAGCACCGGAAAAAATAGCAGCACCAGAACCAGCTTCTGGAGCGGATTCAGATTCAGCATCAGCCTTTAGCTTTTTAATGTCCACGACGGCGACGGATGCACCAGCACAAGCTCCGGAACCAGCTCCTGCAGCGTCATCATCTGGATTCGATTTCTTGATGAGCACTACAGCGACAGCTCCTGCCCCGTCACCTGAACCTACACCAGTGGAAACGGAAGAGGCTCCTCCAGCACCATTGGATTTTGGATCTAGCACGCCAACCGTCAGCACTAGTAGTTTTGGTTCAGCACCATCAGCAGCAGCAGAACCAGCCCCATCATTGATGGATATGAGTTCGCCGCCACCGGCAGCATCAGGGTCGACATCATCTGCGTTGCCAGCCGGTGCCGGTATTAGCTTTGGAGTGGCAGCCAAACGTGGTGGCGTCAAGAAGAAAAAGACACGAGCCGCTCGTGTCGGCATGGGATCGGCAGCCGTCACACCCAGTAGTCCGCCCAAACGGCCACAACCAGCACCAACTCCTGCTCCTGCAACACTCGAGCGGCAGAATTCGGCCCGAGACGAAGCCGAAGAAGCGGCCAAACGTGCCGAAGAGTTCATGTCCCAAAAGGCAGTCGAAGCCGCTCAAGAAGCACCACCTGAAATTACCACAGCCCCGTCCACAGATTCTGTTTTGCAAGCAGCTGAAAAGGCTGCCAAAGAAGCCAAAGTCTTGTCCAGACAACAGCAATCCCAACAAAAACAAAAGGGAGGTTTCATGGGCACCTTTTTCAAGGGTTTTGGTGGAAACAACCAACAGCATCCACCACCACAGCCAGTCAAGCGAGGCTCGTCGCGTGGGTCTGCGTCTTCACAAAAGTCTACTGCGAGTGTGGATCGATTGGCCAACAAACAAAAGGATATGAAACGGGCCATGGCAGAACGGGAAATCCAACTCCAAAAGCAATCATCGCAACAACAACTACAACAATCCAAGCCAGAGGACGAGCCAACGCCAATGCAAGACGCGGAGGATGACGCAGAGGAGGAACAGGAGGAAGAGGTTGTGGTATCGACCAGAGTTCCTAGCTACTCACCAGAGCCTCCTACTACTGCGGATACTAGTAGTAGTAGTCGTAATCCAATATCGTCGCACTTTGAACCGGTCAAACCACCCACCATTGTGGTTCAAGAATTCAAGCCTGCGGCAGTGCCTCGCAAAACGAGGAGTGCAGAAGAAACGTTTGAAGAATACCAAGCACTCTTTGCTCAATCTGTTCACAAGGCCATGGGACAAGTGGGTAATGTTCGTAGTACCCAAAAAATGCTTCTAGAGGAACGTCATTTGGCCATGGCCAAGCTTAATTTGAGCGAACAACAAATCAAACAAGTCGAAACTCAATTGCAAGTGGCCGTCGATCAGGAGGATTACGAATTGGCGGATCAATTGGGACAAGTGGCAGATGCTCACAAGCGGGAAAAGGAAGAAGTCTCCATGATGTTGGATGCCAATGTTAAGGCCTTGGAACATTTGGATTCTCAAAAGCACTTGGTGGTCCAGGGGGTGGCTACTTGCTTTTCCAATTTGGCTTTGAGGTTGACAGAACTAAAAGAAAAGGAATCGTCCAAGGATCATCATTCCAACGATTCGGACACTTTTCGGCAATTTGAAGCCATTTCCAAACAGTTGTCTGTTGAAAAAGATAGACTGCAACAGGATGCTAAACATTTGGAACGAGATGAACAGTTGCTGGCAGAAGAACGCAAGGATTTGGAGGCGGCCATTTCCGAACAATCCGGTGTCTTGGAAGAGCAACGTGACGACGTCAAGGAAAAGTTGGTAGGGGTGGAAGCGGAAATTGAAGAGCTCCGAAAACAATTGGAAATAAAACAAAAGATTGCGGCGGGACTTCGAACAGAAATGCACGGATTTGAAGATTCCATTGATAGGGTCCGCGTCAAGTTTTCACGACAATTGAACAGGGTCGACAAGAAGGAACGGGCCTTACAAGAGAACCGCAATGAATTTGAAGCGGAAGAACAAGCCTTTGAACGGCAGAAGACAGCCCACGAAATGCAAGTCCAATCGCATTCGGAAGCCATGGTGGCTCATGACAGTTTGATGAAACAATTGGAATCCGAATTGAAGTTTACCAAGGAATTTGCCGAAATGATTCCAGACAAGGTAGGCTTCCTGGAAGAATCCCCCAAGGGCGAAACGTCGGAGGACGACGACGGTGGCGACTTGGCGTCATTGCAAGCCGATGTGGTCAAGTGTGAGGCTGCTGCTAGCGAGGCCAAGATTATTTTGAAGGCGGCCAATGCCACCATTGCCAATCTTGAGTCGGAACTTGCCTTGCTAGCTGCCAAGATTCCGCAATTGGAGGCCACCAAGAAGAGAGCGGCAGCCTCCCGTGATTTTAAGGCAGCCAGCAAGGCGTCGAAGGAGATCAAGGACGCCACGGGTCGAATGAAGGATTGTCAAGAAGAATTATTGGGCGACGCAGCTAATCGCAAGACTACGGCCGAAGAAGAGGCAGTGAGATTGAATGCTGAATTGGAAAAGACACGCAAGATTGCCGAAGAAAAAGAAAAGGTTTCAGCCCAAACCAAAATGGAGGTTTTGGCGAAAAAGATTGAACAACTCAAAGCGGTTCAGTCGAAAATGTGTGGGGAAACGACGTCGTCAGAAAACAGTGTTCGTGGTGTGGGTGCCCTTGTATTGGAGGGTCAGATCAATTCGCTGAAAGCAGAGGGAGAGTCACTAGGACAAAAATATGGCGGCTGGAGGATACTGATTGGAGAAGGGGAAGAAGATGTAGTAGATACCGATGTTGAAGTTCCAGAGGAAGGTGATACGGAGGCTAAACCAGCTGTGGACGATGGCCTCACAAGTCGTGAACGCATACTGAAGGTTCGCGAACTCTTGGAACGCATATCTGACGCCGAAGTGTCCTTGGAAGCTGCCGCAGCGCGGGAAGACTTTGACGAGGCTGCTGTCTTGCACGATGTTTTCCAGAATTTGCAATCTGAATTGGAGAAGATTGATTTGACGGAGGAGGAAATGGAAATCGCCATGGGGGGTGGTGAGCTCCCTCCGGAAGAAGAAAAGCCAAGCGAAGAAGAACCAGCCGAGGAAGAAGCGGCTACAGAAGAAGGCGAAACCGAAGCTACAGAGCCAGCTGCGGAGGAAATAGCTACAGAAGAAGGCGAAGACCAAGCTTCAGAGACACCTGTCAATGATGAAGCTGATGTTGAAGAAAAGAAAGATGAAGAGGCACCGGAAGAGGACGATGGCAATACTGTCGAAGTAGAGGCAGATGCCAAGGAACAAGAACCAGACTTGGCAGAAGAAGCAAGAAGTGAAGTGGGGAATACAGGCTCCATGGACGAAGAAGTGTTGCAGGACGACGAGGAAAACATGGACAAAACCCCAGTGTTGCAGGATGAAGAGGCAACACTGGATGCATAATGGATTGATGAAAATTGGATCAAACACCAGTACACGATTGCTAACTATAGTGCTAATGCTGAAATATTTCTATTGCGTATGGGAAGTCTAGGACAAAATATATTGCTTCTTTTTACCTTTTCTACCCTACCGGTATCAGACACAGTAGCCGACTGGCTCCTTCCCTTGTGTGCTGACGCATTAGGGTCGCAAAGGGACCCGGAGACTTGCTTGCCTACTAGGCACTATTCCGAACGGATAGAGACGACAGAGCCCAGAAGTGGTGATGAAGGAGGGAAAGAAATTTTGACATAGTTTTGTCAACAAACATAGCAATCGGACAAATGTCCACAGGCTGAGCCGTCATTAACACGGCGGCTCTTAACAAATCCGTAGAACGAGGAGCAGGGGCGCCAATGTGACTGAATTGATGTATCTATGCCCATTAGCAGTGCCTTCTTCGGAAGATTTCGGCTCGAAAACATTGAGAACGATCAATCATCATGACTCAATGCAACATGCTCTTGGCTAGAACAGTCTCCTTGCGTTTGATTGATTGATTTGAAGGCTTCAGGCTCAACTTCGAGCAAATAATGGAAAGGTGGTGGTTCAGCTGTATCTCACCCTCAAGATGATCTCACGTTCCAAAATCGTCAGTGTTGACATTGGTACTTCCAAGCATTTTTATTGATTGAATGACGTCCCTAACTCATGCTGATATCGGCAAGTCGGCACACTGCCTTTGCAGCTCGTCCTGTTTGAAGACGGTATGTCAGCTTGGAATCTAAGCAAGTCACAACTTGTTTCTGTGCAGCAGATGTCGATATCAACTTGTTAAACAACGACGTTGGGAAGAAAATGGTACGAATTGTGCATAGCTTACCTTAGCAGCAAAGTAGGAGCACACCCTTCACGGTGGATATTCTTCCTTCGGTTCATGACATGTCGGGGGGAGTTCATGACTGCTACTACTAGATACGCACAGGACAGTAGAATAGGAATGGAATTGTTGGGATGGAATGGTCGACGTCGCTATGATGTGATGGATTTTGGCATGTTTTGAAGCTGCTCTTGAGCATTTGGGTCGCTGTGGTATTTATTTATCCTGCTATTATGAACGAAGAATGAATGTCGCTTCTCTGGCGGACGACCGGCGTACAATCCAAGAACATTTTGAGAGTCGCATGCGCGAAGCAGAATATAACAGCTGTTTTTTGCATATGGAAGTGACCAAAACAAGAGCAGATCAATATTTGGGCGTCGTCTGTCACCTGTTTAGCCCAGCGACGAACGAACAATACTTATATGACTGGGTTTATCCACACCTCAGAACTAATTTTCAATGCATGAATGTGACACAAGTTGCTAGATACACCAAGGGACCGCAAGAGACAGCAGAAGAAACAGCTATGATCTTTATAAATGACAAGCATATCCTTTTAGGAAGAGGAAAAGGTCCAAATGGACACCCAGGAAACATTCGTATGAGACGGATCGTCGACAAGTACCGAACTCAGTACCATGAGGTCGAACGTACGGAAAAGCGTCTTGTGGTGAGGAAAGTACACGACGAGGTGATAAGTGGCGGAACTAAGTTTCTGAAACGATCCGAGACAGAAGATGGATGGGAGGAAGTTACTGTCAATATTGCGTTGGAAAAGGTTGGACATTCACTGAGATGTTTCAAGCGCCGGAGCAAGGGTCGAGGTGTAAATCGTTCCAATCCAGTCACAAGCCGAAACGAGTCATCTGTACCAAGTGAAATTACTGCAACTCTCAATGCCACTTCACCGCCGAGAATGAGGAGCTCACAAGGAGTTGGGCAGGATCGTATGCCTGGACTGCAATATGTCCCAGGAATGACCAGCACGATGACGTCTACGCCTACCGAAGCGGGGTTGTTTCCGAGTGTTCCTCTTTTGAGGAATGGATCTGTGAGATTCGGCGTTTCTTCTTTATTGCCAAACCAATCATCTTCGTTGGATGCATATCTGAGAGGGATGGAGAGGAACCGATTGCTTTCCGAGCTGGTTGTGGCTAGAACAGTACACCTACCAGCACTTTCGGGCACCTTGAGTGATGCTTTCTCGTCACGACAATTGTACGGCGTAATGGAGCAGGAGCAACAAATTCGTCAGTTACTCTTGCGGCAGCATTTCATGGCAAGCCAAAATAGAGAGCTACCGCCCTGGTATTCAGGATAGCAAAAAATGGAAGTGGTAATTTCGAGTCATTGTTATGTCTCGTCGGTGCTAGGTAGGAGGTACTCGAGGCACTTTATCGGTGATGGCGATGAAGAAGCTACCTTACATCATAATAATATAATTCTGAATATTTTTTATATCAACAAACACTGCAATATTACGAAAACTGACTCGTCGTCCAATTTACCTCGAAAGCGTGTTTCGTCTTCTCGCCAAGGTTTCTTGAATGTCTAGAAGATGACCCCGCTGCTACCAGCCAGTCATGGAAGCTGTCGCACATTGACGCTCGGGTTGTTGGGAGTAGAGATCACATTCAGTTTTAGTATAAGCCATCAGCGTCCTTACTCTTTTCCTCGAGCCGCACTTCCACACTAGAAAAGGCGCATAATCGCTTTTCACTTTCATTATCTGGGTCTCGGACTTCCATGAGTGACCATCCCATATCCATATCAATGTATTGTTCGCTTTCGTCAAATCTAGATTTTGTTTTCAGAACTTTGGATCGATATGTGCGAACATTCAGATTGGAATCCAACTTGTTCGGGTACAATCGTTCAGCAATGGCTGCGTTTCGTTCCCGATTGACCTTCTTTTCAGTCCACTCGGTGTGGTGTCTCTTGTGATAATTGATGTTCCCAACCTTTTGAATTGCACCAAAGAGCACCAACGGAGGGCCTTTCGATGAGTCCGAGGAATTATCGGACGGTTCTGGGTGGATATATTCGGCCCGGATCCTTTCTTTCTCCTCCTCAGAAAAGTCATCCGAGAATATTCCTATGGAAGACAGATCCGTAGCTGGTCTTCCGACAATTTCCGCGTCTACTTTTTGCCTCTTGGCAGGTGGAGGTGGCATATCTGGATTGTCTACATCATCATCATCATCGCCAACAGCATTTTTCTGTGGGGCACGCCGTTTCGGTCGTTCCATCTTGGCAGCATCCTCAATCAGCTTCCAGTCCAATGGCCAGTACGATTCGCCACGCCTTCCCATATTCTGCAAGATCTCCAGCGGATTCTCGGGCAGCTGGTCGTCAATATGAACCTTGCGACATAGTCTTCGGAGCTTGCAATAGGGGATCTTTTGGGAGCTAGGCGGTGTCGCTTGGTCACCATCTTTTTGTGCATGATCCCCCTCTTGATTTTGTTCCAACTCATTTTCCTCTTGGGCATTGTTTTTCTCAGGATCGCCATTCGCCGTCGCCGTCGCTGGTATTTTGGATGGTTCTGTCGTGCTGGTTAGAATTGGCTTTGTCCATAGATCCGGCTTGCCTTGTAGAAAAACTTCCATGACCCATTCACCCGTCCTTGTGTGTCCTGTTTTGGCAAGATCATTCTTCCATCTGTTGGAAAGATCTTCGACAAGTGAAAGGCAAGACTCAAATCCTTCTGGCGACAGCTGAATGGTGTAATCTTCTTCCTCGTCCTTGGTAACCTTCCAGACAGACTTTAGTCCCTGCATGAATGTTTCTCGAAGAGCCTCGCGAATCCATTCAACTGCTGCCGACTTTGCTGCTTGTTCAGCTTCGTCGATTAGGGATGTATCCGTTTCAGCACTCATGATTGTAACAGCGACGGGATGAAATGGATCATGTGCTTTCGTGGTCGAACGAGTCGATCCAAATTTTGTCAAAAATCTAATCTATTTGCTGATCCATAGTTGGCGATCGTACTATTGGGACCCATGTCAGTACATTTTTCAACGTTGATTTGTACATGGTCTTTTTCGCAGAGAACACGAGGAGCCTTCAGGTCGGATCAAGATTCAAGATCAACGACATCAACCCTTTTTTTTCCTTCACGTCTACCAGTCAGTGTGTGAATATAGTGTGGTACGATACCAATATGGGAACCCAACGGAGCGACAAGACTTCTGGTGATGGCGACTCTTCTTGGAGAGACACCTTGTATGTCTGGGATGGCATCATGGTAGAAGTGGGGTGGGACCTGGTCAAGAATAAGGAAGAGACCCAAAAATCAGATGAAATCCCACTGAACTGGAAAGGAGCATGGGTCCCCTGTGAGAACTGCGCGGACGCCAAAAAGGCGGAAGCTCCCAAGCGAGTGGGTGGAGCCTTGGATGTCGAATCTGCCCATCACTTTGAAGTGAGTGGTTCGGCCAAGCCTATTGTGAAAGACACGAAGAAGGTTGCTGACGCTGAGGATGAAAATAAGACTAGTGATGATGAAGAGAACTGCTCCACAGCCATTCCGCATCAAGCAACTTTCACTGGTGGCGATGGCTGGGACATGGGCGAGGGCTCTGATACCAAGAAATACAAGGACGAGGTTCACGAACTTTTACTTTCCAACATTAAGTGGATGGGAAATATGAGAGATCAACGAGACAACCTTGTCTTTGCCAAGGGTACCAATGAGTTTGGACCCTTTATTTCTGCTGGTTGGATGAGACCAGGTTGTCGCCTGACTTTGGCCCGTAGGTATTTGGATGAGAGCGATGCCAGGGTCAAATGGACGCTTGATGACTTGAAGAATAACGTGATTAGTGGAATATTCGACAAGGACTCTGGCGACGTATGCACTCCTCCTTGGAAGTGCGATGCCCTTCATAGTGATGTGCAACAACCTGGCAAACGCAAAAAGGTGGATTAATTGGTGTGCCTTGGAACGAATTGGAAGGCATGGGGCAAGAAAGTTGTCAGACAACTATAAAAACAGATGCATGAAACAAATCTTTTTGTGTCAAGGGGCACCGTTAGCAAAGCATTAAGGCTACTACCAACGACGACATTTATATTGAGGTACGGTACGGGAGTCCCAAAAATCATTTGATGTATAAGGAAAATTTTACAAAGTGTCTTTTAAGGAGTGAACCAAGATAGTCCTTGATTATCAAACTTGCTTTTGCGTAAAGGTCTTCTATTTTTGCTACTAGGGATGGGAAACTATTATGTATTGTAAGCTTGTGTGATCATACAATGAAATGTATTGTGGACTTCGGGATATTTTATGTGCTGCCTTTTTCAGAGATCGCCTTGCCAGTTGGTTGATTGTGTGAATAGGGGCTGATTGTGAATTTTGATGTGATGGAATGAATGCAATGTGCATGCGACAGGAAAAAGTGGAGGAAGGTAGTGGTGGTAGAGGAAGAATTTCCGTTTCACTTATCGTCATTAAGATACCGAATCAGCCGTGCTACTCCTGCAGCGGTCGAAGCCACCACAAAGACTGCCCAGACTGGAATATTGTCAAATTTGTCGCCACCAAACAGCACCAAGGAACCACCAAGAATGACAATGGCAACTCCCAAAGGAGATCCATCTTCCACCTTTGTATATCTTCCCGTCTGTTTCGAGTCATTATCGTTACCATTTCTTTGATTCTGGAGAATTGATGGAGTGTGTCGAAAGTTATTAATAACAACAAGCGATGGTATTACTGGTTTCTCAACTTGGCGAGAAAGAGATGGCGTATGCCTGATTGGAACAGTCTTTTGTGGTTGAAAGGCGGAAGCCAGGCATGTTAGTGACATAATCAACAGTAGCACGGGGGATGCAAGTTTTCGCAACGCCATTATTGATGGATTGAGGTTTCTGATCATCTGATCTTCACACTGCCAGCATTGTCGCATTTTTTTGCGGTAGTCCGCTTGGGTCAAGTTGTCTGTTGGAATCCATTCAAAAAGTCTTTGGCATTGACCGTTAATTAATTTTGAGCGCGACAAAGACGTATCGTTCTGGTACTCGCACTCCATGTCCCACATCGTGGAGAACACAACGGAAAACCACGCCCGTCGGGGTGCACCGTTGAATTTGGCGCGGATCAGTTTTTGGCGAAATCCTTCTAAGTAGTTTTGTATATGTGAGCGGCACACGCTATACATTTCTACAACTCCGGATAAAAGGAAGAGCGCCAAAGCGTTGAGAGGGTGCACCAGAGGCAGCCCAACTTTCCCACCAAATCATTTCAATATCAGAAATTCCAACCAAAACTTTACATTTTCTGTGAACTGGTTCAACGCCCTTTGGTTTTGTCAATAACAAGACTTCAGTTTGTGTAGTTAAAAGATGCCACACCTACAAGCCGGGAACGATGCTGCTGATGGGGGCTCAGTTGTCTCTGTGGATAAAACACCACGAAGAGTATCTGAGACACTTCCGATAATGGCAGCTACCAAGAAACAATCAATGGAAATCAAGGGAGATTCTTATGATTCAGACGATGCGGTCCAAACATCATCATCAGCGTCAAGTTCGAAACAAGAGGTGATCACACCATCGCCAAGTGGAGCATCTGCTGCTCCCAATTCTCCCAAGCCAACCAAGGGGCCGTTTCTCTCTATCTATGGAAGTACACGCCTCTTTTCTTCACCAATCCGTGTCAACAACAAGAAGCGTACTCTAGCTGCTACTGACGAGAGCACGGATGGGTCTGCTGACGAAGAATCTTCCGCTAGTAGTCAAGAAGAAGAAGTCAAGACCTCTCCATCCACTGCCCAAAGCCCTTCCTTTGAGAAGACCAATAAGCCGGAAAAGACTCTGGAGGATGACTCAAGTGTGCCCTCGACGAAGAAGGCAAGAATTGAAAGCAGTCCTGAGCCTACCACCACCAAGTCACAAGATCAAGGAAGTGTTCGCAAGCCAATTATCTCTCCTACTTCTTCGAACGAGAACAAGGAGGACGATGAGAGTACAAGCCAATTCTCACATGGATCGGCACAGCCATACTATGGAAGGCAAGCATTCCAACATCGCTATCCACACCAGTACCCTCCTCCTCCGCACCATTCTCCTTATGCCCCTCATCATCATCCCTATGGAGGACACGGCGCCGGCTACCATCAATATCCACCACCAGTAGGATACAATATGTATGCTGCTCCTGGAATGTACCCTCCACGCCATCCACAAGCACCACAAGTTGGACACCACTATGGTGCGCCACCACCAAACATGTACTATCCTGGTCCTCCTCCTCCTCAATACCACCACCATCATCCCCATTACCCTCCCCGTCATCTCATGATGTCTCCTGTACGAGTGGCGCAAAGGGAGTTTCCCATGAGACGTGCCGAAAGCGTCCCTGTCAGTGATGCCAGTGCTAGCCAAGCATCCTCCAAATCATCACTGGCTCCATCGCCAAGTCCAAGTACTGAGAGCAGCAAAGAGGCTGCTGCCATGATGGCCAACAACGATGCAAGGCCTCCGAATACCAAACGATGTATTGCATTGAAGGAGCCACTTCCAGCCAAGCATTGGGGGTAAGTTCGAACTCAAAAAGAGATTTTGGTGCCTTGTGCATTGCAATCATATATGTCTAACGTGTTTCACTTCTAAATTGTTCCTTTTGATTACAGTCCATCTGATACCACCAAGGATATCAAGCTTCCCGAGTTTCATCGAATTGTAAACTATCCCGATTACTTGTCTAAAACGCGTGGTGCCAATGCCGAATCGCCCTGCAGCACTGCAGATGGCAAGAAGCACTGCGTCATGTGTGGTGAACAACGATACTGCTCTGCGTCCAGCTTGAGCAAGGGCCGCATTAATAGCGGCAAGAACAACAACAACAACAAGGACGAAACATCATCAACCACTTCGGCAACCGAAACCGATCACATTATTCCTCGCCAAAACAAGGGACTCTGCACGGCCTGTGATGTTACCGTCTGGGTCATGACGGACAGTGGCTTGGAAATCAAGTGGTGCAAGGGCTGCAAGAACTATCGTCCTTGGGCGGCCTTTGGGGAGAAGGGATCCGCCACCAAGTGCACGAAATGCCGGGAACGTCAAAAGGAAAAGTATGCCTTGTCAAAGGATGCTGCCACTTCCAAACAGCAACAACAACAACAACAAGAGAAGCAACAACAACAAAAGTGGGAAACAACAGTGGAAGAAAAGCATTTGGAAGCTGCCAATGGATTGCGCAGCTTGATCCATGCTGTGGCTAAGCAATAATTTGCGCGAAGACTCGAAAATTTGTAATTCGTGTTTGTGTTGTTCGTCGGGCGTGTGGTGGTGTTTTGGTGTTTTGGTTGTTGGGGGAGAGGGAGAACCGAGAACCGAACAAAGAGTAGTAGTAATCAATTACAAATATTTAGTTCAGTCTTTTACCGCTCAGTAAAGCTATGACATTTTTGCAAGGAGCACAAGAGCACATGGTTCCCATTTTGTGGGCAAAACTCGAAATAAAGTAAGCTTGTGCTGATGATTCATGACCTTTCAGTATGCGTGTGCTGGGGAACAGTAAGTAGTGGGACAGAGAAGTCACGAATGAATCTATGTACCGATACTGTGTAATTGCAAAGATGCAAGGAACGGCCTACTGAAGTCAGAAACCAAGTTTGCATTTTCAGATGATTCAAGTATGTATTTTCAAGATTCACGGCCTATTGTATTTGCATGGAACACGAATGAATGAATGAATAGGGGCAAATCAAGTAAAGCGGAAATGCGATTTATGGACGAAGGCATGTGTAACATGAAGTTAAAACGTTCTTGTATTCCGACCATGCTAACCCTAACCCTCTGAAGAGCTACCAAGAGGCCAAAACTACAGTTTGCTGACTATTACCTTTTCGTTGCCGCCTTTCACTGAAAGGATCAATTCATCTCCCATTTTCAGCTAGACTGACCCTGCGAGTATAGCTAACATTAAATTGTAAAATCATGTTGTATTCTATGCTATTGAAACATGGCAATGGACACATTGAACATCATCTCATCGATTAACGGTTCGATAGCTGCACTTGCAAAACTTTTCAATTTGTGACGCAGAAGGTGCGTGTATGGTGTCAATGGTTCGTTTTTGACCTGTAATTTCATGATCGTGTTTCTCCGACCGATACGTATCTGGTATGATTTCTGGTGGTAATACTTAGCCCTTGCGACTTTCTTCCAGCGACTCAACATAAATAGTTTTCCCGAAAACACTCAGCGTACGTTGACAAAGTACCAGCAAGACATCGATGCTGCGTTCGCTTCGTTCCTGCTCGGTTCCCCAAGCCCGATCGACACTCCCCATTCAAATTTCGCCAGGCACCATTACCGATACTGAATCATCAACCAAGATGGTATTCAAGAGAACGAAAGGCAAGACGAGCGACTCCCAGAGCTCATCCGCAGCTAGTAGAATGGACACGAAAGAGTCAGCACATGCCCAACATCTGTCATCATCGCTGCATTCCGATAAATCGCCATTGTCCACCTTCAGCACTTGCCAATCGGGCAGTTACAAAACGTGCAAGACTCGGCAATCCGTACAGAAAAGTGTCAGCTTTCACCAAGTACAGATACGAGAATATGAACGAAGTCTAGGGGATAATCCATCATGTAGTTCAGGCGCTCCGATTGGGTAAGTTTTACTCTGTTTTTTTATGTCTCTGCTGATGCCTTTGGTGCCAAGACTGACACCTCTTGTTCCTCCATCATCATTTTGCAGTATTGGTTGGGGCTTTCAGAAAGCATTTGTAATGGGGGTAGAAGAATATGAAAGAAACCATAAGCGAGGACGAACACAGGATGAAATCATCCTGACCAGAAAGGAACGAGAACAACTATTGCGAGAGTGGTGTACCCCTGATAAGGACATTGCGCAGTCCACTCGTGAAAACCTTAAAGTGAAGTTTCAACGGCGGCGGTCGGTACGAAATTCCCGCAAAATGGAGAAATTGCACAGTACCATCGGGGGAATCAAGAAGGTACTAGGCATCAGAAGACGAAAGTCTGATGAACCGCACGTGGTACCAGACTTACCAGGTTCGGAGCGATCAGACTCTTCGGATGGCCATGTGCAAATCAGTGAACCTGAAGACGGCGAATCAGATGATGGACTCGAGGACTTGATTGATGATGCGGTAACAGCCGTGAGCGGCATTACCTTTGGAGACAGCACCACCTCGTCTGCTTACGAATTGGAAATGTTTCACAGAGAATTGGAGTTGGAAATGTTCGGGGAGGGACCAGATGAACTAGACGAGCCATCAAACATATTGGGGCATACTCTAGAGCTGGCAGATAACATTCCTCCTCCAGAATCCAACACCATGTCGGTTGGTTCGGGATCCCTCGAGGACCAAATGTCTTCATCTAGCAGCACCTACCATTCCTTCCAATCTCCGAATTACTCATACAACCAAGATCCAAATTCTTGCTATAATCACAATACCCACCAAATGGATCTGAGCCCGGTCAATATGGAATATGCCACAATACAAGAGCAACTTGCGCAACAACAACACTACCCACAAACCCATCACGTGCAGTACAATCCATATGCTCGAACATCGGCATACCGAGGCTATTCACTTCGGGATGCGTACAGAGGCAGCAACAAATTCTCTGCCTTTGATGTGGCGAATCAACAGTTCCCAGCAACGCCATTTCCACAAATGGGTAGTTATCATCATGGACAGCAGCACGAGCAGCAGTGTTCGGAGCTACCAATGCAATCGCGGTATACTGCAGCCCCAGACATGGTTCCTCCATCGCCTTCAGGGTATCCAAGTGACCATGTCAGAAACAACTATGACTACTCAGATCTCGTTCAGCAAGTTCGTTATACCTCTGACGACTCCAGAACTGGTATCGCGTCCGATGTCCAAAGTTGGGAGGAAATCTACTACGATGACAATTCGGCCAAGGGACAACAAGATTCCTTTGAAGATTCCACTCAATCCATGACTGTTTCGAACCATTCGATGAACTACATGTCCTATGGCTCGCCAAGGTCCTTTACTCACAAGCCTCTCTCGGCGGCAGTTGCAGTTGACCTTTCGGTTCGAACGCAACACGCCTAAGATAAAGAATAATAATAGACTATTATATTATACTATAATTCTTGAAGCTTTCATCAGACGAAACTGAAAGAATAAGGCAGAATGCCTTGTAGGAGTGGGATTATCCCTTGTCATACATTGTGCACCTATCCACTCGATGACATACAAGCAACACCATGTTGGAGTTCATCACTAGAAAGGAGGGATGAATGGTCTATTCGGACAGTCATCCTCTCAATGATTCCATAGAACCTATATGACATTTCGGAACACTACCTGCAGGATTGGTAGATAATAACTTGGCTATACTTTATTGAAATAGGACCCGTTGCATTTCGGTTCGGTTCTTCTTGGGGTTCTTGCTCGGTTGTTCCGAGCCAAGCCGAAGTTTATTTAGTCGTAGACACTTGTAATGCAAATGACTGGACTCTATGAGCAGTCCTTTAAAAATGCATATCAGTCAACGCTCTTTCCACGCTTTTCCAATTCCCTGGACAGTGTCTTGGACATTTTTTCAGCGCCACTATCAAAGTCTTGCATATTAGCATCTAGCTCCTTTTTCATATCCTCCAAGCGATCAAAGTCTGTCTTTCGATCATCCAAATACCTGCGAAGCTCGAGTGTGTTTTGAGCCCGAGCAATGGCATCTTTGGCAAATTTCTCGCTGTCCACCCGTTCTTTCAGTTTGGTTTTGTCCATTCTACCGCTTCCCGAGCCGACCCCAAACTGATGTTGCCGTTGCTCATCGCCTTCTTCACTAGTAGCTTCAGCATCTGGTCGCATTGCTGATAGGAGGTTATTAGCAACAGGCGATCCTAGAACTATATCGATCAATACTCCTGCTGTGACAATGGGAAACACGTATTGGCGCCAGGATTCTGTGGCTACCATCAACGATGAGGCATCTTCCAGAACTTGCAGTTGAGTGGCGCTTTTTGGTGGTATAGTATTGATGACTTGAGGCGAAAAGGAGCTGCAAGGACTTGCCATCATGGCAAGTGAAATCGCAAGGATGCATTTCACGGTGCCTAGAACCATCATGACACGTTGAATGTTGGATTTTGTTCGATGCGTGTTGTGTCAAAGCCAAAAAGGATAAACTTCAGCCATCAACTGAAAAGGGACCCGGAGTTGGTGTACTAGGTGTTGGACCTGCCTATCGTACATTGTACTCCTTCCAAACAATGAATCATCTGGCCAGCAATCAGCCTACTTGTGGGATTATGGTTTGTGTACCACTATGAACTCGACAGATCCTGCGCTCTGTCATCTATTAGCATCGCTTGACTCTTCGTTTGACGTTCGGCCGCCCTTTGACAAGTTGCGATGGATCACAAAATAGGAACTAATTTAACATCAAGTTCCGTATTGCCAGACCGAAACTTCCCTTCTGTCTACTAATGCGGATGGTCTCTCCACCTGACAGATCCAATTTGACATCCGCAGTTTTACTCCACTCTCCAAGCGTGTATGGAACTTCAATCGAGATTGGTTCACCGTCGTCGACCGTAACAGAGAGGGGAATCTGCTTTGCATGAACAGAATTTACCTCAATTGAAAAGTTAGTGCGCCCTTCGAGATCATCGGTAAGAGTAAAGTCAATTTTTGCTTCCCCGCCAGCAAAATTGAGTTGTTTGCCCCCCTGAAACGACTCGATGATTCTCATCTTTCCTTCTGCAAATCCTTGTTCTGTGACTGGAATGATAAGTACACCGTCCTCAACTCTTTCTTCCTCATCAGGTTCCTTAAATTCGTACCGCTCCAAGTAAGCCGCTAGACGAGACTTGACTTTACTGCTTCCTTCACGGCGAAAATTCTCGGGTTTAGTTGGCAACAGCATCAGAGCTTTTTGAATAATGGAAAGTGATCTCCAGATCCTCAACGGATGAAGAGTGAATTCTTCATCCTCGGGAATATCACTGTCCAACAGTTGGGTGAAACATTCTAACAAGATCAGCTTGTTGAAATAATCTTTCGAGGAGAATGCACTCCGTGTGTCCACTTCACCTTTGAAATCAGAACCTTCAACACCCTCCCATCCACAATCGTCCCATTTGGCAGTCATCATGGTCTCCCACCCAGCTTCAGTCCATCTGGTGTAGGCATTATCTTCGCCCTGTACGCATCCCCAGGTCGGAATCCCGTGAGCCTTGGCGATGAAACGACCAAACCATGCGTTTGGTTCATCATTGCCCCCTCCAGAAAGAACCTGCTGATACGTTCTTGGGTCTGAGGTCCACGTAGATGCTCTCATTAGAACATCTGTTTGACATATGAAAGTGTATTTCTCTTTTGGGACAGTAAGAACTGTAAAGTATGGGGCATAGTTTAGGAGCATGTCTCGTCCCCATTTCATCTGGTCGTTCTTGGCGTCACAATTGACAACATGTCGCAATTCCCAGATTGAGAAATGAGGAAACGCTGGGTCAAGCTCTCCATTCTTATAGGCATCTGCAAAATGTTTGTATCTTTCGATTGGGTCGACCTCAATTTCTGTGTCGAATTCAAGCATTGGGATCGCTAATTCCAAAGCAACCGCCATTGCCAGTTTCTTGTAAATCTCTTCGTCATCTTTCTTTATATCCTTCGCCAGCTTGTTGTAAGTCACGATTGCTTGACCGTAGTTTTCACCCTTTGCACCTCCATTACCCAGCATCTCTTTCATTCGCTTGGTGGACTTGAGTAAGCCCTCAACAGCCTCGCCATTCCCCTTTTCTAATGAGCAGAAATAGGCGAGGCCTTCAGGCGATGCCTTTGTGATGATCGTCCCCTTCAATACAGAGCTAACGATCTTTTCATTTTCGTTCAAATCAACCGAGTCAAGAACCTTGTTTGCACTCTTTACGCATTTTTTCATTGCCTTTTCTTGCTCTCCAGCAAGTTTTTCCATCTCTTTGTCCGAGGATACTGTTTGAAGCTTCTGATAGAGGTCATAAAACGTTTGACATGCCTCCACAAAACTTTCCTTATGTGGTGACTTGATAGATGGAGGCTTCTTAGAGCATTTCTCCTTGCACTCTGTCAAAACCTTTGTGAAGTAGTCTTGATCAAAGGTTGGCATTGTTGATGTGAAACCTGATTTTGTGTTCAGGCCTCCTTGAGACATTAGGGGTGGCATTTTGAGTTTTCGCCTGTGGAAAAGCACATGATACTGCAACTTTGTATACCATAGTTTTTCTCACATTCGTCACACGTCGGTTTGGTCTAGAGGTATGATTCCTGCTTTGGGTGCAGGAGGTCCCGGGTTCGATTCCCGGAACCGACCATTTTGCACATCCGGTTTTACCCCTTTCGCGGAGAAGTCTGTTGTAGATGGTTGTACCGATTTTGACCTTCGTCATTGCTTCGGACACCTTCACATCTGGCTTTTATCCCAGCCTCATACAGCACGCAACAAGCTGTCACCGCAGTAATTATGGACGATCAATTTCGCCTCCAAGAAGTAGCACTTATCTTATCATAAGTAGCTATCCTTAGCTTCTCAGGATATCATCCCCAAGTCTTGATATTAAACTACTGCACGGCCTACGAATGTTCAATTGAGTAGCTGTGCTTTTTGCACTGCACATGAAAAGCGACTAGTATACATTAAAAGGAAGCAATGTCAAACTGTTAGCGAGGTCACATTATCGCTTTGCTTCCGGATTAAGTTTCAGTTCTTTGTCGTTTTGGCGTACTGCTGTCACCGTTTCCGTCAGACTTTTTACCCCCAGTTTCACCATCGCTGCTTCGTCGTTTGACAGATTTTGATTTTTTCCCGTCTTCAACCTTTGCTTCTGCCTTTACTTGTGTCGTTGCGTCTGCTTTAGACGCACTTGATTTCCGTACGATGCCTATCTGCCTTCTGCTTCCATTTGATCTTGCACTAGATGAAGCAAGAAGACCAGAGGAGGTGGCTGTAGTTCGTTGACGAGCCGACACGTGTACTCGGAATCCAAAGACTCTGGGAACATATGTTGTATCTCTCGGAAGCCTATCCGGAACAAGGTTGCTGAATGTCATAAGGAATAAGTGTGGAAAAGTCGTCCCGAATGCGGCGCCATCTACACCTGCACCCCCATGATGGCTACTTCGGGATTTTATAGGAGGTGGGTGGTATACACATGAACACTTTGGACAGAATATTTTGACTGTATCTGCCCCCATTTCGTCTCGTAGTCCAACGGGAAGGACAGGTTGGCCCGCACATTGAACCAAAGGACACGTTCCAAATTCTTTTGCGGCGTACTATATAATACAAAACATCATTCTACTTGTTGAGAACAAGAAATGACGGGTTCAATAGAACTGAAAGTATTCAACCAACGTACCTTGTTGTACATGGCATCGAGACCATGTGCGGTTATAATATATCGTGCATGGATCAACCCATACAGCGTACACGCACTTTGCGTCAAGTGAGAGTCATCTGAATCATCTGGTCCGATGCGGTCCAGTATCAGATCAAGGCAATCTGAGAAATTGGATACACAAGCTCGGAGGCCGTATAGGTTGAAACCGTCTTCAATATAGGATCGCTCCACTTCGCAAAACATTTCATGCCCTTTCAAACCACAGAACCTAGTTTACAAAAGCATATATGTTAGAAAGGAATGGAATAATAGAAGCTTCTAGGCTGCCCGAACAAAAAAAACTTACCATTGAATCCAGGGTTCGTCATGGCCAGAGGCTGAGGAATCTTCATTATAAGTCATGTTGCTGGAAGCGTCCCAAAAAGCAAGGCCCTTGAGCAGAAGATTTTATTGCTCGTGGCGAATGCTATTGGTGAGGACCCTTTTGTTTTGTTGGGTTATGTTTTATCGAAAGCTTTTTGTGTTGTTCAAGACTACTGACAAGTTCTCATAGCATCAAGGATATGAATTGTTGTCCTTGTACAACTTCCAATATTCTCTTCTCTTGCTTGTGCAGCCAGTCCCTGCACGTACGTACGAAGTACAGTACATGTTAACGGGCGCAGTGCAGACCAGAAGACGACGCGTCAATTTTGTTAGTACCGTACTGGTACCAGCTGACAGAGCATGAGCATCTCTTCACGCGCGCACGAAGATTAAAAAATGCGAATGAATGAATCCTTCGACTCTTTGGTGTCGTACCCACAGTATTCATTGCTGACTAATGCTGCTGAAGCGCAACATTGCTAAACATTTAAAACAATGTAGGCTTCCGCAATACCATGAGAACAGCATCCTCTACTCCCCATGCTGGCCAATGATTTTGCTGATATGCTATTTTTTTGAAACTAATTATTTTATTTCATTTTATTAAAACATGGGTGGAATGCTAGATGTTTCTGACATTTCTTTCCATACCACAGACTCCATAAAATCTGCAGCAGTCGTTGGCAGCAATCTAAGAGAGCTCATTTTGTATAAACCAATACCCAGCCAAACTACGTTCAGTGCAACAAAGATCAACTTTGGTACTTGTGTATCAGTGTCCAAGTTCCCAAAGACCGATTCTACCTTGAAAATATTCGTCATCGGTGTAAGGACTGCAGAAGTTGTTGTATTAATACTGAAAATATTCAGATTCTTTCCCGACATCCAGAGCATAAAAGCATTCATTGCCAACTGATTTCCCGGCTTGGTCGCAATGGCCATGGCTTTGGATTTACGCTTGGCTACCAAGGCGTCCGAATTTTGATTGATAGCAGCAGAAGCAGCGCCTCCCTTGCGTTCTGCATCGATAATGTTGGAATGTCCTACTGATTGAGCGCATTTGGAAAGGGCATGGAAACCTTCGTGCTCGGAACTCAACGTCAAGTCTATTGATTTCAATCCGAATCTGCAGAAAATCGCATGTAGGTGAGTACGCAAGAAATACACTGTAAAATCACATGGTTCAAAATGATGCCATTCACTTACTTTCTTGGCATTTTGTTGTTTGTTCGTGCAAGATCAAGAGTCCCATCGAAACGAGAAATAAAGCACGCTGCGCAGTCAGTTCCCCCAAAGAACCCGGATATAACATTTTCAAGTGCATGACAAGTCCTCATATTTTCCTGCAAACCTCCAAACGCTGTATTTTATATATAGACACGTTCATACTGTAGTAGTTAGTAGTTATCTACCGGTATAGTGCATATATAGTACGTATCGAATATTGTTTAGTCAAGCTTAGCAACGGAAGTTGTGATAATGTCCAAGCATTCATCCATTTCCTGCTCCGTGATCGTCAGAGGGGGTGCAAACCGGATAATGTTTCCATGTGTGGGCTTGGCCAACAAACCTGCATCCATCATGGTTTCACAAAGTTCATAAGCTTTTCCCTTATCACCGTATCCACCCTTGGGTTCGTTAATGACCATGGCGTTCAATAGACCTCTTCCACGGACGGTTTCGACCTTGTCTCCGACCAATTTGTCGAGTCCCTGTCGCAATTGCTCTCCACGGGCTTGCGAGTTTTCAGCCAAATTTTCGTCTCTCAAAACGTCCAAAGCAGCGATGGCAACCTTACAGGCCAGTGGGTTTCCTCCATAGGTAGATCCGTGCTCACCTGGCTTCAAAGTCAGCATGACTTCGTCGGTGGCCAAGACGGCAGAAACCGGGAGAACACCACCGGAAAGAGCCTTTCCAAGGACCAAAATGTCGGGAAGAACTCCATCGTGATCCATTGCCAAACGGTAACCAGTTCGGCATAGACCCGTTTGAACTTCGTCGGCAATGAGCAAGACGTTGTACTTTTCGCACAATTTCTTGACCTCTGCCATGTATCCGTCCTCAGGAACGACAACTCCAGCTTCTCCTTGGATGGGCTCGACCATGAATGCAGCAATATTTTCGGCATCCTTTTCGAACTCCATTTGCAAGCTTCCAAGATCATTGAATGGAACATTCGAGAAACCACTGTAAAAGGGAGATCAAAAGCGAAACGACCGTGCGTGTGAGATTTCAAATGTCATACCGCAATGTCACAGAGGAGACCAATGAAGATCTCCAGATTCAAACTGCAATTACTTACGGCATGTAAGGACCAAATTGGTTGTAAGCAGTAGGATCGTTACTACTGCTGATAGCAGCCAAAGTGCGTCCCCAGAAATTTTGGTTGGCAAAGAGAACCCTGGCCTTGTTGGGGGCAATTCCCTTGACCTGGTATCCCCAGCGACGAGCGAGCTTGACAGCAGTCTCTCCACCTTCCACACCGGTGTTCATGGGCAAGATGCGATCCATTCCAAAGTAATCCGTGATGTATTCACAGTATTCTCCTAGAGCGTCGTTGTGGAAAGCACGCGACGTCAAGGTCAATGTTTGGGCTTGCTCCGTGAGGGCAGCAATGATCTTGGGGTGACAGTGTCCTTGGTTGACGGCAGAGTAAGCAGAAAGGAAATCAAAGTATTCCTTTCCTTCGGTATCCCAGACCTTGGTTCCCTCTCCTTTTTGGAGAACGACGGGCAAAGGAGCATAGTTGAAGGCTCCGTACTTTTCCTCCAAGGCGATGCATTCAGCAGCGGTAGAAACTTCTGTGGTGGCTGCAGAAGAAAATGCTGCAGTGGCAGTTTTGACAGTTTGACGACCTTGCTTGGCAACGGTAGAGGCGACTCTGTTCATCATTATTGGTTTTCAAAGAATACTGTATAATACTTGGAATGTATTTTATGAGAATACTGACTGGATGATTTTTCCTGGTGTCACGATGGCGTTTGAGTCGTTCAAGCTCATACGCCGTCCATCAACTTGGTGTCTGTCTGGCTGTGTCTGTGGTTTCCATTGGTTTTTAGTACACGTCAGTGTTCTTCGGCTGCACTTTCAGACCTCACTTCAATCCTGCCACGACTAAGCTCCACCAGGTGGGATGACAGACGTCCACAAAATACCGGTAGGAAGAAAATCATGCATCCGGATAATCCGAATTTGCATTATTTTCCAGAAATCAGATCGAAGTCACACAAACCTTCAACATGGCGTCTTCCTCTACCTTTCCCGACCCAGCCATCGGCCTACCACCCCGTGTGGAATCCGATTCCATGGGATCTCTTGATATTCCAGCCGACTGCTTGTGGGGTTGCCAAACTCAACGATCTTTGATGAATTTTCCCATTGGGGGCACGGAATCCAAAATGCCGTTGGAAGTCATCTATGGAATGGCTCTTGTCAAGAAATGCTGTGCAGAATACCATGCTGAAATTGGAAAGATGGATGCCAAAGTGGCAGGGGCTATTGCTCAAGCTGCTGACGAAGTGATTGCCGGACACCACGATCGTCAATTCCCTTTGGTTACTTTTCAAACAGGAAGTGGAACCCAAACCAATATGAATGTCAATGAGGTTCTTTCGAATCGAGCCATTCAAATTCTAGGCGGAGAAGTCGGTAGCAAGGCACCTGTCCATCCCAACGATCACGTTAACAAGGGACAATCCAGCAACGATTCTTTCCCTACTGCTATGCACTTGTCGCTAACCAAGATGGTCGTCGAAACTACTATTCCTGGAATGGAAGCTTTGTTGGCTGCCCTCAATGAAAAGATGGAAAAGTTCTCGGACATTGTCAAAATTGGAAGGTACGGCGAATGCAAAAACAAGGAAATAGTTTGGCTTGGCTTGGCTTGGCTTTGCAGCATGCTGCCTCTGTACTACGAGGATATCATTGTTCTCACATTTCATTGTTTTCTTCGTTAGAACGCATTGCCAAGATGCCACTCCCTTGACACTCGGTCAAGAATTCAGTGGATATGCCATGCAAGTCGAATACGGCATTCAACGACTAAAGAATAGCTTGCCGTCCATCTGCCGATTGGCTTTGGGAGGAACCGCTGTCGGCACTGGGCTCAACACTTCTATCGGCTATGACGCTGCCATTGCCGAACGATTGGCCAAGGCCACTGGACTACCGTTCATCACTGCCCCCAATAAGTTTGAAGCCCTTGCTGGACACGATTCTTTGGTAGAGGTTTCTGGAGTTTTGAATACCATTGCCTGCAGTCTCAATAAAATTGCCAACGATTTGCGAATGTTGGCCAGTGGACCACGATGTGGTTTGGGAGAATTGTCTCTGCCCGCCAACGAACCTGGTTCCTCCATCATGCCTGGCAAAGTCAACCCCACCCAATGCGAAGCCATGACCATGGTTTGCGCTCAAGTCATGGGCAACCACGTCGCAGTCACTGTCGGAGGAGCCCAAGGACACTTTGAATTGAACGTCTTCAAACCGCTCATGATTGCCAACCTTTTGCAGTCGGCGCGATTGGTGGGTGATTCCAGTCAATCCTTCTCGTCTCGTTGTGTGGAAGGATTGACGGTCAACAAATCGCGAGTGGACGAATTGATGAATGCTAGTTTGATGTTGGTCACTGCCCTGAACCCACACATTGGATACGATAAGGCCAGTGAAATTGCCAAAAAATGCCACAAGGAGGGAACCACATTGAAGGAAGGTGCAGTTGCTAGCGGCTACTTGACAGCGGAACAATTTGACGAATGGATTGTTCCCAGCGAAATGATTGGACCCAAATAAACTAAAATGATATATGAATACAACGTGTACCATCTGTTGTTAGTTAGGACTATACTGTTATTAGCGGGACAAAAAGATCAAAGGACCAGGAGAATAGAGAGCAGCAACAAGCAGAAATGGGGCAACTGTTATTAGCGGGACAAAAAGATCGAAGGACCTGGAGAACAGAGAGCACTAAAAGGTAGAAATGGGGCAAAAGGTCGGTTCCGGGAATCGAACCCGGGACCTCCTGCACCCAAAGCAGGAATCATACCTCTAGACCAAACCGACGTTGCAAAAACTCTGTACTTTTATAGATCTTAATTTTGTTTTTTTTGCGTCGGTAGCCAAGTATTTTTGACATTAGGAATTGGGTTACACACGAACTTTATCAAGATAGTATAAGCTCTGCATACATACAAAACAACGTGTGTAGCTTTGGCACTTTTCATGTAGCGTGGAAATAGAATTAGAAATGGAAGAATCAATCCTCGACTCAGGAAGAGCAGATGATCCGGCCCCAGCACCAGCACCGGCAGCCTTTTTTAAAACTACCTAAGGTCCGTATTGGTACGGTATCATAACCATTTGGTACTATATGTACAAGGTACCGGTACCCTGTACCCTGTGGAGACATACCAGGTTAGATCAATGGGTGGGATATGAAACAATAATTTCAGCCTCCTGTAGCACCAGGCAGACGTCAGTGGCTGCGTGCTGCCACCATTTCCTGCTGGCTGTGCTCTTCGTCATCGTCTATCCTTGGTATTAGTGCAACTTTCAAGAAGAACGGATGGTCTCAAGCCTTGGTCTTCTTTTCGGGTGTTACAATTCTTTCCAATTCCATCAAGTTGAAAGTATTGACTTGCACAATTAAGTATATCGTAAAGCGGAAAGACTGACAGCTGCTCCAGGACGTACTGTACCGTGAGTCCGTCAACCGGGGTTTGTCAGTTCCCGCACCCAACAGCACGAATTATTGAACAGTTGATCGTCCACATCAAAAATTCCAGTGTGGGACTTCTCGTTCCCATAATATTGAAACCCACGACACGACAACTAAGAAGAAGGTTCATCGCAACAGAAACACACAAAGTATCAGAACCAAGGCATCTCCTGCGGCTGTTTGATCCATTCACTGCAGTGCACTGTTCCATTCACTGATTTCTGATCGAATCAATCATCGCTAACTAATTGAATTGCATTGAATTGCATTGAATTGAATTTTTCGAATTTTCAAATCCATCAAAAAGTTCAAACACGGAGCATCTCATCAAATTCTAGGACATTATTCCAAGCATGAAAGCATCCGCTAGACGTGCCAGTAGACGGCGATCACGGCCACCACAAACATTTCTGGGTGGAGCCGCAAATGCTAACACAAACGCCTCCGCTTCAAAAGGAGTCCCTGAAATTATGTCCAAGCTTTCCGAAGAACCGCAGGACACAACAATGGAAGATCAATGGTGCGACAATACTAGTATAACACCGCTCCCCGGTCAGCAAGCTCAAGACCCAGGAGTTGCTTCGGCTCGTACCATGTCTCCCACTCCACCATTTTCCGCTACAAGTGCCATTTTTTCTACCTTTTCCGATTCCTTTGACATTCCTCAACGCAGACGACAACAACAAAATTACAATACTATCAATAACAATAACAATAATAATGGTCATGATGACGACGATGATGGTGGTGGAAAGGAAGGAGCGGACGATAACATCTCCGTCCTTACGGACTGCAGCTGGATGATGGACGAAGATGAGGACGAATATGGAGAAGAAGACGCTAATTCACAAATTGCTGCCGTTTCCGTTGCCTCGGAATCTCTCACTGTCGCTACCACTACTACCGATTCCACCACACTTCCCACAAACAACCATTTGCTCAATCAGAATCAGCATCACAACCATATGGATCCACCGGAGCCTCGAAAGAAGCGGCGACAGGTTCTCTCTGTTGCCCATGACAATGGGCCCTTCAAGAGAAGAAAGAGGATGTAGTAGAATGCTCACTTGTACTGACGGCTTGGCGCCTACCATTCCAGGCAGGACGAAAAATAGTAGAACACAAACACAGACACAACAAACACCAAAATCTCAATCCATGGTGCAGCAAACCGGTTCCGAGAACTGACCTATATTGCGCACAAAACACAGACCATTTAGCACCACTATCATAGACCATGTTTTCAACAAATACATGATCATCACCCATCATTATAGACCATGTTTTCAAACAAGACACGATTCATTCATTTTAGCAGTTGTACTCGTAATTAAAAGTATAAAATATTCCATTTGTTACTCAACATTTTTTAACCAGCTCTCCTTGGGCAGTGTAAATGAGTATAGCTGGTATTTCGCTGTGTAGTGTACCGAGTTTCGACCTGGGATGGTTCGAGGTGTAGACAATTTCGAACCCGTCTCAAGACTTGAAATGACATTTCCGTAATGTCATTCCCTAATGACATTTCTTAGATGATAAAATCATAAGAGGATCGTGGCGGAGATGAAAAATATAATCACTGGAGCGCATCATTGCATTGCACAGTCCAGTAGAGCAGTCTTATCTAATGCTTTCACAGAAAAAAGAAAAGCGGGAAAAGCTATCGGTTGTTCTCTCTAGGACAGCAAACCATTGGGTGGAGAAAAAGCACCGGTAGAAATCCGAATATGAGATGGAAAAGAAAAGAAATTTAGTTTGGAGGAACATTAATGTGAACAAAGTTTGTGTCTTGTCTATATTTCGTTGTTGTTGTTGTTGGAACGCTGCTGTGCTGTTTATTCCCATTCAATGGTGGCAGGAGGCTTGGAACTGATATCGTAACACAATCGGTTGATGCCCCTGACTTCGTTGATAACGCGGCTGCTCATCTTACCCATGACGTCATAAGGCAAATGATAAAAGTCGGCAGTCATGTAATCGGTAGTCTCCACACATCGCACACTGGCCACATTTTCGTAAGTACGACCGTCTCCCATGACACCAACAGACTTGACAGGAAGCAAGACAGTAAAGGCTTGGCCAATCTTGCGGTAGTGACCACTGTTCAACAATTCTTGAATGACAATGTCATCGGCCTCTTGGAGGATCTTGACACGTTCGCGGGTGACTTCTCCCAATATACGAATGGCCAAGCCTGGACCAGGGAATGGATGTCTCCAGACACTGGCTTCATCAATTCCAAGAGCCATACCCAATTCTCGTACCTCATCCTTGAACAATTCACGAAGGGGCTCGATCAATTTCAGATTCATGTTGGCGGGCAGTCCTCCAACATTGTGGTGGGTCTTGATAGTGGCAGATGGTCCCTTGTAGGAAATGGATTCAATAACATCAGGATACAAGGTTCCTTGAAGCAAGTATCCGCACTTCTTCCCCATGTCGGCTTCAATCTTGATGGCTTCCTCTTGGAAGACTTCAATGAAGGTTCCCCCTATAATCTTTCGCTTCTTTTCAGGTTCAGTGACTCCCTTGAGCAGATCTAGGAAGCGGTCCGAGGCATCCACACATCGCAAATTGACACCACAATCTTCGCGCATTCTCTTGAGGACCTTTGTGGCCTCATCCTTTCGCAAGCACCCATTGTCCACCAAAATCGCGTGGAATCGATCACCAATTGCCCTGGTCATAAGAACAGCCGCAACAGTCGAGTCGACTCCACCACTAACGGCACCAATCACGTGACCCTCCCCAACCGTCTTGCGAACATCATCAATAAATTCTTGAGCATAGTCAGTCATGACCCAGTCAGGTTTGGCTCCGGCAATCTTGATGATAAAGTTTCCCAAAAGTTCCCTTCCCTTAGGAGAATGTGTCACCTCTGGGTGGAATTGAAGACCCCACATCCGCTTCTCCAAGTTTTCAATGGCAACAAATTCGGCGTTGTCGGTCGAACCTAATGACAACACGAATGAAAAATGGTCAGCAGAATTCTACCAAATCTCCAAAAATTCCCGACCCAACGCGACGCTAGATACATACCGACAGGCTTGAATCCCTCAGGAGTCTTTGTAAGCTTATCTCCATGGGACATCCACATTTGGAACTCCTCTGGCATACCATCCAAAAGCTGAGAATCGCATCCCTCAACACGTTTGACCATTGCCTTTCCATATTCATGCTTCAATCCTGGGGCCACGGTACCCCCAAAGACATGAGCTAACTCTTGCATACCATAGCAGATGCCCAAAACTGGAATATTGCGCTCTTCAATCAACTTCCACACTTCAGGAGACACATGGGGCGAACCTTCGTCGTAAACACTGTTGGGACCGCCACTCAGAATGATTGCGGTCAACTCGTGTTGGGCCAGCTCTTCAACCTTAACTAGACACGAATAAAGCTCACAGTAAACATGCAATTCACGGACTCGTCGAGCAATCAAGTGGGAATATTGGGATCCGAAATCCAAAATGGCAACTTGGGGTCTGAAGATCGACATCAATGAATGGAAAAGAAGGTGGCAGAATTAGAAGACGGATCGACCATTTTTCAAGCGATCCACAGTGAGAACACTCACCTTCCCAAGTTACCCAATTGAGTGGATTGTTTCAAATAAGTCTCCTCGGCCATATTGGTCGTGTGTTTGTGGAGGTGATGGGGGGAAGCAGAATTTGGATTGATGTGTTGGGAAAACAAAAATGATCGATGACTGGCTTGGCTCGTCGACGGGAGGGGGGCAAGACGATAACAATCGAAGGAGTCCAAATCGTATCTTGTTCATCGATTTTTATTTTGTTCTTTGACATCATATTGAGGTTGTCATCATCCGAACCCCGTCTTTCAACTAAGTGGTGTTCTCATAACGAACGCATCAAAAGCCAACAACAACAACAAAGAAACAGAAACGAACCAACAATCATGAAAGCAGGAATCTCGGTCTCCATCTTCACTCTTCTGACATCATTCCTCTCCTCCGATGTTTCCGCCCAACTCCCTAGCCAAGACGATGAACAAAATTTGAGTACCCTCTTGCACTCTAAGACGCAAGCATGCAATGAAAACGGCATGGTCTCCGCTTGGTGTGACTCTTCCATGTCGGCCGTGGAATGTTTGATTCATCCCGAATCCAACGTCTACGCTTGCATGTGCACGGATCCATCCTCTTGTCCTGACGAGTGCATCGAAACGACCGACGGAGACGAAAATTCCCGTCTCGTCAAAAAGAGTCACCATGGAATCATGTGCCATGGCATTCCCCAAGACGAACCTAACTATGTACTAAAACACTCTGCCGATCAACTTCCATCTCTTCATCACTGCGAGAACAACGCCCTCGTTGCGAACTGGTGCAATGAAGTGGATTTTCCAGGAGTCAGTTGCTTGGTTCTGCCCGCTTTGGACGAGTATGTCTGTACCTGCATTGGGCGAACTGCTGCTTGTCCTAGCGAGTGCGTAAATGGTGAAACGGCAGATCGCAAAACCCACAATGCGATTCGCTGTCGCGGAATTCCCGTCGATAGTCCAAATTATATTTTGGAATAAAAAAGCGTGGTAGCAGTGGTAGTCTGCCAAGAAACTGATGGACCATTATATATAAAAGGAAAGAAAAAATACAAATGGATTGTCGTAATACTGCCAGGAGAAACTTTGCCTAATTTATTAAAAATCACAAGATAGGTATGAATTATGCCTTCAGAGCGCGGCCGATACCACAATCTCCTGCTTTGTGCACTGGAAGATAGGAATTCTATTGCTGTAACAAAGATTCAACGAAACAAAAGCATCCAGAATCATGATTCATGGTAAGACAACAAATTATTGATAGACAGTATTTGAACGTTTTATCTGCAAACTATCGGCACCGTCGGTTTGGTCTAGAGGTATGATTCCTGCTTTGGGTGCAGGAGGTCCCGGGTTCGATTCCCGGAACCGACCTTTTTGCCTGGATTATCTATCCATCCATCCACGCACTCCCTCATTTTTCTTCAACGTAATCATTGTTGCACGCCAAACAAGAAATCATTCAAGAAGGCCAAAACGAATTATTCAGCAAATTCTTGAAACACCACATGGATACCAAAAATGCAACTACTCCAAAACCTTACGAAAACAAGAACACAACAATCAAAGTTGCGATCATCGGAGCTGGGTTTGCTGGGTTGACCCTAGCCAACTACTTGAATCATTATCATCATGAAGGTCAACAAAATAGCGATAGTCAATCATCATCAAAGAGTAAAAATGAAATTCAATACGAGTGTCTAGTGCTGGAATCCAAAGAGCAGCCGATTTCCATTGTCGGAACCTTTCGATTGCCGCTGCATATTTCCACAGACGTCTTGGAGCCAATCCAAAGGATGCGTCCTCGAGCTGCTGCTGCTGCTGCCACCAGTAACAACAATGACAACAAAAATCAGGATTTTACCAGTCTCCCTAACATGACGCAAGAGAGTGTGGATGAGGATTCATCATTGGGAGTCAAGAAATGGCTCATTTCCCGTCCCGAGCTGTTGAAATGGTTGCGCATTAATGTTCCAATTCGGTATTCCGCCAGAGTGGAAGCAGTCCGAAGAGGAGCGGTGTCAGTAGCATCCAGTGATAAGAATTGTTCTAGTTCGAAGGGGGGTGACGATGATAGGCACTCCTACTATGTATCCATACGATCTGGTAGTACAGGAGAGCTATCGGAAGTGGGACCTTTTGATATGGTGGTGGTCGCTTCGGGTTTCTCCCTTTCACCACGAAATGGCTCCAATGATGATTGGAAATTGGATTGCACGGCCATTGTGGGCGATGTGCGATGTTCCAAGCATGCCTGGTGGGATGTACTTGGCCTGACGCGGATTCAAAAGGGAGGAGCTATGGCCATGATGGATGCAATGGAATTGGCCAAACGTATCGTCGTTGGGTACGATAAAGGAACACCAGTACTGCCAGTACTACCAGACGACAACGACAAAAGAGGAGAATCCATCAGCATTTCGAGCATGTGGTTGGAACAATACTCCCCCCAGTGGAGGCAACTGGAACAACGAAAACAAAAACAAAGACGTAGGCTGCTACAATTCGTTGCAATACTCTTGCTACTACTGCTTTTGCTCGTTCGCAGCGACTTATTGGATCCGAAAGAGCAAGAAGCTTCTGAATTGTAATACTTTAATTAGTAGTACTGTAGTGGTTCCGATAGAATAGTCAACAGATGACGCAGACCTTATTACTGTATTCCAAAAGACTCCTGGGAATACTTTAGTCCCTTTCCGTGTCAAAGCACACTTTGGACATCTTCGTCATTACACCTTCTCGAACAACAGCTGTCGAATAATACAGCAAAACAAAGTACTCTTCGATCATGGCAGATTCGTCAAAATCAGGCCTATCGAAATTAAAGGGCATTTCAATAAAGCCTAGCCTCGCTTGGTGCTTTGTCTTCTTCCCTGCCTTGTGGTACTATGGATTGACTCGATTGCACTCTCTTGGCCTCTTCTCCTCTTCCTCCTTTGGTACCGCTATGGAAACATCTCTTGTGGGTGTTTTCGACTGTCAAAAGCTAAAGGATGCTTCGATAGTTTACTACAATCATCGAAACTGCGAGGAATTGTCAAATAACCCAGCAGGAGTCCCTCTCAAGTATCCCCTTTACTTGGTCCGAGATGATTTTCGCAATGTGGTGGCTACCACTTGGAAGCATGACGAAGAACTTGGGCGTGGATTTTTGCTGATAAGTACCAGCTATGGTTCAGGGAAAATATGGCAATGGGAAACAGGTGGAGGTCCTATACCGATTGGAAAAACATTGTCCATGATTCGTTCCGGATGCCGGTCCAACATTGTAAAAAATTGCACAACAGACCCAGCGGTTGGTAGTGGCGGAATCGTTGTGGATACCCTTCATGAACCACCACGGCTCATCGTTGCTGAGTGGGGAGAAGGACGTATCGTGAGATTGGAAGAAAATGGAGCTCGCACACCGCTCATCATTCAAATACCAGTGGACCAGCCAAACGTGGCAGTTTCAGCGGAAGTTGTTGAAAGTGACGAGAATGAAGAGTCGACCCACACAGAAATGGAAACAGAGTCTTCTCCTTCGACTCGTCGCTTGGAACGTCCATATAAATTACTCTTGACTCCCTTTGCTGACTTGTTGGTTCTAGACAATGATTCCAGCAACAACAGTGATGGTGATGACTTTTTGTGGCACTTGCCACAAATTCATAAGATCCCAGGATTGGAATCCTTGCCGGCCAGCCGCAAGGCCCATGCTTGGGATCGTTTGAATTACAACTCGAGCAATCATCATAAAAAAGGGATTACCATGGGTACCGTGTCGACATCGTCGCATGGTGCAACAACGACAGCTCCCACCAGTGCACCAGAGGATGATGGCATGCCACAAAAAATCTTGCAATCGTCGCAGTTGGGTGGAATGGCACTAGTACCCAAGAATTGGTTGCAAATTTACGTCACCATGAAACAAGGAGATTCAGTGGTGGTTATCACCCTAGCTCTGGATGAGGAAGACGGTGAGGATGAAAATGACGACGATGATGATGTGGTAGCAGAACAGCAAACCAAGGCCACATCCAAATCAGAGCGACAGAGCTCCATCTATCTCGACTACAGTCAACATGCTAGTAAGCCTGGTCCCATTGAAGTGGATGAAGAGGGAAATTTGTATTTGGTCGTTGACGATGGAATCTTGATGGTGTCACCGACTGGTGGCATTTTGGGCAAGATATCAATACCCGACCTGTCATTTGTCGACATGACATTGGGAGAGGATCGATTCTTGTATCTCACAACAGAGACCAAGCTATATCGGCTACGAGTACAGAACAAGAACTTGAGTGTCCCAACAGATATGGTAAAGCAGAAATAATTGCAAAACAAAATATGGAAAGTGCTAGAGTTGTTGTGCTGCCCCAATTCTCAGCTCTTCAATACCACAGGGTTTACAGTGGCTGAATGTCCAAAACAGAATCCCCGATCTTGATTATATCGTTGATGAATGCCCTCCCTTTGTTGACTGTGTTGCGGTTGACTGTAGTTCTACCCTTGGACTTATCAGTAATCGAAACCGTGACGAGCTTCTTGGCAACATTCAAGTCGATTCGCAAATGCGTAGCCTTGAGACTCTTGTCCTTCTTCAGCTTGATCACAGTGCCCACACTTGAGGTTGGATTCTGACCAATGATAAAAGTCTCGTCACCTCCACTCTCCAGGGCATACGATTCACCCTTGTGAGGTCCTTCGGTTACTACTAGCTGAAGACCTCGTCTCTTGAGACCAGCCTTTGGTTTCGAGTTTGTAGAGGACGGGCTCAATTCAATTACTTCTTCAGGCTCTGGCGTCGATTTAGTTGACGATCTTGATGCTCTGGTGCTTCTTGCCGATCGGGATGCCCGTCCAGCAATTGCTGTGGGCTTCACTACCTCTTTTGTCGCGCTTGGATCGAGCTTCTTTATGGTGAGCTCGGATTCTCCGATTCGGACACTTTGGCCAGTGAAGATACGGTAGTCCTTGCCGCTTCGTATCTTTTCCTGTCCAACGAAAGTGCCACTATCTGACTTCAGATCAACGACTCGGACAGCTGTCAACTTCTTGGTCACTGCTAGTTCCAGTTGAATGTGAGAATCTTCAACTTTGTCATCATCGGAAAGAGCAAAAACAGTCTCGCCAGTAGCCGATAGTGGATTTCTACCAATTACAATCTTGTCGGTTTGCCCCTTGATCATGTTGAAGCTTCTCCCTTTGTGGGGCCCAGCGTCGACAAGAACAGTAACACCTCTCGCAGCTGCAGACTTGGCAGCAGGCTTTCTAGGCTCTTCATTTTCATCAACGGTGGCCTCCCAGTCCATCGTTGCAGTTCCAAACGAATCATCGTCACTTTCGTCTCTTGGAGTCGCATAGTGGGGCTCTGGCTGGGCATCGGTCCAATCTTGACTGCAGTCAATGAAAATTTCCTCTTCGGCATCCATGGTGGAGCTTTCATCTCGAGCCATCTTCGACGGACTTTCGACAACCTGTACTTCGTCATCGTCATCATTTGACGATGATGCTCTCTTTTGAGCGCGAGTTCGTCTTGATGAAGTACCTGCGGTTGCAGTGCGCAATGGAGTCTTTTTGTTGGATGCTCGCACCTTTGTTGCTGGAGCAGGGGCCTTGGCAGATCTTGAAATCTTGAGCTTGGACAAGATCTGTATAAGGCTCTCGTAGTTTGGGGTTTTCTTGAAGGTGTAATTTCGCACTTCGTCCATGTACTCGGAAACGATCTTCACGACTGCTTTGCTTCCGAGCTGTTGGAAAAAGATTGAGTTCGGATCATTCATGTTCTCTTCCTTCATTCTGCCGATGGCTTCGTCCGAGGTGCCACTAGACCATGGCAGTTGGAGCGATGGATCTCCTGCGACAATTTTCATAATCAACTCGGCAATAACATATCCGATCGATTCGAAATCATCTCGGCGACTTGGAGTCTGTCCATCGTGAACGTTCATTGAAGCATACAACGGAGTTCCAGCAAGCCCGCTAGTTCCTTCATTCTCTCTGTGCGATTCCATGCTCTTCCATGGTTTTACTAGAGCCAAATCTAGTAGTCGAATCCGAGAAGCTAATTTCTGAGCATCCGTGGAGCCCTTGCCCTTGTCGCAAGTTAGCATAAAATTGTCTGGTTTGATATCCACCACTACTTGCTTGCGCTCTTGGACGGCCTGAATACACTCTACTAGTTTCACTGCAATTGGTCCAAAATCAATTGATGTTCCCTTTGTTCTGAGTAGCGCTGGAACGATGTTAGACAGTTCGTAATCCATCTTCTCCAAAATCATAAATTTGAAGCCGCCAGCTTCGCCTTGCGAGGGAGGTTCATTTTTGGAGAATGGCATCCTGGGTACATGGGTTCCTCGAATGTCTGGGAGGATATTGGAGTAAACAAGATGTTCAAAATGAAGTAGTCTGGCATTGATTTCCCCCTCCGAGTTTTGCTTCTTCGTTTTCTTGGTTGGAACTGGGACAACCTTGACTGCATATTCTGTGAGATTGCCATCAATTGTTTCTAGACTGTAAACAGTGGCACAAGCGCCACTTCCGAGCTTCTTCCCAATCTTCCATTTTGCCTTGGGTCCTTTTAGGATCTCAACTCCTTTTGCAGACGGTGCCATTGTCGTTTGCAATGCGATATGTTGCAATGCTGCCAATGAAGTTTGGATGGGATTGATTGATTCGATAAAGCAGAACCGTTTTGATTTTTGGGTTTTGAAGCATTTGAAAAAACGGCTGTTGGACTAGTTTGACTTCTTCAATCTCAAACAGTCAATCAATCGATCAATCGGATCATTCATTCATTCATTCAGTCAACTTTTCATTTTTCAGTGCGTGACGACTGACTCGTCACTCAACATATCGCATCATTTATTCGGAACGTTGCATGTATCAACCCCCACAAAACAAAACCACAAGAGATCGCCATCCAGGATGTGACCAGATGGATATTTTCTTTTTGCAATTTTGCATTGAAAGATCTATACAGTACTTTTTTCGTCACACAAACTCAAATCCAACCAAACGCTAACAACAGAACCATGCCCGGCACAATTAGAGTAGACTTCCAAGCCACATAGATGGTTCGGCAACAAAGTTCAGTCCGCTTGTCACAGAATGAGGTTTTCGTGATGCCTAGTCTGGATGAATACTCGGAACAGGAAATTCGGGACTATTGGATTTCGACTATGGACAAGAGATGGTGGCCAACAACCAGAAGGAAGGAATCAGAGCGGTCAGTGAATATAATCATGCAATGATACACTAGATTATATTCCATTTGCTATCAGATTGTGTATTATACTATATTCGCTACATTTACCATATCCTTCAATAAGATACTTTGCATCATGACTGGTACTTTTTCGCTCCGTTTGATCGTTCATTCGTTCGTTCCACCAGCATTCATGCAAAAAAGTCTACCACTGGCTATTGGAGGAGCAAAAGATCTTGATGCGCCCTCTTGCGACGGAAACACAGCTAAGATATACCAGCCATTATACTCTTCTAGCAATCTCAGCTGCAAGCGCGGAACCTCCTCGGACAAGTGATGTCCACGGCTGCACCCAAAAGGCGTCGATGCCTGGATTGTCTTGATTTAGTAATCGACGGGCGGCATCTTCCTTGTGGTGCACTTCATCTTCACAGCAAGATTCTAGTAGCTTCACCAAGTCCGGACATGCATTTTGCTTCTTTAATGGAACTATCTGGTCTTGAAAGTGTTCTTCCACAAAGGTTTCCACTGCTTCTACCGTCACATACAACGCTCGGCTACCTCCCAATAGCGTCGGAAAGAAACCCAACGTAAAGCCAGCTAATCTCCATATTGGTAGCAATTTGGTTCGCTTTCCATCAGGCACGATATACTCAAACATTTGCAAATGAGAGGCTTCATTGGCCATGTGCGACTGACAGAATTCCAACACGTCATCGTTGATGGGTCGGATCGACAAGGCCGCTAGGGCGCCCTTGTAAATATGAACTGCCCCAGTCTCCCCCGCAAAATTGGAACTCAGCTCCTTATCCAGCCAATGCCAATTCGCGGATGGTTTGAGATACTCGCGTCGACCATCATGGTAGGTAAAGCAGCAATATCTCGCGTTCGTGGTAGATCCTTTGGGAGATGCTGCTTCAGAAATCAGCCAGTAATTCATGATTTCATTTCGAATATTGTCAAAGTCAAACTTGATGGTTGCCGAAGATGATGGAGAGGAGGAGGCAGTTGTCGATAGAGCCCCTCGCATTGCATATGCCTTTCGATGACGCATGTGACCTCCAGCCGATTGCATTTGTCGAAATGTTCCAGGAGAAAGCATGCTGGTCAAGGAATCAAGTTAACTTCAATTCTAAAATATCAATAGTTTCGGCTGTGTATCAGCTAATGATGAGACTGTTATTGTTGGTTTTTACATGAGGCTTGAACTCATCGATTGTTATTGTTCATGATGAAAAGTCAGAATTGAAGAAACTGAGTTTGAGACTACGTTAGCACTTCTGATGTTTTGACAAAAATTCCCTTCATTCATTCATTCATTCATTCGGAGGATGATATGACTCGTGACTAAAGTGACATTTCTCTGGCCAAGAATTTTCCTGTCAACCGCCGAAAAAGGATCTTGTATGTGCATCGGTACAGGATAGGTACAAGATAAGTTCAAAGTGCAAGATTGCAGGCTCTGTGATTATCAAACGTAAAGTTACTGAGCCACATCGATATAAACAAAGGCTAAACCATGTTTGGCAAGCTATCGCGGCGAACGAACTCCATGAAGAAGGGTCTCGCCTCAGAACAATACGATGAGGCCGACGATCCCGATTACCGCAATGGTGAGCCCCAAAAATGGGAGGCGAAAACCGTGCGATTCAAGGGTATGCTAGTTGGACAATTTAAGAGCGAAGATGTTGTTGGATCCATTGCCGAGGGAATTGAAACCATGAAGAAGCAACCGGCAAAATACCTGGCAATCAAGTACGCCACACATGATCTGGATCTTCCAGAGACAGAGCAAGCATTCACATTAATTTACCGGAAGGATGTATTCCAATGTGCCCCCATGGACCCTGATCCCGATGGCGCATATGCATTGGTTACCATGGTTTACGAACGGCTACCAAAATTCAAGAACGATGTCCTTCCGAAGAGTAATCGCGACAAGTACACAGATTCAATGGTGTGGAAGGGCAAAACATTACATTCGGCCAAAAACAAACCACTGCTCCCAGGACGTGGCATGGGCATTGTTGACAAGCCTTGTCTCACAGTTATTGGTGACGTGGATCCTACCGACGTTAAACAGGGTCTCATTGGTGACTGTTGGATGCTGAGCGGTATTTCAACGCTGGCTGAATATGATGGATCCATCCGCCATCTCTTTCGCAAAACCAAAAATATTGACGAAATGCCCTTTGACAAAAAGGCCAACTTGTATAACATTACTTTGTTTGATGTCAAGAAGTGGAAAGAAACTGATGTTGTGGTGGACGAACGTTTGTGTTTGAGACCTGATTGGCATAATAAAACGAGTGAAAAGCGTCTCTTGGGTGCTCGACCATCCAAGGATGGACAATTGTGGGTACCCTACTTGGAAAAAGCCATTACAATACATTGTGGTGGATTTGATCAGGTAAATTATGGTGCAAACTGCAACCATGCCTGGGCTGTGCTGACAGGAGTCAAGGAACAATGTACCATTATGCGAAAGGGTGACGAAACCACCAATTGGGGATGTTACGGACGATACAATACAAGGAACAAAACTTGGGAAGACTGGGATAATGATCCGTGGAAAGGTTCCCAGACCGTTTATGCCGTTCCGTGGCCAGAAGGCGGTGGTGGAAGCTTTGACGACTGGACCGACTATGATGAGTGTACCGATGACCAGTTGTTTCAAAAAATGTGCGTATGGGACGACAATAACTTTTTGCAAGCTGCCTCCAGTAAGGGAGAAAGCGATCAAAACAAGACAGATGGAATTATCGACAACCATGCGTATGGTATTGTTGACTGCAAATCGAATGTTGCCGATTCAGGTGTGGACATGATCCAGCTACGAAATCCTTGGGGCTACGATGGTGGACTCGACAATGGAATTTTTGTAAAAGATAAGGGAACTGGATGGCAGAAATATCCACTGGTTAAAGAAGAATTGAAACCCGAACTGGATGATCCAGGTGTTTTCTGGCTGACAAAGGAAGAGTTCTTTCAATATTACGGAACCTTTTACCTGAGCGGACGAGACATGAGCGAATTTTTGGGATTCCCAGCAACTGCTACCAAGAAACGCAAGGCAACAGACGATGCCATTGCAGGTGATTTACCGACTAAAAAGAGAGATGATGATGAATCAGGTAGTGGTGCAGTGGCTACTGGTGGGGTTGCAGGTGATGCCGACACCGCTGCTGAAGCTGCTGCTGACACTTCTGCTGAAACTGCTGCTGACACTTCTGCTGAAACTGCTGCTGACACTGTTAGTGGAGATGACGATGTTACTGTCGCTGCTGGTAATGCTGGTGGGATTACTGATGATGCCGATGATGCAATTGGAGACGATAATGAGTCAGGCACTGGTGTTGCTACTGGTGCCGCCGGTGATGGCGAGGCGGCTGCAAGAAGAAAAGCACAAGCAGACCTTGTGAAGCGAAGACTTGTAGAGAAAGAGAAGCTGCGCAAAATGCGGCAATGTGCGATTGCATTTGTGTGCCTTTGCTTTTTGGGAACTGGACTTCCATTCTTCATTCCGTTTGCATTGGATCTTCCTGCAATCATTGGCGAAGACGCAACGACCTCCCTTGTTTTGACCGATGCACCTACTGTGGCTACCTTGCCGCCTACAACATTGGCCCCTACGATCAGTCCTGCACCTACTTTGAGCCCCACTATCAGTCCTGCCCCAACGATTACTGCGAAACCGACAGTGGCCACCCAAAGCCCCAGTACGATGCCCTCAGATACTCCATCCGACAAACCAACGAGTGCGCCAACGACCCTGGCTCCAACCGGTGCTCCAACGACGCTGTCGCCAACCCGGACTCCAACTGGTGCTCCGACACGTCTCCCGACACCTGGGCTTCCACCTCCAACACTGAATCCTACCATTGCTCCATTCACAGAATTTCCAACAAGGCTACCGACGACTTCTCCTACTAGAAATCCAACTAGGAGGCCAACACCTGCTCCAACAAAGACTCCAACTAAAAGTCCAACAAGAACCCCAACAGCTTCTCCTAGCACGTCTCCCCCAACAAAGAGCCCCACGGTAGCTCCAACAAAAGCTCCGACGAAAACACCAACAAAAGCTCCAACATCTTCTCCTAGTACATCTCCCCCAACAAAGAGCCCGACGGTTGCGCCAACAAAAGCTCCGACAAAGGCACCTACAAAAACTCCCACAGCTTCTCCTAGTACGTCTCCCCCAACAAAGGTTCCAACTAGAGCACCAACCAAGTCTCCGACGAAAACTCCAACACCTGCGCCAACTAAAGCACCCACACCTGCCCCAACGAAAGGACCGATCGAGATTCAGCTGGAATCCATATCGGGAGAAGGAGTATTTGATAACCCAAGATCTCCTCAAAGCGTTGCACGTAATGTCTTGCTCAACGAAGGTCTAGGCGATCAAGGTCAATTCGATGACAGAGCTCTAGAGCGATACGCAGCTGCTGTATTCTATTTCAGCACTGGAGGGGACGCTTTTTGGTACCAATGCTTCCGGGGGCACATAAACTGTGGTAGTGGCCAATGGTTTACTGGTGATGTGTGCAGCTGGAACTTTGTCTCCTGTAATGGTGACGGATTCATCACTTCAATCGTAATCGGTAAGTCTGAGATCTCTCTCATCACTACATGAAATGACACAAAATGAGTTTCTCACATTTTTTCCGTCTCTTGACAGACTCCGACAACGGACTGCGTGGGTCGATCCCCATGGAAATTTGGTCACTCGAGTTCCTTGAGGTGCTTGAAATTGTCGACAATCCTACCATGAGCGGTCCATTGCCAACTAAACTCGGTGAAACAGCGACTAACATGGTTCTCATGCGAATTGAAAACTCTGGTCTTACTGGCACAATTCCCAACGGTTTTCTAACAAACAGTCAAGTCGAATTCTTGTACCTTTCCAGAAACCGATTGTCAGGACGAATCCCCAATAGCTTTGGCCTCCTGACAAGCTTGAATGAATTGACATTGCATAGGAACGTTTTGACAGGTACTATGCCGCCAACAGTGTGCACGTTGCGAGGTACTGGATCATCTGACCTGCAAGTGCTTACAGTGGATTGTAACGAGGTGTCATGCAACTGCTGTACTTCGTGCTTCTAGATAAATCATAATTTATAGACAATATGATTAGTAGACAGCCATGGCTTTTTCGAGGGTGTAGAAGTTGGAAGATGCTACTTTAGGGGCGACGAAATGACCGACTCAACCAGTCGGCTGGAATATGAGAAACGAGGATTTCCTGTTTCATCAGGCTCCAATTTTGTGGCAATGGGCAACATTTATTAGCAAGTGGATCTCATACACCTATCCGCAACACACGGATCAACAATTCGACCAGTGTTTGAGAACTCCGCTACCTGTTCCCTGAGGGCAGAATCCCACCGCACACAAAAGTGTACGCTATTGTCGACTGGAAGGGTGTTATCCTCTTGCAGATGACTATACTCGTATTTGTATTGCACTTCGGTCAGCGTAACCTTTGGACCAAATGATGTCATGTTTACCGGATTGCCAACAGGAATGCCAAATATGGCGGTACGTGGATTGTTGGGGAGGATCGAGCTATTCATGGACCGTGCCATGGCTTCAGTCGAAAGTGTTGAAACAATGACATCGCCCAATCCTGCTTGCAGCAAGATGGGTGGCAGGGATTCTTCAGGGTTGATGGGAGACGCCATTAGCCCAGCTGCTTCTGTAGAGTCCCACGCCATTTGTACTAGCGACAGCAGTAATCGAACCTCTCGATTATTGTACAAATTGAGTAGCAAAAGCAAATCATAAGCGACGAATTGCAGTGATCTGGTTAATATTGAGGCAAACGGTGTTCCAGGACTGCCCAGTATCCCCCGATCGATAAGTGCTGTCTTGCCAGATAGAGGCAAGTAGCCTCCTCCCAAGATGCCTCCTTGTGATATGCCATAGAAAACAGAGGTTGGTTGTTTGTTTTCGACCGTTGGAAGTTTTGCATCGTCAATAGTAAGCCAGTCCAACATCCCATTTCGGGCAAAATGTTGTAGCGCCAATTTCTCTGCGTATCCTTGGATCAAGTTGTCGCGGACGGATTGAAATTGACTTGGATCCCCAATCAGAGTCTTAATGACAACCGGAAGATCAAATAGCGACATCCCCCTCCAATCCATAGCCATCAACAAGTAGCCATTTTCATGTGCCATTCTATAGTACGTCGGATGGTGAGATATTTTGACTTCGCCAAAGGCGACATAGAATGAATCAAACTACTGTACTTACTGGGAAAGGAATCCATCCGCCACTTCAAGTCGATTGTAGAAAAGGCCATGCCCATATTCCATAATGGTTCGTATTTGTTTGCCACCTTCGTACCCAAGAGCTGCACTTTCTACTGAACAAGGCACTCGAATCATCGCTTTGGCTTTTCCGATCGAAACTGGTACACCCGATTCGACGGCCTCGTCATCCAGGAACGCGTAGCGACTGCGACTTTGCAAAAAGGATGGAACGTCCAGGTTTATGTGAAAAGTACGGGCCACTTTTGTGAAACTCGAGGCTAGATGACATTCGTTCTCATTTATTTCCGCCACGAGTTCGACATGGTCGCTCCAATCCCAATCTTGGACGACTTGAAGCACGCCATCACGAACCGCCCGGATAGGTCCGAGTTGACTCTCTTCGCTCACAGTGACAAAGTCAAACAAGAGCTGCACACTATCAATATCTGAGCCGTTGTCTTTATCGCCCACCCAAGGTGCCGCCTGACGAAGGGATGGAAATAAGACTTCGTTGTATCGTAGCAATCGTGGAGAACCCCCTTTCTCCTGCATCAAGGATTGCATCCCACGTGTCCTTGGGAGTTTCTCACCACTTTTGCCCACCGCATTGACCACCGCCACAGCATAGTGGGTGGCATGTTTCATTGGTTGAGCTGGAATCACCAAGACCAGTGGTGCTTCTGAGTCAGCATAATCAATCTCGGCACTGTGGTGGATCAGCGTTTGGTCGTCAACATTGAGCAAGAGGGTGATAGATTGGTTGGTGACAGACGACGCAATATGTCCAGGTCCTTGTAGACGAGGATGAAAATCGTCCTCGATGTTTCTTTGTTGCTCATGGGCTTCCTTCAAGCCTTCCATGTAAAACAGTATGGGAGCCATCGTACTAAAGCCATCCAATCGATTCAAAAATTTCGGATGCAAAGGAATCCCTCCTCTCAAGGGTGCTAGGCCCTTCAAATCTACCCTCCAGCCCGTCACTGTTGACTCATCTTGAGCCATGTGGTGAAAACTGGGAAAAGGAAAAGCGCACAAGGTTGTATCCAGCGGATCGCAGTCTTTGTCCTTGGCTGTTGGCAAAAAGGGAATGGCCGAGGATGGCCATGGCCCAAAGTGAGATGCCAGCGATAGAAGGCAAAGAAGATGAAATAGGAGGATTGTTAGGTTGATGTACTTGAGTAATGGCAGTAAGCGTCTCTCGGCCAACTCCGTAGCGCCAGACGGGTTGGTAGGAAGGAACGGCATTCCAAAGGTCGCCTTCCGTTGAAAGTTTCGATCCCAGCTGGATCGAACTCCCACACCAAGTCTCAGGATTACCAGCACCGACCCCATTCCCACCATGACTCTCAATCTGTACGTCATGGCCATCCAGTCAAAGTTAATGGTCCCGTCCACATCTCGGAAGAGCAACTCGATTAAGACCCAGGCAATGGCTGGGTAACCAGCTCCAAACAGCAAGACGTCAGCACATGGTACAATGGACGGAGACCACCAACAGGAGCAGGAGCAGATATTGGACCGTGCATTGCTCGGTCCATCATGTGAACGTTGGACTCTTTGTTTCACCTGATGATGGGAGGATCTCAAGTTCCATTGCAAATGCATGACACCAATCCAAACTGCCCACAAGCGGCCAGTGAACTGAACCCCAAAGACAATCCAGGATACGATTACTGGAATGCAAAGAAGAGATATGGCTGTAGAAATCACTACTGGATTATCCCATCGATTCCAAAGATGCTCATCCAAAGGCTCATCCTGAAAAGATTCTTCATTTGGTATTTGCGACGACTCTTCTGTTGGAAGAGTCGCTAACTCAATGCCACTGTCATCGTCGTGATAGTCACTGAAAGTGTTTTCACAGTCATCTGTCACGCGTACTTTAGCATATATTGCCTTTTTCTCCATGGGAGGAGAGCCGAATAAATAGTGCTTTCACCTGTTACCTTCTTTAGCTGACTGCGTTCCTCACGTTGAATGCATCATTGGTTTTCACATGTTGACTCGTTCGACTAAAATTTATTGCATTTGTTTGTATCCTGGAACGGCCGGGAAATAGAAATTTAGCATACAATTCTTGAGAGTAAATATTGATTTTCCCGGCCGTCCCCTGCAGCGTTCTGAGCTCCCGTTTGATTCGATTCCCTAACACCACCAGTTCATTCACTTAGTTTTATTCTGTAGTACATCAATGAGGATCAACCAATTATTATTCTGATCTATGTCATACATAGTCGGATAGTGATACAAAACAATGCCCACCGTATTTTGTGCCAGGTCATCCATTGCAGAGCTACTAATTATTCGAGCATCCAAAGTTGTATTGCTTATTCTATAGTTGTTCGTTCCTCAAACACCAATGTTTCCACTTTCAGTCTCAGTACCTTATCCTGGCATAGTTGCACATCATGACCCATCTGCCAGCGAACCACTATTGAAACTGCAAATTAACCCCTGCTGGTTTTGATTGCAGCCCTGTAATCATTACTACAGTGCAATTGTTTAGAATGATAGGAAGAGTGCTGTCGCCTTTCGCTTGATCACCTGTCATCTTCGCTTGTTGGACCATCTGTCTTGAGGCGAGCTTTTGGTTTGCGTTTATCGACTCGTTGGACTACAATATGTCATGAAAATTGATTGATACTAAGGTTACAAATGACATCCAAAGCACCTAGAAGATCCTCTCGGCCACTATAACATCTCCTCATTATCAAACATTTTCGCAATGTTCTAAAGTTATAAGAAGTGGTAGAGATTGATCCTACAGGTAATCTTCCTTTCATTTCATCATCCTTGGTTTTGCTTGTCACCCACGAATTCATTTGGACCCATTCGACTCAAAAGGCGTTGATCGGAATGCAGCCCAAGGCAATGGAAAATGCTGTTTTGATTGTCAACCTTGCTGAGTCCAACCCTTGCGATTTTTGTGTTTTATTGCGCTCGCAACCCTCTGAATATCTCATTCATTACAAATTCCTTCCTTGTGTCGCTTCAGTTGTCACAGTATCACTCTATGAGTGTACTAGTATTGAGATAACTAGCAACCAAACCAATACAAGGGAGAGGTCGAGCTGTTGACACCCGTTTATTTTTTGTTTTTGTTTCCTTTTGGTATTCGCTATCATGTCGGCTCTTGATGATTTTAATTTAGACGACATGTTTGCCGAGGGCGGCGACGCCCTCTTCGGTTTTGACCAGGATTTGATGGGGGGAATGGATGCCATTGTGGATCAGGAACGCAAAGGTGGTAGCAACGGCAATGCTCCAGCGCCAGCCGCGGCGGCTCCGCCCACTATGCCTTCAGGGCCTAGCAACAAACGAACCGGACCGCGGACCAAAAGATCCAATCCCATGGTTCCCGAAGAGGAACCAACCAAAAAGGGAAGAAACAAACGAAAATCCAAGGCAGCAGCATTAGCCTTGGACGATGATGTCGAGCTCCTCGAAGATGGGCCTCGAAAGAAACGCAAGGCCGCTATCAAAAGCAAGGGGGGTAAGGCTGAATTAGATATCGGCGGTAAGAGCAAAAAGAAAAAGGGTGCCGCTCAAACCAAGCAGTCCAAGGCCGGATTTGTGCCCTCCGTTCCCGCAGTTGGACAATTTGGAGCAAGAGCCACCTCTTCCAAATTCAAGAAACCAAAGAAAAAGGGAGCTCCTGTAGTGGAGGATCCCGTCCCTCCAACAATGACCAACCTGCAAAATGTCTCGGCTTCTGTGGTCACGAAGCAACTGCCCAAACAGGAACCGACCTTTTGTGGGTTGCAGCCCAGCAAGATCATGTTTTATCCATTTATGGAATCGGTTCCTCCGGAACCGAACCTGAAGAACAAGAAGTTATATCCTGGATTCGACAAAATCGCCAGTACCTTTACTAATTCCATGGTAAAGCCTCTCGAAAAGTTGGAAGAGGACGAGTTTACTCAGGGCCTAAATATGGAATCTCCAGTCTTTGCTCTAATCAGTGAGACGTTTGAAGCCATTAGCGACAAGGAACGCCAAAACTTTAACGAAGAAAAGAAGCAGACCCTCCTCAAGACCGTTCCCCATTTGCGAAAATACATTTCCAAGTTCGATAGACAAAAAGTCATCGCCGATGTCTATGCGCTGTTGGGGCTGCTGGGGCGACAGTACAATTTTCTCCAGACCTCGTTGGACAATATGCAAGCTTGGTGTCAAACCGAATTCACACCACAAGATTACAAGGCGACCTACGAGGCTGACGAACAAAGCAGAGCCTCCAAGTATCAGCGATGGAAAAAGCCAGTCGTCAAAGTCAATGTGACCTGCCCAGGACAAAGGGAACCAGGGCCGCTCATAGCCATTCTTCCACAATCGGTAGTGATCGTTAAAACTCCAACTGCTCCCGAGCTGACCCATGTTACCACAGCTCCCACCGCAGCTATAAGTGCCCCGGGGAGTGTTGTCAGTGTCGCCCCGAGCACTGGCAGTACTTCTACCAAGAAGAAGAGCAAGTCAAAGCCTAGTTTCACCACCAGCACACCACCAGTTCCGGCGGCTCCCAAGACATATGTGGAATGTACGCCGCAGGAACGACGATCCATGATTGCGGAACGAGTCACCGAAATTGCCAGCGAACTCCAAGAGAAATATCGACAAGAGCAACTCAAACAAGACAGTGGTTGCAAGAAAGCATTTACTGTCACAGAAGACGAGACGCTAAACACGCAACAAATGTGGGACTTTGCGGAAAAACAGGGGTTTCACAAGGTCCCATCGTCGTCTTTGTTGTCCATGGAGTCATTGCACATTCGCCCTAACAAAGTGTTGCTTTCGGATCCTTCCAAGATTCGGGGATGGCAAAAACGCCAGCAGCAACATCCGCAACAGCAGTATTTGCATCCACAACACCTACAGCAACAAATCGAACTGGGAAGGGTTCCACTGCCAGCACATGCGGGCGAAGATGTTTCTCCACCAGTTCCTGGCCCCGAAACGGAACCAAGCAAGGAGAACATAGAAAAGGAGCGACAAGGCGACGATGACGAACAGATTAGAATATCTTCCAATTCTTTGTTTGATCGATTACAGTCCTTGTTGGTAGAGGAGGACGATGACGAGAATGATGTTTCGGAAGGCGAAGCAGACAGTGACAGTGACGACGATTCGTCAAGAAAGGGGGATGACGAATCCTTGGGATTCTTGGACGAAGCGGATGAGGACCAAGATATCACAGATCCCATGCAAGCACCCAACTTGCCTGTCGTAGATCTATCCAGCCTTTCATTAGAGGAGAGGACCTTTATTCATTTGTCCAAAATTGGTTTGATAGGTTCTTCCTTGTATCCCAAGGCTCGTCTGACACTTTCAAGTGCAGAGGAACATTCGGACGAACATGATTTCTGCAATGTCATTGGCAGCATGACGGAAGACTTGTCAGAGATCACTGCCAAGAATAATGCCCGAGTTCAATTTTTGGAATCTGCAGTCATCAGAATGGATCTGCCAAATGCCAAGCAATTGGAGGATCAACAAAATAGCTTGATCACCAAGTGCCAGAATTTGATAAAACGGAACAAGGAAAAGGCCAAGAAGAATAGCAGCAAAAAGAAAGATGACTTGAATTTACCGTGGTAACCAAGGTCGCTTTGTGCTACATTATTGTTGTCTTGATGTGCTTATCGGGGAAGACAGACTATAAAGTTGTAATATTATACCGTTGTCAGTTGGAAAAGCTAGTATCTACGTCTTTTTTACAATGTGAGATCAAGGCCACTGTTGAACGGTGAAAAGAAGAGAAAGCCGGGCTCAGTTGGAAAAGCTAGCATCTACGGCTCGTTGACAATGTGAGACCAAGGCCCTTTTTGAAGGGGGAAAGGAGAGAGAGAAAGCCGGACTGGGTGTCGAACAAGTTTCTAGTCTGGTTCCGCTCGACTAATACCGCAACGAGTACAGAAGATTGAATCGAAGCTCTTCCAGTCTCGGAAAGTCAATACTATTCAAACGGAAAGAGATCACGCGACTGAATCGTGACAAAAGCAACCAGGAGAAGATCATTGCCATGACAACGAAACAGCTTTTGGAGGCGTTGAGATCTAAAGTTTTTGACGAAGGGCGGTATCTTGGTTCCCTAGCTTTCTATTCCACAATTTATTAGACATGCATTCCACAAAATTGTTGGCCCTTTCACTCTGTTCTGGGTTTCTCCTTCAGTACTCTTCATCACTATCAAGTTTAAGAGGATCTATGTCCAGTGTACCGCTAGACTCTACTTTCTCCTTCTTGGTACGCAGCAACAAGTGGAAGCTCATGCAAATCGCTTCAAAAGAAGGGGCAATCCGACAAACAATCTTCAATCAGATATCAAAACTTCTCGATAAGGAATCGTATCCAGGGACGGCCACCTCAGGGAGCCACATGCATTCCAAGTTTCGATGGATACTGTCTTTGATCGCTTCGGTTGCTGAAGTGAGACAAGTTGCAGCTCGTGGGGTCTCTCGCGAATCCAAAGTCAAAGATGCAAACTTCGCCCGCAGTTTTTTTAAAGCCAGCATTGGCAGGTTTCAAATCCCGGTGGACGATGGCTCGCTGGTGCATATACGACAAGGCTTGTGCAATTCCAAGAGCCACAGTCTCCACACGTTCGTACATGATTTGAGATTCCGCTTCTTTTTGGCTTTCTGATGATTCTGTAGATTCCGCTCCGCTTTTCAAAGCACGATGAGTCATTGCGCCACTTCTGTAGTCGATCCTGGGATGTTTCTTCCATGACGTCCATCAAAAGGAAGATTCCATGTTCATCCTGTTCAAACGATTGTGCAACGGAGTGCGAGACAAGCCTCTAAGCTTAATTTTGGTGGTTGAGTCCTCTTTGGCGAAGATTAGTGTATCGCATATTGTGATAAGCATGGGAGATTTTACGAGCGGAAGGATGGGCTTTTGCATATGTGACCTATCGCGGGATCGCTTCGCAAAATTGTCCTATGGAAATAAGCAAAGACGGTTGGCATTGTATAATTCAACAAACCGAATTACGTCCCACAACCTCGTCGCTGATGCAAAATATGATGCCAATGAAGGATCGTGCTGTTGTATGCAGGTTACAATATGATAGAGCGTTACGACTGACGATGGTGTGGTTCAGTGACTGATGCTGTGATGATGATTCGTCGCAACCTTCATCATGGTGATCCATGCAATGAGTGGTGAGTGGTCAGCGCGGGAACGGCCGGGAAATAGAAATTTAGCATACAATTCTTGGGAGTATTATAAATGTTGATTTTCCCGGCCGTCCCAGTGACCAGTGGTCACCGCAGCTCGGCGTCCAAAAGCGATCGAATAGGTCGATCCTCACAAACGATGGATTTAAAACTACCTATGTACTTTGATATCATAAAAAACAGGTAGGCAAGAAGTTGCTAAGATGTTGTAATAGCATTAATAAAAAAATAAAAAATGTATGATGTATATAACTGTTCAAAACGAACTTTTAAAATTTCATGAATTGAATTCACAACAGAAGGTGTAGAGGCTTGTTTAGTAGGCTCCGACCATGTCCAAGTCCTGAGTAGCCAAGATGTCGTAGACACAATCCTTGATGGACAAGGGGTCCTTCAACTGAGCACAAGCTGCTTCAGCTTGTTCTCCACTGATCGAACCTTCCAAAAGATGACGGCGTTGTCCTTGGGGATCTTCAGGAAGCAAGCAGCGTTCAGGGAACTGAGGAGCGGAGACGTCATGGAAGAGCATGTCATCTGATGGGAGGACTTGCCACTCGTTACCAAGCTCATTAAAGTCAGCAATGACGGTGATTTGGTCACGAGCAAATTTAGATCCAGTCTTGAAGTCTCCCAACATTCCAACGGTGTTGCCAAAGGCTTGAATGGAAGGACCAACAAAATCGACCTTGACGAACTCCTTCATGGTATGATCAATCATAATCTTTTGGCCAGGGTACTTGGAGCTCAAGTCAATCTCGAAGATGTGCTTGCGTCTTGGTCCATTATCAATGTGGACAGAGACAGGGAATCCACCAACAGTCTCCATCTTGCCTTGGTATTCCAAATTGTACCAGAAGTGAGCAGATCCAATATCTTCAGTATCAGCTGATCCTTGAACTTCAAGGATGTCATCACCGACTTGAATGGCGGCGCTCTTGATATAACTCCAGTAACGAACAAGCTTGGTACGAATCTGAACATGCAATCCAAGCCCATCGGCAAATTTAGCATCCTTGGCCAAAACCAAATCACACTGGCCATGGAACTCGAAATGGTCGCCTGCCCATGATTTGACTGTGACAGTTGATTGAAGAGTGAGAATTGAATTTCAAAATACGACGCACAATATCTGCCAATTGATTCGCAATACTTACAGTGTGGATCACCGTTGCTTCCTGCTTTACCGGGATCCTCCTTGGGTTCATCGTCGCCACCGTCGCCTGTTCCTCCATCAGGGATACCGGGAAGTGAAGTCGTAGGACCGATTGTTGGTCCAGATGTTGGCACAGGCGAAGGCGCAGATGTCGGTCCAGATGTAGGCAACGAGGTAGGTCCAGATGTGGGGTCGGTGGTGATGAATGTGATTTCTTCAGCTCGCAAAAATGCAAAGTCTTGGTCCTCCAAACCAGAATCGACGAGCAGGTTGGGGTCTTCAAGATAGCTGGTTAGCAGAGCCTCAATGTCGGTGTCAGCTGCTGGTCCCTTCTTGTATACCTCCACAGAGGCAGTGCACTCGAAACATCCTGTCATACCAGGTTGGCATTCGGGATGGACATTACAGATAAGATGGAACATAACGTTTCCGATGACATTCTCCACCAATTCCAATCTTCGTCGACCATCTGGAAGTCTCGACTCCAGTTGTCTATGGTGATGGTGGTGGTGCCTGTTCTTGTGACGACGATTCTTGTGGTGTTGTTGTTGGCGGTATTGCATGAGCTTTCTCCTGTGCGAACAATTGACCACGCCCGTAGAAATCAAATTCTGGAATGCAGTTTTCACAATTGAAGCCACAGTTGCTGAATCCAGAGCTGGGCCATAGACTCCGAGTGCAAAGACAAAGTAGAAGGTCTGGCTTGGCATGGCGCTTTGTCCAACCACGATGTTACCAGATTGGATAGCGGCGCAATCGGTTGCGCTGGCAGGAGCATATTGAATTCCAATAGGGGCACTGGCAGGGGCAGTGGATCCTCCTCCTGCTGTAGTGGCAGGGGCACTACTGGCTGCTGTTGGTGCTGTCGGCGATGAAGGTGCCGTTGGTGCAGTGGGTGATGAACTGCAGGATGTTCCAGATGTAACTTGGAATGTTTGCGAAGCAATGGTTCCAAAGGTAGAATGGAAGTACAGTTGGTAGGTTCTTCCAGCCGGCAAAGGCCAATTGACTGATCCAGCAGTAGCTGAACTGAAGGAATACGTGCGGGTTCCTGCACTGATCCGACTATTGCAGCCTTGGTTGCCACAGAGGTACTGCCAGTTGTAAGAAGCGCGGAAGCTACCGGTACCAGCATCCCAAATACCGACCCACTCGACATTATTACCGCAAGTGCTGATAGTGGCAGTGATTGTCTGACCAAGACCCCAGCAGTTTTGGTTGACCGAAACCGAATGCGAACATGCCGGTGTGGATGGTGCAGTGGGTGGTGGTGCAGTCGGTGGCGGAGCAGTTGGGGGCGCGACAACTGGTCCTCCACAGTTTCCAACAGAGAAGGAATTGGATCCATAGGAGCCACTTTTGGAATGGTACCAGAGACGGTAGCCTGAATCAACTGGCAAGGGCCAACCCTCTGATCCTGTAGTTTGCGCATTAAATTCATAAAGGTAGGTGGTAGGAGACTGAAAGAAATCTGGAGGCCCAGTAGCACCGCCGCATGCCTGACCACCACAGGTATACTGGAAATTGAGTGCAGAGGCAAAGCCAGTGTCGGTTGGATGAAAGATACCTAACCATTCATCAGGAACACCGGAGCAAATTTTGACTTCGGCGATGATTTTCACGTCAGAAGTGGAATAGCAGGACTGTTGAACCAAAACAGTGGGGGTACAGGTCTGAAGCTTGCGTGCCTCGATCGTTTCTTGTTCAAGAACAGTGACCTTGACATCGACATCCGACGGAATGAAATCGGCAGGTAGCCTAGGCGGCCCGACATAGCCTCCTTCAACTATCGAATTAGTTCGTAGATACTGCTGCTGACTGTCCTCGTCGAGGGCAGAAGAAAGCGTTGCGCCCAAGAGGAGCGAAGCGAGAAGTGGTAGAAAGGATCTCATGCTGCAAAAAGGAGGAGATGGCAATGAAAAACAACTGATGTGTGAGATACCATATGCCAATTGATGGGTTGATGGTTTACTTTCACAAACCCGTGAGCAAGCATCGAGTCGATCATTCATCCATGAAACAACATCCCAAGGCAATGCCCATGGGATAGGCAAACATCCAAAGATTACTCACCCTTCAAATTGATATCAGATTTTTTTTGTGAGACTGAAAATCTTGTGAGGGATTGCAATTTTGCATGAAGATGAAGCATGCTGGCCCACGTGCAGCTAATTGGCTTTATACAGGGATACGAAGTCATTTAACGATGCTTCATTCACGAACTCTAACAGAACTGTCGTGCTAAAGTTTCCTGTTTATGGGTGCTTTCTAATCTCAATTACGAATTTAAAAAACATTTATCAGGCAAGAAATTTCTTGAGAAAAGAACACGTGTGTCGACCATAGGGTTGTGGATGAAAAGCGCGTGACATTTCTTCCGCTTCTTTGCGCTCTAGCACCATATACACTTAAGAGGATTCCGCTGCGTTAAATTTTTTCCGAAAATAGTTCGTGATCAAATGGGTTTGATCGGTCATAATTGGAAAAATTCAGTAATTGTTTCTTGGCGTCCCAGGTGATTGCAAGACACTCGAGGCAATTCAAATAATGAAGAGCTTTCTTGGCAAGAATGAACTTTCTATCACGCTCGACTGGACATTCTCCGTGTCTTTCTTCAGTCCAAGAGTATATGCCATCTAGTTTAGTCCTTCCGTCGCAAGTCCTGCCTGTGAGGTTAGTCAAAGTGGTCGAAATTAATAGGCGAGTGACCACACAACTTCAAATGCGGGAAGAATTAATCATCGAGAAGCACCACCACCACCATGGAGCAACAATCCCGGAAACGGTCGCGCCCCCCGTCGCCTTACCCACAAGGTGAAGCTAGGAACAGTCCCTCCAAAAGTGGCGATGGAAGTAAGCAAAAGAAGCACCAAGAACCAAAAGAGAAACGAGCCTTGGCAGCCGTGACGCAAGAGAACAAACGCCTACGAGCGCATCGTGCAAATATCGTAGAAAATGAACGTCTCAAGGCAGAAATCGATGCCTTGTCAAAGTGCAATCTCGAAAAAGTAGAAGAGATGGCTTCCTTGAAAAATAACATTTCGACATTGCAAAAAACGTTAGGCACGAGCAGTGAAGAAATTGCCCTTTTGATGCAGATCACTACGACTACGTTGCCAACTGATTTGGCAGCTGCTGAGCAGCGAATGCACGACATTCACGACAGCTGGAGAGAGCAAGTTACACAACTTGGTGAAAAACAATCCCAGGTGGATTCCTTGCGACATGAATTGCAGCAGGTGCAAGAAGAATTTCAAAAAGACACACAGAATCTGATCCAAGAACGTCAAGAACGAAAACGATTGCAAGGACGCCTGGACGAATTGCGTAAGGCATATGAATCTCAGGGGAAAGCTGCTCAGTGGCACAATATCCTAAGAGGTTCTGTTGCGATGGCGACGATGCCTCCTACTGCCATTAAGAAGGATTGTGGTTGAAAGGATTATGATTTCTCAATTGATAGTATGGCTGGTGCTGTTATGAAACGAATGAATACAGTAGCTTGTCCTTTTGCCAGCTGGAAAAGTATCCTGCTCATTGCGTTCAGCAGACTCATACTATGTGAAAGGAACACGGCGGGTGCTGAGCAAGTTCTTCTACACTAGAACTATCAGCACAACCATAACACTTTGCGTAGTATTTCTCCTACAGGCCATATAGTGCATCTGGCGCTTATTGCATGAATGAATATCTTGTATCTTTCCTTCTGGCTGTTCTGGTGACTGCCCATGATGTCGTTTATTAGTCAGAGTGTCATCCTGTATTGGTGGCGTCCGTCCGTCAGCTAATTTTTTAGTCAAAGTGGTCGAAACCAATAGCTACCGGGTACGCATACGTACCTGTATGCCTGCGACCGTTGGGAAATTGAAAGAATGCCACCACGATGGAAATATAATCATCACCATGGAGCAATCATCCGGGAAACGGTCACGCCCCCCGTCGCCTTATCCACAAGATGAAGCTAGGAAAAGTCCCTCCAAAAATGGTAATAGAAAACCAAAAAAGAAAAGAGCCTTGGCAGGAGCTGTCGTGGTGGAAGAGGAGACAAACAGACGACTAAGAGTTCATCGTGCACAAACCATGGAACATAAACGTCTCAAAGCAGAAGTTGATGCCCTGTCAAAATGTAACCTTGAAAAAGTAGAAGAGATGGCTTCCTTGAAAACTAACATTTCAAGTTTAAAAGAAAAAATAGGTGCAGTCAATGAAGAAATTGCTCTTTTGTCACAAAACACCACAACTACCTTGCCAACTGATTTGGCAGCTGCAGAGCAGCGAATGCACAATGTTCATGACAGCTGGAGAGAGCAAGTTACACAACTTGGTGAAAAACAATCCCAGGCTTATTCCTCGCGTTATGAATTGCAGCAGGTGCAAGAAGGATTTCAAAAAGACACCCAGCATCTGATTCAAGAACTCCAAGAACGAAAACAATCCCAAGAACGCCTTGACAAATTGCAAGAGGTGTATACATCTCAGGGGAAAGCTGCTCAGTGGCACAATATCATGAGAGGCTCTGCTACAATTGCAGTGCCTCATCCTACTGCCATTAAGGAGGATTATGGTGGTCGACAAAGCAAAGGATTGTGATTTTCTCAATGGATACTACTCCTACTAGTATGGTGCTAGTAGAAGTGGGAAACCAATGAAGAATGCAGTAGGGGATTGATCCTTTTCAAACTAGATAATGATCTTTCCCAATGCATGCAAACCCCAAATGGGGAAGGAAGGAATGAAAAAACGAACAAAACGAACAAAAACAAGTTCTATTATGAATGAAATGACACAGTCCAATGCAATGATGTTGTTCTCTGCAGAACAGCAAGAATTGGTGACCTTGTCTTTTTTTCTTCTTCTTTTTCTCATTGTTACCCTTGATTTTCCAGTTGAAACCAGCCTCTTTTTGGGCACTGCTGTGGCAGCACCTTCTTGTGCTACTAGGAGATATACCACTAGCACTAGTAACTAGTACTAGAGGCGACACAGTTTGGCTGATGGGGGCAAAGATGATCACACCAGCCAGTCTAGCACATGCTGATAGGTCATCACAATAAGGTTCTCCATCTGCCCTTAGACACCAGCAGGAGGACGACTTCAGTACTTGGTGGTGGTGTGCTATGAGCGAGTGGTCTTTTGTAGGGCTAACATCCAAACGATCATCCCATACAGCTAAAGCTTCACGCTGTCGGGGTGCACATGCTGCAAGATGCCTCAAATGGTTCAAACTCGCGACTGCCTCGCCGCTTCAGAGTTCTTGACCTTTACAGCCAGCCAGCCAGCCGGAAATTCATGTGGTCAGGTATTATTTATCTTTCTCTGTTCCTCCGAGGGACCAAGCAAACACCTCTAGCAAAAATAAAAATAAACATTTAGTACAGATCAGCTTCATTTCCTCGTCCACAACCGACATACACAGATAAATGTCTGCTTCCAGCGACTGCTGTCCTCCTGGATCTCACCAAGCACCTATTTTACAAGGCGATTCGGAAGCCCAATCCAAAGGGAGTCTGATTACCCTTGGTGAATCCACTCCATGTTACTATACTCCGGCTGGTGGTGGTGACAAAGAGTTCGCCTCGTCAAAAGGAATCATTGCATACACGGACGTTTGGGGATTTCAATCCAGAATCCACAGTCTTTGCGATTATTTGGCTGTAAATGGGAATTTCCACGTGATATGCGTCGATTGCTTTCGAGGAGAAACCAAGGACGATCATCCCGACATGTTGGCCTGGTTTCAAAGTGTTCCGTACGACCCTGTGGTGGCCAAGGACACGGAAGTCTGTCGGGAATATTTGATAAACAAGCTAAATTGCGATTCAATAGGCGCTATTGGATTTTGTTGGGGCGCCTGGGCCATTGGTAAAGTCTTTCAGCAAGACGGAGCCTCCATTTATAATGCAGCGGTGGCATTTCATCCAAGCTTCAAGGTGGAACGCCTTGCCTTTGGAGGAGATGACATCAAACTGATGCAAGGAATTTCATCTCCACTTTTATTAATGCCTGGAAGCAACGATGCAGAGTATACAATGCCAGGAAGTTCTGAATTTCAGGTACTATTGAAGAACGGAAGCAAGAGTATTGAATTTCCTGAGGTCCTTCACGGATGGATGACACGAGGGGACAGGACGGATACAAAGATTGACAGAGCTATCACGGAGGCGCTGCGGCAGGCATTGGATTTTCTTACGCATAATTTGAAGTAATCAGAGTATAGTAAACACAACAATCATGTATTGTAGCAATAGCAATGTATTGGGAGCTCATTGGAGTTTCAGTTGAAATGACTTCAAGTAGGCATCGATTCCGCCGTCGATGCGACGTAACTTTCCTTCCTCCGGAATCAGAACAGCACATTTGACATCTTCTAGGGATCGTACAAAGAAGACATCCTGGCTGACCATGACAACGGTACCATTCCATTGTTTCAATCCATAGATCAATGCTTGGACACTTTGGACATCCAGATTGGAAGTTGGGTTGTCCAGAATGAGCACTTGAGGGCTTTCCAACATGACCGTTGCCAAGGCAAATCGGCACTTTTCACCACCACTCAAAAAGCACAAGGGAGTCTTGGCTTGAGTGGTTGGTGAGAGTCCAAAAGATGCCAAGTGGCCACGAAGGAACTCTTCCGTCTTTTGATGGTACTTGTCTGTCAAATAGTCTAGTGCTGTTGTCGAGACGCCAACAGATTCCAAAATGCCATCCACCAAATCGGCATCGAAATAGCCAATGCTCACACCAGATGCATGATATACTGCACCTTCTACTGGATCTAGCTGTTTGGCTAAAATCTTGAGCAATGTGGATTTGCCGCAAGCTGTTTTTCCAAGAATACAGTATCGAGAGCCCTCTTCGATGCACAGAGCAACGTAGTCAAATAGAAATCCAGCCTTTTTAACAATCTGGATTTCATCTGCCTTCTTTTCATCACTGACAACTACCATTTCCTCTCCCGCATTGTTGCTGTCCAAGTTATATCCATGGCCGACATCTAGAGCGGTAATCAAAGGTTCGCCCCATGTGCAATTGACTTTTGGAAGACTAAAGAGATGGAATAAATCAAACATCGAGACACAAGTTAGAATTCGACCAAGGATTGATTCCGGGATCCAGCAAAGCCGAATAGTTACTCACATAAATTGAACTTCCTTGTCTGGAACCACCTTCAAGATTTCCGAAAGCTTTAGCCTTTGAGTGGGGGTGAGTCCTTTTCGAGGCAGAGGAATGTTTGCTGAAGCATTCAACGACTTTTCCAATGATTCATGTTTGTTCAGTTTTTTTCTTTGAGCCGCAACCGCCCTGGCCTTCTTCTTGGCACCTCCGCGCTTTGGAACTGGTTTGTCTTTCAAGTGTTGCAGTGTGGTTTTCAGTTTGCCTCGCTTCTTTTCCATCTTGATAGATTTCTGAATATCATGCATCTCTTGTTGATCTCTCATTAGCCTGTATGAATCGTAGTTTCCCGGATAATAGAATAGTTTCTTCATGTTCACATCGATGATGTCTGTTGCAACATCATTGATCAAATCAATGTCGTGAGAGACCAAGACGACGGTCGCTGGTGACATTTCGATCAGCCTCCTCAGCTGAATCAAGCCCAAGATGTCAAGGTTGTCAGTGGGCTCGTCCAACAGCAGCAAATTAGTGAACGAGCAAACCCAAGCAACTGCCAGCAACACTCTCTTTCGTTGTCCCAGTGACAGTTCCTCGCAACTACGACTGATGTCGCCGTCCCGAATTCCAAAGTCGTGGAGTGCTTCCTTGGCTTGATGTTGCACAGAGGATTGGTCGGATTGTAGCTGTTCTTCCAACATGGACATTTCCTCGCAAATTGTTTCCATCTTATCTTGTTCTTCATCCACATTCAGCTGATCCAGTTGTTCTGATAGCTCTTCGAGTCGATTTTCAGTAGAGGCAGACGCTGAAATGTTGGTCTCGTTATAGTATTGTGAGATGACTTCGACAGGGTGTTTGGACAAGAGAGAAGGATGTAGTTCAGGGGGTATATATATTGAAGTCCAGCTTGTTGACCATCCAGGAATCTTTTGTGCATCCATTCGTTTCAACAAGCTAGACTTTCCGCATCCATTCTTGCCAATCAGAGTGTAGACATGTCCGTGAAGAAGTTTAATGTTGGCTCCCTCCAAAAAGGGTGCTCCCTTTAGGTACTGGAGTCTTACGTTGTCCAAGACGACGTCCTTAGGCTGGACAGTTCGCCTGCCAAGTCCGCGACCACCCTTTCCTCGGCCTCCCCACAAGCCACTCTTGTGGTGAGTTGGTTCATCTTCTTGTTCTTGCTGTGCTAGGATCTCTCCCCAAACGGACGCGTAACAATCTGTATCATCCAGGGAAGTTTGTTGCGCTTGTGTGATTTCCGAAGATGCCGGCATAGGCGTGAACTTCTTTCGTCTCTTTATTAAAATGGAGGAACTTTGGCTTTATGACGTGATGTACAGTATTGTGCAGTGTGCAGGTCTTTGTTATTGCGTTTTGGAAACGTGCTTGACGATACGATCGACTGATTGATTGATTCGATTGATTCGATTCTAAATGTTGCGGGACTTCCTTCGATCGGTGACTCGATGCGTCAGAGTCAGTCCCCGTCATCCGTCATCATCTGCATTACTGGTGTTGCGATGACTTGTTCAGTCCAACACATAAACAGAGGATACTTCGGAATTCTTTCACTTTTCTGTTGCAACAGATTTTTTTCTACATTGACCAGGCAGCAAGTTGATCAAAAGGAACTAGACTCGAAGACATCAGAAGAATCCCTTCAGCTGTTTGTGAGGATATGAAAAAAAGCCGATTCCTCTAAGAACTTTTTGTTATATATAGAACCAATACAATCATCATGAGGCGTCATTCAGTTATACGAGGGCACCGGTTGGTAGTGACACTGATAATTTTGGTATGTAACGCATTCGAAGGACTCTCTTGGCTACCGACTGTCAATGCATTTTCTTATGCGAACCACTACCATCGTGAAAGCCGTCATCAACAGTCGTATTCTCATGAACGTCAGCATGGAACCGAATCACGGCTGTCACCCGGGCTACGATATCAGAAACGAATGAAAAATTCCAAGACGGCGCTAGCATTGGGTGACGACTGGTGGAATTCTTTGAGAGGAATGTTCGAGAACTTCACGAATGGCGGCAACTCGGGTGACGACGACCACCTTCCTGCAGGCACCTCAGTCATTGCTTCCATCCCAGGTATGTTTTTTCAAATCATGTTATCGGCGCTCATATTTTATTTTATATTATTTCTGACGTTTGATGTTCGATAGTCAAATCTCTCAAGCCTGGGGGCCTCAGATTATTTCTCATGTTTTATCTGATGGGAGAACAAAACACACCTGACAAGGGGTCTTGGAAGGCCCACCAACCTGACTCCCCACCATCGCCCATGGTGCCGTACTCTTCTTCCACCATCTCTAGTCTCGATAGCGACGAGATCGACGAAAAAGGCGGCGACACTGAACAGTCGGTTGAGTTTGATTCGTCGTATGTCTTGGAAATGTTCTACAAGGATGCTTCTGCCATGATTTCCATTGAACTTTTGCCTCACGAGGTACAAATCAAACGATGTGGGAGTCTTCCTTCGACAGCATATCTAATGCATGAGACTGTCCTGGTGGAGTAAGTTGCCAACGTCGCTGCATCGATGAATCAAGATTTTTCGTCTGACGCATGTCTTTTTCTCTTTTGATTCCTCCCTTCTTGATCGGAACATACAATCATGTCCACCATCACCATGACACAGGGGAATCTTGGATGAATTGGCGCAATGCGCTTTCGACGATAGGGTGGAAGAAGCGAACCGACTACTCATATTGTCCGCACCAGATAGCATTGACAGCGCACGATCCACACTTTCCTTTGCGTAGAGGCTCAGTCACAATGAAGCATGCCAACAAATGGAGTGTTATTGCTGTTGTCACAGGACGAGGAAGAGCGCCATGCTGGCAGTAGCCATCCAAACACACTGCATTTATTTGATGTGGCGTGAATCGGAGTCCGAGTTACTGACATACGGAAAAGGGGCCTCCTTCCTCATGTGCTCATTGCCGCTAGGTTGACAAAACAAATAATCAATATGCATTGCTATTATCATTTTAATTAAAAAATAGTATCATTGTATTTTATATCTCTTTGTACAAAACCGAGAAGCGATCGCTTCAAAACTCATTCAACCTTTTCCCATTTGATTCATCCCTTCTACTTCCTTTCCAACTTGGCGCAACCGGCATATTTCTCGATCGAACTCAAGACAACCTTGAAGTTCAGCGGTTTTGTCAAATAAGTGGTCATTCCCGCGTCAATGCCGCGCTCTTTGTCACCCTTCATGGCCCCAGCCGAAAGAGCCAAGATGGGTATGGGGTTGCTAGCATTGACCTGTTCGATTGCCCGGATCTTTTTTGTTGCACTAAGTCCATCGAGCTTCGGCATTTGCACATCCATCAAGATTAGAGAAATATCATCGTGTGACTCGTAAAGCGAGACTGCTTCTTCCCCGTTCTGGGCAAGTAAAACTTCGTAACCAAATCTGGTGAGCATACGATGAGCGAGCTTTCGGCTCACTGGATCATCTTCAGCTACCAGAACCTTGCCACTGATGAGTTGCCGAGAACTATCTTGTGGTACGAGACATGTCTTTTTGGGATCTTCTTCCTTAGCACCCAGATTTTTGCCGAGGCGATAAGGAAATGAAAAGATGAAGGAGGAACCACTGCTGCCGGGTTTCGTTGATGACTCGACACGCAAATTTCCTCCCATCATTTCGACTAGTTTACGAGAGATTGTGAGACCGAGCCCGGTCCCTCCATGCTGTCGTGTATCGCTGATATCGACTTGTTGGAAGGGCTTGAAAATAGAGTCGACGTGGTCTGGCGGGATTCCTTTACCGGTATCCGACACACTGAACTGCAGCATGTTATCATCGACTTTTTGTACTTTCAGCTCAATGTTTCCAACGGTTGTAAACTTAGCTGCATTCGAAACTAGATTGTTAATGACTTGTTGCAGGCGGAACTGGTCTCCTTGGAGAAAGCCGCTGATTTCGTCATCCACGGTAGTGATGAAATCAAGATGTTCCTTGTTCTTCTGTTGCAGGATCGTGGAGACAAGACTCTTTGTTTGAGTGATCACCATAGGCAACGAGAACTCTTCATCGCTATTGATGTCCATCTGTCCAGCTTCGATCTTGGATAGATCTAGAATGTCTTGAATGATCATGATCAAGTGTTCTCCGCTATTTCTTGCGACTTTGAGTCCATCGAAGTTTTCTTTCTTATGCACTTCACTCAATGCATTGGACTGAAAATGGACGATCAAGAATTAGGAACATGGGAGGTTAGCGGCATAAAAGGGGCTGCCAAAATGGCAAAGTGCGTATGAACTTACCAGTGCTAAGTCGATGTGTCCGATGACTCCGTTCAGAGGTGTTCTGATCTCATGGCTCATGTTCGCAAGGAAGGCAGACTTGAGTCGATCAGATTCCACAGCCTTGTCCTTCGTAATCCGAAGATTCTGTTCGTTGAGTTTGGCATCATGGATATCATAGCAAGAACCAATGTATCCCAGAAATGTTCCATCCAGATCATAGAATGGCTGGCCATGATCCCCAATCCAGCGGTATTCACCGTGCTTGTCCAGCAGGCGGTACTCCATGTAGAAGTATTCCCGCTTATCAAATGCTTTGACATAGGTGTCAAGGCACTTATCAAACTCATCCTTATGGACTCCCTTGGTCCATCCATTCCCGAACTCTTGTTCGATGGTTTTGCCAGTCCACTCCAACCATGTCTTGTTGAAGTAGTCACATTTCTTGTCTAACCTTGACCTCCATATAAGGGCTGGAAAGTCTTCAAAGATTTTCAAGTAGAGCTCCTTTGCTGTATTGACCTGAACCTGTTTCTGCTTGAGTTCGGCATTTTCCATTTCCAATTCTTCGATACGAGCCTTGTACTGCTCAATCAAATCTTCCACAGGAGGTTTGGGGCCATTTGAAGCAGAAAAAATCTGATTGCGATGCAGCGTCACAGGGGTGGACATATACCCTTCCGTCGGTGCCATTGTGTTTCGGTGGTTGCTTGTATTCAAGCTATGCTCTTATTAAAATTTATCTTTTATCTTCAAGAGAGGTGTTGTGAGAGAAAACTACAGCACCAGGTACCTGGTACAGTATGCGTGGAGCTCAGACTTCGGGTTATACTAGTTTTTCCGGCCAGTGGTTCTTTGTTGATGTATTTGAACGCTTTGTGACGGTACGAGTATTGAAGAATTACGTTTAGCTTCACGTTAAATACGAGTATTTTATAAAATAAAATATGGTATATAATATTACTGTCTTCCTGAAAAGAACAAAGAACCCACGTTCATGATTTTTTCATTCGCATTCGCGTTCCGTTGGCATATTTCAATAAGTATTTCATTGACACATTCGGGCGCTTTTAACACCGCTACCAGTACCATTTTTTCAATACCGCTGTAGAGTACGCACTTTTGTATCGCAACAGGTAGCTCCAAATTGTGAGGACAACTGTGTGCTATCCCTTTTGATCAGTTGCCCACTGACACATGAGCCACATTCCAGTCTTGACAAGATAAAGAAAAAGGAGGAAGGGTGGTTTTCTCAACAATGACATTTTGAACTTGATGTTGATGGCAAGAAAACACTGGGGTGCGAACAACTGTAGCTTTCACTTTTGAAGTTGCATTGGTTAGCCTTCCAACAAGCAACCGTTCCAATCACGCGAGACCTGATAACCATACGATTGGGTGTATCTTCAGTGGTACCGGTATCTACGATGTTACTGTTTACATTCTGCACCCATTCGTCATGATCATGCTCGTCATGACAAATACTCCTGACTCTTGGGCGCGGAATGGTTACTAGTTGGAAGGCTGATCAATTTCACTACGTACATGCTTCACCCATTCGTCATGCCCGTGCCCGACTAGAATGTTATCGACAATTCACCACCATTGCATGTGTTGGAATTCGCCTGGCTAATATGTGTTTCATTGACACATTGGGGCGCTTTTCCCACCGCTACCATCGCACGTGTACCAGGTACAGTAGCTTCAAATTGTGGGCGCAACGTCTTTTGTTCACTCGCCCACTGACACATAAAAGCCACACTCACAGTCGTGACGAGATGAAGAAACCGGAAGAAGGGTCGTGGCTTTCTCAACAACGCCACATTGCACTTGATGTTGATGCATACAAAAACATTGGGGTGCGTACTGTAGCTTCTTTCGTTTTGTGCCAGGGAAGAATAGCTAAATGGAATGTCCTGCAGTTGCATCGGTTAACCTTTCAACTAGAACCGTTCCAATCACGGGAATCCTCAAAAGCTATACGATTGGATGTATCATCAGTGCTATCTACAATGTTACTGGGTTTCGTCATGATCATGCTCGTCAGAGGACGTTGTTGAAAAATACTGACTCTTGGGATTGGGATAGCTACTAGTTGGAAGGCTGATCATTGCGTGTGTTGAAATTCAATCGTTGGATCCTTGATTGAATCGCATTAACCCGTGGTATGAGTCACCGAGTGCGGGAGTCAACTGAGCCCATGATTTGCCTTGTTCCACTATTGTTCCACATTGCTTTTGTTAATTTGTTGGTACTTGGACATAGTTTTGGCTTCGCTGTCGCATATTTTGCTACTGAGCTAGTTCGATTGAAGTAGAAGGTAAACCCTTCAGATCTTCTGTTATTTGCTGCTATCCTTTGGGCTCTTCCCTCACTCCAACACATGTATTTCGGTGTTGGAGAGATGATTTTAGGCGCAGAGGCAATCAATAGCGTCGCAGTCTTTAGGAATCGATTACCTGTTCACGTATGTATTCCCATCTAGTGTCATAGTCATCCTCCAGCGGTTAGTGCGCACTCGACATCACATTTGTTTGTGATAGCACTGACCCGTGCCCAGACGCACCATCGCTTCAGCAGGACCAAAAGTTTTGAGTAGCGCAGGAGGCAAGAAACTTCCTTCCTCGCAGACGCATCTCCACTGGTTAGATCGTTCGAATATGTCTTCCTTGTTGTCTTCGGTCGTGGTGACAGTATCGTTGACCTTGTCTTCAGTTGGAGTTCGGGAATCATCGTTCACATTAGTTTTTGTGGCATTCTCTTGTACGCTTTGTTCACCCATGTGATCATAATGTTGCTTGTCATCATTTTCAAACTCTCCAACCACTGGTGTCTTCTTTTCCTCTGCTTGTTTTGATGATAACGTTGGTGGCTGTGGTTCATCGATCTCAATTTTGTCTTCCGTTTCAACTGGAGATGACGCAAACCAAAAGTTCACTTGTACAAGCACTACAAGGCCAATAGTGAGCACTGGAACTAGAAAGGAAGCCAAGGATTGCGATGATGGTTCGTCGTCCATGGTTCCTAAAAGTCTCAGTTTTTATGGTCTGAAACTTTCATGCGTCGTTCGCATCATGCGTTATCGATATCGTTTTTTCAGCAAGGTCCGTCCTCTGCCCGTGACAGAAGTTGATCAGACATCAATGCGAATCGCATCATATACTCTGTAGCATCGTCAAAACATCGAAGGTTGGAATCAATCAATCAATCAATCATCGAACATCATGCCTTGGTTCAAACGACTTTTCGGTATTGTAGGAGGATGTACGCGATCTACGCTTCACAGCAACAGCAATCGTGGAGTTGCATCACCATCGATTCGATGCATTCCGTCTACAATCATGGCAGCTCATCCATCCAGAGTACCGCCACCCATACGATTGCTGGACGCCTCCACCGCTTGGCAATGTCGGACGCTCTCTACTACAGCTACGACTGCTACTAACAGTCTCCCCACAACTCTACAACGACGTTCTTTTTGGACTACAGGTGGTGAAGGCGATGACAACGACCATCAGGGCACGGAATCCAGTCCACCACGGACCATTACATTGACCTATAGACAATCCTTTTTGAACAATCCAGCCGCCACTTACCCAGTCTGTGTGTGTACTGCTCAAGGTTTGCGATCCTACATGGAAGATGAGCACTTTTACAGTCAAGACGGAGAGTTTGCCGCCGTCTTTGATGGCCATGGTGGCGATGCCGTATCCCGGTACCTCCGCAAGAATTTATATGCTAATGTGCAAGCATTCTTGCCGTCCTTGACAGCAGATGACAATAGCAATGCCGAATCGTCATCATCCACGAAACGTCCCTTTGCCACATTGGAAGATTATCAACATGCCATTACATCGGCCATTGAAAAAGTGGATCGAGAAGTCCAACGAATCAGTCATTGGAGCTTTCAAGGGAGTACCGCGGTCGCCGTCTGGGTGCACGAAGATCGCGCAAAGGCAAAAAAGACCATTGTCACGGCCAATGTCGGAGATAGTCGCGCCGTTCTGAGTCGGAATGGAACTGCCTACGACCTGTCCAAGGATCACAAACCAGATGATCCAAAGGAAGAAGCCCGGATTGAAGCACTAGGTGGCAAGGTCGTTTGGTGTGGGGATGTGGATAGCGACGGCAATCCCATTCCAGAAGAAGGTATCTATCGTGTCAATGGTAATCTAGCCCTGTCACGTGCCGTGGGAGATCGGTCGGAACGACCACATGTGGTGGCCAATCCCGACATTACCTTTCAACCAATTCTGGAGGGTCATGATAACTTTATTATTGTTGCCACGGATGGACTCTGGGATGTCTTTGACAGTGACGATGCTGTCGATTTTGTCATGTCAATGAGACAAAGTGGCCATGATCTAGAGAGAATTGCTACGTTGGTGGTAGAGGAGGCCTTGCGTCGAGGAACCTATGATAATGTCACCGTGGTCATTATCTGGCTGGATGAAAAAGTTGAGGCCAGCAAGCCTGGTGTCGTCGAGCAAGAAATCTAAGCATTTTGGATCGAGAGAGCATTGCTATTGCATTTTTCTTCATGGCCGGGAATCTTTGCGCAGCAGAACCATACATGCTACTCAAGAATCAACACACGACAGGGCAGAAGATTGTCTCGGATAATGAAAAACAAGGACCTGTTGAAGCAGGAAGGTCCTGTCGGCTTTGACAGAATTGGACCACCAAAATTCAGGGGGGGCTCCTTGTCTCCTGACCACTAGGACAACCCTTGGTTCTCGAAACGAATGGACGCGACAAGAGCAAGAAAAGTACGAGCTAGACTAACAAGACGATACAATTGGTTAACATCGTTCGACCTTTTGTGTCCGACTCGTGTCGTCAATTATTTGAACTCATGTTGTCCGACAAGTCGCTTTGACGGATGATCAAATGGTATAGTCGCATTGCCAGTCACCAAACTTTGTAAGCGACCGAATCAGGCCCGGTATGTAACAGGAAATCTCCGAACGCAAGCAATCATCACCTTCGCATGGGTCAACAATGGTATCGCTTTTAATGAATTCCGTCATCTGAGCAATAAGCGCACAATCCTGACGCAGACACTGGTGAATCAGATTCGCCTTGTCAGGGGATGCGACCTTGTTGTTGCGGGATGCAGATCGATACTCGTCTTTGAAGAGTACCTCTGTCCAAACAGCGACGCTGTCGTTCAAGAACCTTTCGGCAGGCACTCGCTTTACACCAAAGACATCGCTTCGTGGGTTATGAGGTACCGTTGATGCATTCAACGCTCGTACCAAGGCTTCTGTAGCAATGGTAGGAATGACAGGATCTCCAAGTCCTGACTGTAGCAGTATTGGTGGCCATTCTTCAACTATTGGGGGCGCCAGTACGTTGGACGGAGAAACTGCGTCCCATGCCAATTCCAAAACTGACAGCATGATGCGAACTTGGCGGTTGTTGAAAAAATTCAGCAGCATAAGTTTGTCGTATTTGCGAAAGCTTCTTGAATTGTAGAGAACCAGGGGAAAGGAAATACCAGGGGTACCGAGAATTGCTCTTTGTATCAATCTACTTGGACCAAGCAGGGCGGTGTAAGCAGCACCCAAGATGCCACCTTGCGAATTGCCATAGAAAACAGACGGAGGCGATCTGGTATCATTTGTTGGAATGCGATATGCCTCCCCCTTGTTTTGGAACTGAAGGAATGACTCCTCCAAGAGGCCATTCTTTGTATAGTGATGCAGTGCGATGCGGCAGGCAAATCCTTGCATAATGTTGTCCCTGGTAGCCTGCATCAAACTTGGGTCAGCCGTCAACAACTTCAACAAGACTGGCATATCGAACGAAGACATGCCTCTCCAATCCATTGCAGTGACGAGATAGCCTTGATCTTCCGCAATCCTATTATTGCAATACAACCAAATTAGAATGTCCATGTTGAAACGGAGCCGAAACCGACAGCAGATGGGTGGGTGGGTTAGGAACTTACTTGAGCAAGGAATATTCATTGGCTTCATTTCGATTATAAAATAGGCCATGTCCATAGTCCAGTATCGCATTCAGTGAATTCTGTTCTCGAGTCGTGTGATTGACCGCAGCCGCGTACAGAGAACATGGGACGAATATCGTGAACTTGGCATCTCCCCAACCATTGCTTTGTCTCTGTTCCAGTGATTTCCAAGAAAGGGTTGCATCCCTTCGATCGCTCTCTAGCCACCAAGGAACTCTCAATGAACCATGAATAGTTCTGGCGACTAGCGTCCATGGCCAATAACAGTTTTGGTTCTGAATCTTGGTGATATGCACCTGATGCTCCGTCTCATCGAGTTGCTTCAATGTGGCGTCACGGATGGTTCTTATTGGGTCGAGAGATTCGTCGCTCATGGTGACAAAGTCAAACATGAGCTGCAGCGAATCAAAGGATTGTGGTCCTCCTGCTACAACGAGAGATGTCCAGTTGGCAGCCCGTGCCAAGGAAGGAATCAGCACCTCTTGATAGCGTTTCAATCTATCAGAATCTCGCGAGCAAGATAGGGATACATTGTCCATAAATAGTCGCTGCATTCCAAGAGTCGGGGAAAGCAGGTCGCCATTTGCATCGGTGGCATTAATGACGGCCACCGCATAGTGGGTTTCGCGATAAAGTGGTTGAGATGGACTCAGTAGAACAATCGGTCCTTGAGGGTCCAGATAATCCATCCTTGCCATATGAGGAATCAATGTTCGGTCCTTTACATTCCACAATAGAGTAATCGAACGATCTGTTGTGGAATCTTCAAAGTCGTAGGGCAAGGCTGGATACACATTCGGGCTCAAGCTGTTCTCTTGTGCCTCGACAGCTTCCTTCAATCCATCCAAGTAGAATAGAATCGGCCCTCCCATTGGTGAAAAACCATCTAGTCCATCCAGAAAGGATAGATCAATGCGTTCGTTGTCACTTCTCATGGGAGGCAGCAGGTTGCTGTCCAGGGTCACCCGCCAACCAGTGCGTGAAGTGTCGTCTTTTCGCATGTGATGAAAGGATGGAAAGGGAAGTGCACAATCGGTGGTATCCAAATCATCGCAACACGCAAAGGAATAGAATTCTTGTGCAGGCGGCTGAAAAAAGTGCCTGTAGCAGGAATAGATGCAAACCGATAATGGAACGACCGAAATGAAAAGCATGACAAGAAACAACTTATGCAGAAAGGCTGTCAAATTTGGCCTTCGCTTGTGAACATTTGCGCTGGTCCATGATCGGATGCGTTCCAGAAGGCTTATTATCCTTGCCTTTTGTAGCATTCTATGAATGCGTTCCATGTCGGAATGTTCAGCGGCTCCTTGTATCAGTGTAGCCATTCCCAAGACAAATCGAGAAAAGGTGACAAGTGACATGCCAGTTTGGGCCAAAAGAAGCTGCGCATACAGCGATTTCCAGCTGTTCACAACAGTCCCATCCAGATCAATTAAACCTCTCTTGAGCGTGTTGGTGATTCCCGAATAGATGAAACCACACAAGACAATGTCTGTGATTGAAAACAAGGCCATGACAAGGATTGGCCGACGGCTTGGTTTGGTGGCTATACAGGCCCCAATCAGTGCTATGGTTAGGTGCAAAGCCAGCGGAGTTGCAGGATAGAGACGGTCTGTCAAGTCAACAAGCAAGATTATGCCCAGGACCAAAGTTGGAACCAACACCCAGAGCGTCAAAACAGTCGAAAACAACCATGGATCTTTCCATGACATTTCAATCCCCGCATCCTCACTCTCGTCTTTGATTATTCGCCTACGATCGCTGGGTAGCAAGAACGTTTGCTCCGTCATTGTGCCCATGGTAAGAAAGACAGTTTACAGCATGCATTTTATGTAAAACACTGCTGGAAGTATGAACTTTCTCCATCTGTTTCCCATCTTCGCTATTTTCGATTTTCTTCTGATCCGAACATCCAAAGACTAAGTTAGTGCCGAATCAAAGTGAAGTCGAACTAGTCTAAAGTCAGACTTCACTCATTTCAGACGTGCTCAACAATTCGCAAATTGAAATGCCTCGTCAGATCCAAGTACATCTAATGTGAGTACCGGATAATAAGGTTGTATCACGAATCGTCATAAGTGCAGTGCGATTATATATGGCAAAACGATGACCTCTAGTTAAGCAACAATACTTAGGAAGAGCATCACGAAATTTCAAACGTACGTTCCAATTTTCATGTGTGATGATCCAATATCCTGAATCAAATCGTGGTTGCCTCTTGCCTCCACACCTAACCGCAAGCTCCAACTCTCTTAGACGATGGTGCTGCAAGAAGTGAGGAAATGGCACCGAAAACGCAAAACCAAGTCAAATCTTCGTCGCTGGTCGAAGAGTGCAACAAAGATTCAATCATTTGTTCGTGGAAGTCTTTGTCGTAAGAGAATTCATGAGGAAAAAGAAAAACAGAATGCTGCCTCTCGACAGCTGCAAGCAATCAATCGCACGATGAGCTCCAAGAAAGTACAAAAGAAACGAAAGAAGAGAACGAAGTCAAGTCTAAAGAAACTGTCCAAGAATGCTACCAAGATCCAAGCATTTGTTCGAGGAAGTCTCTGTCGTCAGAGTTTGAATCGCATTCAACAACAACAAAGAAGAAGAAGAGAGGAAGCGCTCCTCCAAAACGAGCACCTCCAAGGGTTACGAAGCGAAGAACGAAGACGGAATGACGATTCCAATCGAAGTCGCCGTCGTGTCGATAACGATATTGACTACGACGGCAACGATCACAGTACCACGGATCCTCTGCAGCAATCCTCTCAGACGTGGCACAGTGCTTCTGCAGCAGCACCAGCAGCACCAGCACATAACCTAATTACAGTCTTTCAAGCGGCACCTCTGGCATGGCTCGATGCCAACGGGGATGCCAGACGGCTGAAGCGTTTGGACTTGCACTTTGAAAGGGAAACAATCCACAATGCGTTGATGGACTCCAATGTCGCTGTGGACTTTGAGATTGCCACTGATGATCGCTTTGGGAAGTTTCTGGCCAAGGGAGGGGGTCGAGCGATTCATGTCTCGTGTCATGGGAAACCTACCTACCTCGCCTTTGAGGATGGATGGGGGCAGTTGCAATACATGAAAGCATCCGTGCTCAAAGATTGGATTTCACGGGGTGGAAGCAATCTGGAGTTTGTATTTGTTTCCGCTTGCGATTCCTGGTCTATTGGAAAGATTTTTGCTGAAGCTGGTGTACCACACGTGGTGTGCTGTGACAAGCAAACAAGTTTGTTGGACTCTGGAGCAGCGGTCAAGTTTACGAAAGCTTTGTACCAAGCTCTTGCATGGGGTCAGACTCTCAAGAAAGCCTTTGAACTTGCTCAACAAGAACTTTCTGTACATCCCTCTTTCCAAGCTTCTCAATTTTGTCTTCTTCCAGAGAATGGAAATCACGATGTACCCATCTTCTCACCTGATGTCGAGGGAGCAACACCTCCAATCTCGAATCAGGATGCTGCCCAGCTTCCTTTAACCACTGACTTCTTTGTTCGTGATGACTTGGAAGTCTATCGCACAGTTCAAGCGATCAAGGATTGGAGGATTGTTCGAGTCATGGGGGCAGAAGGTATTGGGAAAGAAACTCTTGTCAGAGAATGTTGCCAATACCTTCAAGATAGGCAAAAGGTTGTGAACATTGAGGAAATCGTCTGGAAGTCTGTTACAGCACACAAGGACAAAACCGTTGACAAGAGTATTCTGGCCATGTGCTTTCGATCACTATTCAAGCAATGGAGATCTCGCTCTGTGCGAGGTGCTTCCATTCGTGAATGCAGACGCTTCATCACCCGAACCTTTCACAACAAAAAGGCACTGCTCGTTTTTGAAGCGAAGCATCTTGACAAAAGGGGTGTCAAGAAGATGTTCTCGTTCTTGAATCGTCTGCTTCAGGAAACGAACCATCTCAAGGTGGTTGTGATCTACGGGGCTCACGTCACACCAGAGACTATGGGGGAGCTGCCCAGTGCTTTTGATATTTCAGTCGATAGCCTCAACATCGAGTCAACAGTTCAGCTGTTTGCTCGACTGTGTAAGCATGTGCCAAATCGGGTCGTACCAAGGGTACGCGATGCTGGGGATCTTTGGAGACTAGTAAGTTTGATTTGTTGAAAGTTCCTGTTCTATTGGCTAGTTCTCCATTCTAAATGGGTACATTTCCTATTATCTGCATTCAGCTTTCTCCAAGAAATCAATCGTTGAGAAACCTTTCAAAGCGTCAAGCTGCAATCTTGAGACAGCTTGGTGGAAGCAACCCACGAGATATTTGCAATACTGCAAGTAGAATCACAGAAGATGAGTTCCGCGCTCTGGTCGAGCTTGGTACATACCAAGGCCTTGATCTGTTTGGAACACACACGGAGCTCATGCTTCTTGCCTTTGAGTTCGAGCGACGTATTGCTCTACGAAAGGAACGAGAAGATGCTGATGGAGTTGTAGCACTTGACCGCAAACTGAGAGCAGTTAAGCTTCTCATGAAGGAATTTCAGAATGCGGAGAAATTGACATTATTGATGGAGGAGAAGCTCGTGTATCTCCTTCAATCGGAAAACGATGAAAAGGATTCATGGCTTGCCAAGTTTGCGGAACTTCAAACCATTGAATCTCTAATTCGAAAGGAAGAAGAAGCCATCATCGCATGGCTTGCCGACTCACGTTCCTCTCTGTTTAACACAAGAATCAGAAGCGAACAAGTCGCAATCGATGAGAAATTGGTGTACAGCACTGGGTCACCTCGGCAGGACTCGGGACCTTCGTCCATGGCCATGGATCTCCAGATCTCTAGTGAGATTTTGAAATCCAAACATGGAATCGATTCCTGCATTGGATTGCTCGAGGCCTATTGCAGAGAAAACTTCAACAAAGCCGCAGCCGTCCAAATCCATCTCGGTCTTCTTAAGGAATTGAACCACTTCAAACTTGCCGTCGCGAGCCTGAAGGCATGGTCTTCCCAACTAGGAGCGGCACTGTGCACCTTTACAAGTGCCAAGAGGTGGGAACAGGCAACGGTTACAGACAAGTTGCTGGACAGGTTCCAGTTTCGCATCAACCGAGAAGAAATTGCCAAGAGACAGGCCAAGCTGGGAGTAACTACAAGACGTGGGGTCATCAAGATATCCTTCCAAAGTGAACCATCACTTCCGAAACGTGGTAACAAGAGCCCTCCTCCTCCGCCTCTGTATACTGGGATAAGCCTAGTGGCAAAGAACAGGAAACGAAGAAACGAAGTCTTGTCCATAGTCGACAGGATGCTAGAAACTCTAAAGTCTCGACCCAATGCTGACAGTGACGAAAGTTTGTC